CTCCATGGAGCCACCAGAGGGGAAAGACACAAGCTGCCAGCTGGAACCTTGCCAGTAGGCCACCAGCCTTGTGGTAAAATATAAAATAATAGAAATGGGTTAACCAAACATATAAGAGCTAGCTAGCAATACGCTTAAGTCATTGGTCAAGCAGTGATTTAATTAATACAGTTTCTGAGTGATTATTGTGTGGCTCTGGGAAGCCGGGAATGAACAAGCGGCCTCCAACAACACTCTGGTTCCTGTTCCCACCCTGAGTGGACGTCATTTCCCTTCTCTGATTGGCAGTTTCCCTTCTGTAAATGAAGGCGTGGGCTGACCTTGCAGTGTTATTTCAGGAGCCTGGTTCTGCTCACCTCCCCAGAAGCCTGGCTGTCTGGGATGGTCAGATGATAATATTGCTTTAAGAAACCTCTTGTGTCTTATTGCTCTAACTAGGACCTCAAGAACTATACTGAATAGATATGGAGAGAGTGGACAACCTTGTCTTGTTCCTGATTTCAGTGGGATCGCTGGGAGTGTCTCTCCATTTAGTTTGATGTTGGCTGTTGGTTTGCTGTATATTGCCTTTATTACGTTTAGGTATGTTCGTTCCTTGTATTCCTGGACCTAAGCAGAGAACTCTCAACAGAGGAATCTAAAATGGCTGAAGGACACTTAAGAAAATGTTCAACATCCTTAGTCATCAGAGAAATGCAAATCAAACAATTCTGAGATTTCATTTTACACTTATAAATTCTTACAGGCTAAGATCAAAAACATCGATGACAACTTATGCTGAAGAGGTTGTGGGGAAGAGGGAATACTTCTGCATTGCTGGTGGGAATGCAAGCTGGTACAACCCCTTTGGATGTCAGTGTGGCGATTTCTCAGAAAATTAGGAAACAACCTTCCTCAAGACCCAGTAATACCACTTTTGGGTATCTATCCAAAGGAAGCTCAATTGTGCCACAAGGACATGTGCTCAACTATGTTCACAGTAGCATTATTTGTCATAGCCAGAACCTGGAAACAACCTAAATGCCCATCGACCAAAGAATGGATAAAGAAAATGTGGTACATTTACACAATGGAGTACTACACAGCAGAAAATAAATAATGACATCTTTAATTTTGTAGGAAAATAGATGGAGCTAGAAAACATTTTGAGTAAGGTAACCCAGACCCAGAAAGCCAATTATCATATGTACTCACTCATAAATGGTTTCTAAACATAAAGCAAAGAATCAGCCTACAAATCATAATCCCAGAGAACCTAGACAACAATGAGGATCCTAAGAGAGACATATGTGGATCTAATCTACATGGAAAGTAGAAAAAGACAAGATCTCCTGAGTAAATTGGGAGCATGGGGACCTTGGGGGAGGGTTGAAGAAGAGGGGAGAAGCAGGGAGGGGAACAGAGTAAAATGTAGAGCTCAATAAAAATCAATTAAAAAAGAAACCTGTTGTGTTGTACTAATTATTTTTAAAATAATTGTGAATAAAACCAAAGTACTAGATTGGGGGGGGGGCTTTTTCTTTACTTTTTTTTTTTTAAACCAGTGAATAGACCTGCTTCAGTGGGTTTTAGAGTACTGAACACCATGCTAAGCCTTCAACTTTAACTTAGGTCTATGGTGAAGATCCCATAAGTTTTAGTCATTGTGTGCTTTCAACTAGAAGGGTATAGGGTGGCACGGGGGTGACAACTGTCTGAGTTGAGATCCTAGTTGCATTGTCAGCTGCCTTGGTTTGTACAAGTTACTCAACTTCAGCCCTCAGTTTCTTTATCAGTAACATGGGATGATGGTACCAACCTTTCAGAATTACATTGAAAATTGATGGCTCAGCAAGTAGGTCTTGCCACGTCTACTGACTTGAACCCTGGGATCCACATAGTGGAAGGAGACTCCCGCAGGTTGACCTCGGGCCTCCACCATATGATGTGGCACGCATCTCTAGCCCTCCCCCATCAATAAGTGTACCCAAAAGATCAAGTGACATCATGCATCAAAGCATATTGTTAAGAACTCAGTTGGCAGTCAAGATACTTGCTATTGTTGCCAACTGCTATGGCCAAGAAGGCGGATGAACTCCCAGCGGCTGTTTTCTCTTCTTCCCCCAGGCAACTGGCCAGAGATGGGCAGCCGGAGAGACAGAGACACCAACAGCCTGCTAACCTCTGCAGAGGATATAACTGACGAAGGCATGCTACTCTCTTCTTCAGAAGCATAAGCTAGGTCTTACTCCTGAATGACCCACGAGCAAGTGTGATGTCATCACACCCTTGATTAGTGTCAAGTACCCAAGCTGACGTGGACCATAAAGACAACACCAGCAGAGCCACGATTCACCCACCAAAAACAAATTCTTAATCTCATCTACTAGAATGCTTATTCATTCAACAAATACACGGGACAGTGTTCTCAGCCCTGGGAACAATTAATGATTTAAAATTGAGTTTATTATGTGTGTGGATAAGAGAGGTGAGAGCCAGCACACATGTGCCACACAGCCCGTGTGGAAGCCAGAGGAGAAACTGCTGGAGTGAGTTCTCTCTTTCCACCACTACTTGGCTTCTGGGAGTCGAACTCCTATCATTAGGCTTGCACCAGAAGTACTTTTTACCCAGCGAGCCTCCGTGCCTGCCCAGCAATGGGAATAAATTTAATGGCATCCTCGGCCTCGTGGAGGAAGGATCTGCTTCCACTTTACAATGAAAATGACAGATTACTAGTCCACACACAGGCTTCTCCATGCTCTTCTGGTCCTATGTCAAATGAGCAACACTTGTCATGTATCTGAAGCGGGCACAGCAGCTTGTGATGTGCTGTTGGACACACTGGGAAGATTGTAGGCCCATATTTCTATATGGCATGGCAGCCAAGCCATCAATCCATAGGCCACACCTGAGACGGGTCATGTAGCCTGCCAGGCAGGCTGCCGCTAACCTAACAAAAGGTCAGGATGTTTTGCTCCTTCCTTTGTAATTTGGAGGATGCCTTATAGAGATGCTGATTCAAGCCTACCCATGACAGCTAGCGTACACAACAGACAGGTAGTTGTGGATTGACAAAAGGCCATTCACCTGGTTACCTAGGAGACAGAATACTAATGTATTTCACCCTCTGTTAAGTTTTGGTATAAAGACTGTTTAGAGAATAAATGGGGGAATTTTTCAGGACGTGAACCCAGGATATCACAAGGGACCTCTGAGAATCTCCCTCCCGATGAAACCATGGAAGTCGTGTCTTTATTCCCGTCTCCTCCACGCCAGTCCAGAGATAGTTTGTGTTGGGGTCTGGTAGAGAAATAATTGAGGGTCCGGGCTAGCACGGGACCCCGACAGAAGATTTGGAAACAGGCTTAGAGACTTAGAGTGCACAGGAAAGCCAGCAGAGGCTCAAAACGAAGTCTTGCTACTGTCCTGCTTCTTTTTCAAACGGTAAATTGAAGCTAAATTCAGTCCTGCCTCATCTTCTAACCAGTTCCCCTGGTCATTCTTTAGGAACTCTGTCACCACTGGGGGACCACAATGGACTCAGACTTGACTGAGGAGGCCAAATCTGTGGCTGACAGTCAAAGCTCCCATCTCTCCCAGGGTCATTTCTTATACTGTGCCAATGGGGCTTCCTGTCCCTTCCTGGGTGGCTTGTCTTCTGCTCCGCAGCCTGCCTGTTTGCTCACAACAAGGGTCTCTCTGCCTGCAGTGGTTCTCGGGACTTTCAAGCCTTCACTCAGGACCATCTGGGATGGCTCTTTCCTTGTCTCCGCCCCTCCACTCTCAGGAGAAGATAGAATCTGGACTCCCCATATGCTTGGCTTTATTGCTGCCAAATAGCCACTCCTATTAATGTAATGGACCCGTCTTACTTCCTGCCCGCTATGCAAACACCACTTAGTCCCTGCCTCTGCTGAGTCGGGCTCACTTATGGTTTCCAGTGATCAGAGAGGTAAAGGATAGGACACATGACTAACAGCATCCTATTCTTCTCCCTCTCCAAACCTTAATATGCTCTCCAGGCTCCCCTCTAAGTTCCAAATCAATCACATGTTCATGCTGGGCACACTGTCCTGTAAACATGTACCAGGCCAGTGGCAGACAATGTTGCACAAATGATCCCAAAATAAGATGTCTCGGAAGACCAGGCTGCAATAGAAAAACATGTAGTTTTGGGGGGTTGGGGTGGGGGGAGTGCTGTCTTTATATGGAAGACTTGAAAACAAAAGCCATCTAAAAGCTCTGGGCATCACCATTGGTTGTTGATGGGGAGGAAATATCACCAGCTCTATTTTGGACAACATGGCACCGGAGGACAGAGCTTTGATTTGTGGTCACATCTGAGAAGAAGATGCTACTCCAGTTGTGTCCCCCAGGGGACCTGGTGCCCATCACACCAGGTGCATGGTCACAAAGGACCCTTAGCAGTGCACACTGGGCTCCTGCTGTGGGGGCATCAAGGACCCCCTGGCTGCTACACAGAGTGAGGCAGGAACAGGCAGGCATTATTTCATGGGGGGACATGCTCATTCCAGCAGAGAGTGACAGTTCCCATGAGACCTCCCCTTTAGGATCTCTTTCCACACCAAGTTTCTGACTCTTGTTTAAAACAAATCCAGCTGGGCATAGTGGCAAGTACTCTGGCTGCTTGGGAGGCAGAGGAGGGAAGATTGGTTGGAGGTCAGCCTGGGGAACATAGCCAAATCCCGCTCTCAACAACAGCAGCAGCAGCAATCAAAATGGTAGCTCATGCTAAAGTGCTTTGTCTAGCATGTTTGTGAGGCTGAATTTAATCCCTAGACACCCTCCATGCACACACATCTAATTCATGTCAAATTTTACTAAAATATCATCTCCAATTATTGTTCAAATCAGAATTCCTGCTCCTCTCCCCCGAACTACAAACCTGGACATTTATAAACCTGTCAGGTTACCACGCAGGACGACTGAACTTGGCTAGCCAGCTCTGGGAGGCAGTCTCTAGAGGTAGACATGAATTATTTTGGACCACTTCTTACCTCGATCCAATGACATCGAAAAGATGCCGCCAGCGGTCGTTGATTTTGCTGAGCTTGTCGTCCATCTCGGCCGCCTTGGCCTTGCTGCTGGCCTTGATTAGCTGCTCGCCCATCTGTTTCAGCTGCAGCTTGCTTTCACTGAATGAGCTTATTTCTTCCATGCAATCCTGGTAGACACCAAAGCACAAGGCCCGAGCCATCACCACCAGCTCAGTCCTTCTCCAGCCCAGGGCACACACCGTTCTCTCTTAATGCACTCTTTGGGTTTGTTTTTGCTTTATCGGACAGGGTCTCCCACTGAACTCCAGGCAATATTCCCACCTCCGCCTCCCAGGTGATGGGATTGCAGGCACGTACTCTCACGCTGGCTACATGAGTGTTAATGGCAAAAAAAAAAAAAAAAAAAAAAAAAAAATCTTATACTTGTCAACAGAGTTCTTCGAGGAATGGCTCACATCAGCTAGGTGACTACCAGGTGTTTAAGGCAGTAGTGACTTTATCTCACTGTGTAGCCCAGGCCTGCAGCTCATGGTCCTCCTGTCTCAGCCTCCTGAGTGTTGGTGCTCCCATGCCTGCCTATAGGCACTTTCTTTTTCTTTATCCTCGCTGTGCTGAGGGTTGAATTCGGGGCTTCATGCATGCAAAGGCAAGAACTCTATCACCGGGGCTATGAGAACCCCTTGTTTTCCCCTCACAAATGTGGAGCCGAAACAAAATGGACTCAACTGAGTCAGACTGAGGTCCAAGGTTCCCCCCCGGCCCCAGGGTTGATGGAGAGGTGTTTTGAGATGCTCAAGTCACTTCTGTCCCCGAAGCTGACTTCCTCTTTGACTTGGGTCCCACATTACAATAACTAGAGAAACCATCGCTGGCTAGTCTTCCCAACGGAGGGAAAGCAGCCTTCCTCAGCACCGCGTCCACCTATGACAGTTCATGCTCCCTACCTTTCTCACTTCCTCCTTTGGAAAGACCAAAAAGAGTCCTCTTGAGACACGAACACTGCCATGTAACAACGTGGCACTGTGGCTCTTGGAGCCTGCAAAGGCCCTTGACCCTCCTCAGTGCACCCACGTGGGCACCCCGCCCCCACTCACCTTCTGTAGCTTTTCAATCATCTCCTCAATGCTAATATCCGCTGTCTGTAGAACTTTGTTTTCCATCTGGACCAGCCAAGCACACAATTCCTTGTTTTTTTCATTGAACACGATCCATGAATTGAGCCTGTCTTCAATCTCCTGCTTGCGGATAGCCACCTAGGGATGACATGCATTTTGGTAGCTGAGGCTAGCCGGGAAGGAAAATCCCTTGGCTCCCCCCAAAAAAAGTGAGCACCCCACCCCACCCCCAAGGGTCACAAACACAAATGAACACCGATGTCATTCACTTGGGTCAGCATCTGTCTCTAAAACCTGTTTCGTTCTCTCGAAACCTAGGGCTCAGCACTAACAAAAGTTTTTTTTCCACCCTTGGTGACTGCCACTAAAAACTAACAAAAGATGAAAGGATGGCATTTGCACTCTGTGTGTTTGCACTGACGAGCCCCACTACACAGAAAGGTTAGGTAAACACAGACACATAGCTCAACTTTGTTTTCCCTGTTCTTTGTATGTAACACATTCACCGATTGCTACCTTGTAACTTTGTGGCCCAAACCTTTTCCCTTTCAAAACGGATCAAATCCATATATCCAGAAGGCCAGTGTTCAGCTTACTTGTTTTGAAAAGTATCATCCAGATCACAATATTTAAAAGAAAAAGCAGCCAATCATTAGTAATGCAAATGACCAGAAAACTTAAAAGATGCAAAAGTGTTTGAGTATTTAAACAAACAAAAAATAAAACCCCAAACAATTCATTTAATCTACTTTGCCTTTGCACACTGTAGCTTTTGTCTGGAAACCATAAAAATGTCACCAAAAACTGGTCTGGAGCAAGCAGGCTGACCCCCAAACACCCAGTGTTCGGTTATGCTAACACCAGCCAAGGGGCTTCCCTCCTTTCTTAGAAGGCTACAAACCAGCCTTCCTAAATGTACAGCTATTCTCAGTTTCTAAAAGTCTTTGAAACCCTAAGAGTTTAAATGGAGCAGTGAGGAGTTCTTTTGGTTTAAGTTTTAGCACCCACTTTATAGGGGCTGCAGTCCCCTGAGATTTTTCTCACCACGCACAAAAGAACCTCTGCTCTTTGCAGAGTGAGGTCAAGATACCAAATGCCTGCTTCTGTGTCCTGTCCAGCCGCATGCGTTTAAAAGGCCCGAAAATCTACCCCCTTAGAGAAACAAGCATTTTGCTCCCATTCCTCCGGCATCTATTCATTTTTTAGCTTCTAAGAGTTCCGGCATTCTGTGCCAGGATAGAGTCCACAATGCTAACAATTAGGACCATCTGGAGGATGCTCTTTGAGCTTTCTTGACTCTTAGAAGACTTTAAAGATTCTGAGTATTTCCTTTTGCATAAAACATGAATCGGAACAATTTAACAGACAGGCAGAGCACACTGTAACTACTAAAACTGAGTTTTTGATGGAGTATTTTTACTTCAAAATGTAATTAAAAGCGTCTTTAGAACACAGGTATTTACAAACATCAAATTCATGCGCACACGCACACGCACGCGCACATGCACAAACAAAATAATAAGATTAAGGAATTAACTTTTCCTGAGAATTATGTATCCTTAAAACAAGGATCTTTAAGATTAATTGAGCCCTTTAATTCCACCTTGATCCTGCCACAGACTTGAACTGTGTAATACTCTGAGCACAATTCCAGTCTTATCCTGTAGAAGCTGAGGGCCTTAGGCTACAGTCCATCACTTCAGAGTTTAAAAACCAGCTCCTAGGACCAACCATCTGACTGCAGGGAAGGCTGGCTCTCAGATAGCCCCTCCCAGCCTATGGGCATCTAGGTTCTGGTGTTTGGCCTAGGGGAGGGGTCTCTGATTCGCACTGCGAGCCACTAAGCAGAATCACTGCCAGCAGGACCCTTGCTTACCTCCCAGCTTAAGCTGATCTCAAAACAAAAACCCCAAAACAACTCAGAAGTGTGCAAAGCTGTTTTGTGAACCCCACTGAGACAAAGAGGTCAAATCTCTTAAAACCGGTTGCTACCTCCTAACAGAACCAGCGGGGGCACAGGGGTCCCAGGGCCATAGGGCCTCCACTTCAACAAGTCGGGATCCTTTCCTTCGGCTTTGGGACACTTCAGTCATCTCCCCTCAGCCCCGCACTTTGAAGCTGGCTGACTTACTCTCAGGCAGAGATCCTCCCATTGTCTGTGTAGAAGCTCAATCTGCTCCTTCAGAACCGTCACGTCCTCCGCCAGGATGTGCCGGCTCAAGTCCGCCTTCATAGTTTGAAGCTCTTTCAAGTTGTGCGTCCAGTTAGCCAGAGGTTTCTCGACTTCCTGCATTTAAACACAAGGAGAAATTGGGGGGAAAGCGCCTGCAGTTCCAGCCGCTGCTCTTTCCAAACCTGTAGGCTAATCCTTTGATTAGGCTCTGGGGGAGGGGAGCCGGGGGAAGGGGAGGGACCTTCGGAATGAGAAACAGCCGCTACCACGGTCCTGCCAGGCAGCCTACAGTCACCTTTCTCTCAGGGGACACAGCCTTAGCTCTTCAAGCCCCTTCCTTCAGGTGGTGGGAGTTCAGGAAAGTCATTCTGTTGGAAAGTCATCCAGGACCTTTACTGAGGGTGTCATGTAAGAAGGGCAAGATGGGCACACGTTTCTGGATTAAGATCCAGAGGCTATGTAAAGAGGTAGGTCACAGCAAGTGTGATTTCTCACTTTCCGAATGCATGGGTGCGTGTACCACTAACACGGGGGCCATCATACAACACCCACTCTGTTTGGAAGGAGTAATTTTTGATATTCTGAACAACAGAAGGAAAAGTTGCTTGCTGATAAATGACAGAGATTGGTTAGCAGATAGTTTCCTATATCATTCATTCGTTCATTCATTCATATGCAGCTCAAACCTAGGGCCTCACACTAGCTAGGCAAAGACTCCCACGAGCTACCCTGTCAGCTCCAACTAGTTTATGAAATGAAGTAGTTTTCAGATCTAACAAATCAAAGCAATTAATCAAGAAAATCCTTTTCACTACCGAGGAAGTGAAAGGAAACAGCCCAAACACCCCTGAGTCTAGCAGATTTTAACTGTATTTAGGGTTACTTATCCATGGCGCCTTTTCCAGGCCTCTCAGTTCCTACCCTTCAGTTGACATCGGAAGGAAGCTACTGCGTCACTTAGGCCAGAAATCAGTCTAAAGAGCGGCCACAGTAACGAGCTGCTAATTCTGATGGATGGCTGTTCGGTGCTCCGTGTACTACATGGCATGACCTCATCACTTGCTAACATTCTGTGTTTCATAAACTGGCCCATATATTTCTTTCTACTTTTTTTTTTTTTATAATTCAATCCCTAGTCACTGAAGTAAGAAAAAATTAAGAAACCATCCCAAAGGATTCAGAAAAAAAAAAATCTCTTAAATACCAAATCTGCGGACAAAAAAAGAGACGTAGAGGTTCCTGCCCTGGTGTTCAGTGATCCTAGTTCCTGTCTATAACTCTTCCTCTTCTACAAAGACCTCTGATATTCAAGATCACTTTCTAATTAGGTAGAACGCAGTTTGGAGGGATTTATATGTTATACTTAACCAAAAGACCTCAACTCTGCTGGTTTTCCAGGTGTGGTTTTTAAGTCACACCTCACTCTTACTTCAAAGACAAGGTCAGGATAAAAAGTTTTTCCTTTGTCTTTTTTTTTTTTTTTAAAGTCCAATCAGAGCCAGGAACATGGCTCGGTGGGTAAAAGCTCTTACTCCGGACGTCTGATAACCCAAGTTCAGATCCCTGGACCCACATGAAAGTCAGACACAGTGGCACATGTCTGTAATCCCAGCATTCCTACGGATGGCAAGATGGGGGTACAGAGATAGGGGAATCCCCCAGAAGCTCGCTGGCTAGCTAGCCTGGAGTACTTAGCCAAAGAACAAACAGCACAAACATGGTGGAGGCTGCAGACTTGATGCCCAAAGCTGTTGTCTGACCTCCATCCAACACGCGCACACGCATTCACAAATCAATTAGGCCAGATCTTATATCACAGAGAAGAAACAGAGGACACGAAGGAGAATTGCCCCAGGAGCCTGTGATGTACAGTTCGCTTCGCAAAAGCCTTTCTCATCTTTAAACAATGACCACATGATCTAACATCGATTCTCACACCTTAAGAGACCAGAATGATGGCTTTTCCAGCTGATCAGAAAACTCAGCTTTATCACAGAGAGAGAGGCAGGCAAACACTTTAAGCAGCGCCCAGAAGGCCGCTGTATGATTATCTTGGTCACTGGCTCAGACATCAATACCTTCATCAGCTCCTTTTCTCTGTGGAGGTCCTCGTGAAGCTCGGGGAGAGGATTTCTGCTTTGTGATTTCAGGACTTGCAGCCTGCTTTGCAGCTCCTTGATTTTCTCTTCACACTGGTCCCAGGTCTATTTGAAAACAGCATTGAAACCGGTAAGTCCTTGGCTCTCCAGAACGAACTACAGAACAGACCCGCTCGCTCATTTAATGCACACACTCTGTCTTTTAGGTGGGTTTGGAGAAGCCACCCAGAAATCGGTTCCTGTCTTGTGCAGACTGACTGAAGGGAGATGTGGGACATAATCACTGGGACGGATTGGTTTGGAAGTATCTCTTTTCATCTTTCTGATCTATTATATCACTTTTGGATATGTCCACATCAAAGAGGCTACTGTAAGGATTGAGTCTAACACCCACATCTTCAGAGTGCATCCCAATAGCAGAGCCAGGCAAAGCACACTGGCATTCCCCCTTGTTTATCTCTTCTGATGCCTGGCTTTGGCCAACCTTTCACCTTGCAGCCACCCACCCCCCTGCCTGCTGCCTTCTGCTTGAAAGACTTTGGGGTTTGCAAAGAGTTTTCAAGTTGTATCTGCTCCCCTAGCTCACACATGTCACGTACCCCACAGAACAAAACTCACCCCCCCCCCCCCGTTCACAGCACAGGCGCTCTGACCAGCCCACAGACATTTACTGCCTACTTAGAAAGACCGTTCTGCTATCCGTTTTCAGTGCACACAACAGATTAGAGGGATGCCAGGAATAAGCCAGACACAAAACAAAACTAGCTTAATATTTTGGCAAGAAAATAAAAACTGCATTTGAAATCCAAGAGCATTGGTGGTGTTCGGTCATTAAGTTTAACACAGTTCAGTCCTTTAGAACACTTGGTATTCTGGCAAAATCAAACCAAAACCAAACCAAAAATAAACCAGCCAACCAAACAGACCAAAACTAAGATTTTCCTACTAATGACTCAAAACTTTTCTGTTCTTAAACTCATAGTTATTGATTACCCAAGAAACTCCCGTCTGTGGAAGAGTGCGTTCATTCTCTGGTGATAGCAGAGAAACCCAGAACAACTGTGCTTATTCTCATGTGTCCTGCCCAGGCTGGAGCCTAAGTGAGTGTTCATTTCATGTATTGAACATCCAGTGAATGTGAATGTTTCATGTCTCATCCAACTGTTCTTACATGTATTTATTTACTTATTTATTTAGTGTGTGAGGTGGGTGTGCCACAGTACATGATGGGGGTCGGAGGGCATTTTGCAGGAGTTGGTTCTCTCTTTCCACCATATGGTTTTCAGGGATTGAACTCAGGTTGTAGGCTTGGCACCAAGTACCTTTACCCACGGAGCCATCCTACTGGACCAAAGTAAATACCTTCTTCATAGCATCTCAAGTGTTTACATTTGCAATACTTGGTTTTTCCCATACAGCTATTATTTTATTAATAGTAGTAACTGGCATGACTCATACATTGGTAGGATATTCATTGGAAAATTCAGAATGCCAGATTTTATTTATTTTATTTTATTGTTTTTGGTTTTTCTAGACAGAGTTTCTCAGTGTAGCCTTGGCTGTCCTGGAACTCGCTCTTGTAGACCAGGCTAACATGGACTCACAGAGATCCGCCTGCCTCTGTATCTGAGTGCTGGGGTTAAAGGGCTGTACCACCACTTGGCAGAATACCAGAGTTTTAAAAACCATTCTTGTGGCAAGGCCGACAAGAACCATATGTAGTATATTACAGTGTCACACTGACCTCTGCTGTGGTCTGGAGCTGGCTGATCATCTCTCCCAGGCTGAGCTCAGTGTCCTTCCAGGTGTCCTGAAGCTTGTTGACTTGTCTGTCAATGAACTCTTTAGTTTCCAGGCTGGGTGTGTTCCGTAATTTCTCCCCGGCCTCCAAGGCCAGCTCATAGGTGGTTCGCCGCCTCTGAACATGGATCTCTTTGTTCTAAAAAAGAAAAGAGGGTTTGCCTTAAGTCTCTGGGGTGATGAGAATATGACGGTGGATTTTCCTCAGAGCTTCTCTGAAATATTAAAGATGTAGAACTCTCAGCTTCTTCTCCAGCACCATATCTGCCTGTGTGCTGCCATGTCCTGCCATGATGACAATGAACTGAACCTACGAAACTGTAAGCCAGTCCCAGTGAATCGTTTTCCTTTACAAGGGTTGCTGTGGTCCTGGCGTCTCTTCACCGCAATAGAAGCCCTCACTCAGACACTCCACATTGTGAGTCTATTACCTTCAGCTCATGGATGAGGCGTCTGGTTTGGTAGAGGCTGTGACAGTCCTGCTCCTTCACGGCAGACAGGAGGTGGCCGGTGTCAGCGAGGAAACGGAGCAAGTCCTCCACAGAGGTGGTGAAGAACTGCCACTGTGCCACCTGCCTGTGGATGTCACGCTTCCTCTGCTGGACACCCCGGGCAGCGCTCTGCCATCCAGCTGAGAGCTTTGAGACTTCGGAGACAAATTCTGGCCTAGGAGAAACAGATGGTGAGAGAGTCCCAACACGGACAGGTAGGAAAGGAAACCAGCGAGGACGGACAGAAGTCTGCATGCACAACTCGCGTGAGAAACAACAGCATCATGAAACCTGAACCCTATCTTAAAGCACAGTGAGGGGTGTGATGTCACAGGTGGACCTAGCCTGATGTTTGGTCAGCACCCGGGGAAGCATTCCCTTAAACACCCAGAGCTATCTTCACATACACGATGCCAAGATCTTCCTGGAAATCTAGGAACTGGACCAATGGAAAATGAATAAAAGGGCGGGTGTTGGGTCATGCACCAGAGCGCTTTACATAACCAAACACCCAAAAGTGAGCCGCACCACGGTCACCCAACTAGCTCTTCTCAGGTGAACAAAACCTCTCACGTGAGATGTGAGGTCATTCTCTATCATGGGAAAGTCCCGCTTGTCATAATGAGCAATCAAAATAGCTTAGTGCGCTGGACGGGGCCTGCGTGTATCCCTCGAGGACTGTGAAAGAAGATTCGGAGGCCAGGGAAATGATAACCTATCAGGGTACTCAGAGATTCAAAGAGCTGGGCCACCTCTGCATTCTGGCCATGTCAATTAGCTCCATGAGCAATGGTTCAGCCTGCTCGGCAGGCTGGCCTCAGGGCTCTGCCTAGCCTGCCTGCTGCTGCCCACTGACTCCATCGGAGATGCCTGGGGAGACAGCTCTCCTCTTATGGCTATGACACAGCTTCGTGCTTGGGATAGTGAATGGCACCTCACAACTCATTGTCTAATAACAAAACCTCGTGGGTGAGACGGGAGAGAGAAGGGTAGCACAGACACATCATTCAAAACTTAGTTAATATGCTCGGGGAGCGGCCCTTCCCAGAAGCCTCTGCGCTGCCAACCTCATCCACTTCCAACAGGACAAGGTACCATTAGAATTTATGTGACCATGAGGCACAACCCTGTCCTGATGCGTAGGAAGAAGCCGGTCCCATGGTAAGACTACAGGGCACGGATGTAGTCAAGAGTTACGTGTTGACCGTTAGAAGGATTAGATAAAAACCTACGGCGCCTCTTGTGGAGAGCCGGAAGAGAGGTGACCCAAGGCTCCACACATGAGCAAAGACAAGGATGCAAAGACTTTACATAACTACCCCGAGAGATGAGAACTCATCATAGCATTGTATCAATTGATTAAAATGCCACATAGCACCCTTAATCACGTGCAGAGGCTCCTGGATCAGAAAACCTGTCCCGCCAAGAGCGTTAGTTCTGGAATCCCATACAGCTTACCTGGTCTTGGTTTCTGCTGTGTCCAGGAGCTGTAAGGACTGGGCCACATAAGCATCAGCAACTGTCTGGTTGATAGAAACTTCAGCTTCCAACATCTGTTTACAGACCAAAACGGAAAATATCAGTTGACAGAATTCATTGTTAGGAATCTGGAACTTAATGCTTCCTAGGAAAGCTCTCGGAGGACCTGTGGAGTGGATACTTTTCAAGTTACTGGATGTTAACTACAAAACAGTTCAACCATCATTTTAATATTATTTAGGCATTTATTATTATCATTATTATTATTATTTTGCTTTTTTGAGATAGGGTTTCTCTGCTTGTTTTTTTTTTTTGTTGTTGTTGTTCTTGTTTTTGTTTTTTGTTTCTTGTTTCTTGAGGCAGGGTTTCTCTATAACTTTAGATCCTGTCCTGGAACTAGCTCTTGTAGACCAGGCTGGCCTCGAACTCATTGAGATCCTCCTACCTCTGCCTTCTAAGTGCTGGGATTAAAGGCATGCCACACCACCTCCCGGCATATATTAATATGATTTATGCACATAATACTGAAAAAATCAGACCTGGTAATAGTAGCTATGCCTAAATGCCTATGATCATTGGAGGACAATTAAAAAATTTTTTTAGAGACAGGAACTCCTTTGTTTCATTTGAGTCTCTTTGCCCCGCCTTCTGCCCCAGGGTGAGCAGCTGAGGGACGGCAGAGCGCAGGTTTACCTCATAGGTTTTCTGTTGCTCCCGGAGAGCTGGGAGGCTGTGGGCGACGTTCACGGCAAGTGCCTCTTTCAGCTTCTCCAGAAGCTGGGTCCATTTCTCACAGTAATGAAGGAAGTTTTCATTCAACCCGTTTCCCTGAAGTTTGCTATAAAAATTTGAAAACACATAAAACCGAGCCTTATAATGACGTCAATTCTACCTTCCCTGAAGCCATAGTAGGGAGGGGTGTTCTGACCTGCAGTGGTCCAGCGCCGTGGCTGTTGCCCGGATCCACTGCCGGTTCACATTTTGTAATGTTTTTATTGTTATGTCACTGAGGGGGAGCCGGAGGCTCTCTTCATTCAAACGTTCAATGTCAGGTGACTGGGCTGTCAGCACCAGTACGTGGTTCTGTGGGGGAAAAAAAGTACAGATAAAATGTCTACACGATGAGATGGCCTCCTTACCGTAAAGATGAGGGAAAACAGGGCCTGAATAGGTAATACAACTTACATATAGTCAAACAGTTAGAGCTAGAACTGGGCCCAAACTTAAATTTCTCAGTGGTGTTCCTATCTGTGGTCAACAGCCTGTATATATGGCATGGTGGCTACTCTGACCTGTCAACTTCTTTTTTAAAATAATATTTTAATTAGCCTTTATTTTTTGTTTTAATTTATTTATTATGTATACAGTGTTTTGTCTGTCTGTATGCTTGCTGGCCAGAAGAGGGCACCAGATCTCATTACAGATGGCTGTGAGCCACCATGTGGTTGCTGGGAATTGAACTCAGGACCTTTGGAAGAGCAGTCAGGGCTCTTAACCTCTGAGCCATCTCTCCAGCCCCTGACCTGTCAACTTTGACAAGATTCAGAATCACCTAGGAGACACATCCTCAGGAATGTTTGTCAAGGTGACTTCGGGGAGATTTAACTGAGGAGGAAGACAGCTCTTGGAAGATAGCATCCTATGGGGTGGGAGGCATGTCTGAGCAAAAAGAGAAGCAACCAGCCGAGTGCCACCGCTCATCTTTCTGTACTTCCTGACTATGGGCGTGGTGTGTCAGGCTGCCTCACCTGAGCATGCCCCCCCTACCATGATGGACTGTGGGCCCTAAAACCATGAGACAGAATAACCCTCCTTCTTTGTGAAACCTCTGCTATTATTGGGTGTGTGCATGCGTGACATCAGAGGGTTCCTCTGTGGAACTCCTCCAACCTGTATGTGAGCTCCACCTGCAGAGCCGCCTTGCTGGTCTCCAAACCCTTCACAAGTTGCCTTTGCCAGGAATTCTGTCACAGCTGTGAGAAAAGTGACACACAGGAGCACCACACCTAAGCAGCCCAAGAAGTAGGGAGGGACATTAAATTCTGACCTTAAGCAAGACTGAAAATGAGGGGTTTTGTTTTAAAGAACAATTCTGGACCTCCAAGCCCTATATAACCTGCCAATACCGTGACCTTCAGTAGGCTGCAGAGTGCCTACACATCTTATGAAAATCTGATCCTTAATATGTTCCTGGCTGAGTGTGGTGCTTAAACCAGACTTCAAGGAAACATTCAACCCGTGTTTTCCTAGAGCGTGAAGTCAAAGAAAGAAGATTCATCCAAATACTAATTTTAAGAAGCTATTCCAAGAACAGCCTCTAGGTCAACAATACGTCTACAGTATGTTCAGTAAACACTTTCCACAGGATCTGCGCTCTCTCTCCAGCTGCCACAGTCTAGGTCAGGAACAACAACGTCTTCGGGTTTTAGCTTTGAGGCCCGTCTTGTCTGGAAAGCAACCACTCAATCCCGTCCTCATAGCGCAGAACCCTCATGGGCAATGCATAAGTGGAAGAATGACTGGGCTTAAATAGAATTTTGTTTACAAAATTAAAAGGTGGCCTGGGTTTGGACAACATGCTGTCACTGATAATTCCTCACTAAGGTTATAAATACTGATCTTTGGGCGTCTGCAGGGTCCAGGATGCTTTAGTTCCTTTGTTTATCTTACGTTAATTATATAAAATCACTAAGGTGATTAAAAAGAAAAAAAAATGCCCAATTTCAATTGACTATTTTATATTTGATCTTCAAACTATCCCAAAAAATCCAATTAATCACAACAGAGCCTTCCTTGAATATGTGGGTTCCAAGAAGCTGGTTCATAATGATCTCAAGATAAAAACACCTATAGACAGTACATACATATCAATAATACCGCTATACTAATAATTGATTATTGAAACAGAGCGGGGATGAAAGGGAAGTGAAGGACTGAGCTCATGAATTAATCAGGACGCAGATGAAAGGGAAGTGAACGGCTGAGCTCGTGAGCTAAGGTGCGAGCAGATTCTTGCAGTAGTAATTAGCTTATTGTTTTTTTTAACCCAATGGAAAAGCTAAGCCCCTAAGAAAGACACATATTGTCAATACCAGGAACGATCCAGGAACTTCTTTTGTCTCTTCATGGTAAAGCTTATTCAAGTTTTCTTCCTCGTGCATAATAAGATCCTTTAAATAGTCCAGCCGGTCCCCAAAATCCTTTAATTGTGCCAGAACAATCTGTAAAGAGATATTTTCATTAGAATAATTTCAAGAGTATGTATGACAGAATGAAGCAGAGCATTCCTGGCTGCTAAGAGTTCAAGTTATTTTCCCTTCCAAATTTCACAGAGGTCTGCAAAGGCCCTGGGACTTCATTCTGTGGCTTTGGTCTTCCTAGACCAGTTCCACACAGGGAAGGGAGTATTCTGGTCCCTTTGTACTACTACTTAAAGTTTTCTCCTTCCTGATGATACTGAGACAATAGTAGAGATTTGTGGCTGTCTATGTAGTTTGCACTCTACAACGTGGGAAAATAATGGGGATTCCAGCAGCCACGCCTATGTCTCAATTACTCTACTTGGAAATCCAGATAACAGCCCAGCAATGGTGGTGCACGCCTTTAATCCCAGCACTAGGGAGACAGAGGCAGGTAGATCTTTATGAGTTTGAGGTCAGCTTGGTTTACAGAGCTAGTTCCAGGATAGCCAGGGCTACACAAAGAACTTTGTCTCAAAAAGCAAAGCAAAACAACCCCCCCCCCCCGCCCCAAAGAAATGCAGATAATGAGACTGAACGGGGTATGAAGCAGACTGCTTGTAAAATTAACATCGTCGACAAAGAAGAAATGGCCATTTCAGAGCTAGCCCTTGCCCATGTGATTAAGCAAGACTATGTTTGGGAGGCCTTCACCCTCCAGCTTCCCTAAGGTGCTGTGCAAACAGCACAATCGCTTCATAGGATTCAGCGGTGGCATGAGAATGCGCATAAGCACCACTCAAACGGAAGAAGAGCAAGGCGAACCTCAAATTCATTGGATTTCGCCAGCAGCATCTTTTCCAGATAGGCCGCTGTCTGGAGGGAGTGCAGCTGTTCAGAATGGAGCCCAAGGGTGCTGGGGTCTGCGGGCTGTGGGAGCTGGTCCAGGAAGGTGGAGTTTGCAAGGAAGGCCTCTTTCGTCTCCAGTACATCGTGCTGGAGCTCCTGGGGAAGGAGAAAGGACGACAAAATGCGGATTCCCCCCAATCCACAGTCCCCAGCCCCTGCCACTGTGCTTCTATAAATTTGGTGTGGCTGCTGTCTATTTTAAATAGCAGAAAAACTTAAACTTTTCTGAAGATGATGTATCTTCCTGGTGCCGCTCTGAAATTTGGCAGTTTAGAGACGAACCTCTCATTTCCACTGCTGGCTCCAAGTCCCAGCAGCTGAATTGAATCAAGACGACTTGTGTGCTTTGTGTTTCTAATTATCCAATACTTAAGGGATGGACTTTCAAATCAGCTCAAGAATCACTACAGGCTGTCCCTTGCCGGTGACGATATATCCCAATATAAATGGATGCATGTAGCATCTGCAGCGTCTCTCTAAGAAGGCAGACGGCAGGCTACTCTAAATCTGTTGCTCATTTTTGATTTGATCTAGGTCACATGATATGAAATATATCTTGCTAGCTAAGTTACATACTATGGCACATTCATGTTCGGGGTTTCCCCTCACAGTCCTGCAAAGACAGCACAGCTGAAACTGCTCTGCTCTTACAGCCTAAAAACCATGATCCCCCCAAAAAGCCATCCTCACACGGCACCAAGTCCAGGTTTGGTATTTCTGATATATGTGAGGGCATGAGTGAGTGAGTGAGTTGTCCACCTTGTTTATTATTTTGAGTCACAGTCTCTTCACCGGCTGAGGCTTACTGACTTGGCTAGGCTGACAGGCCAGTGAGCCCTGCTATGTCCACTTCTACAGCACGGGGATTTCAATAGCCACACTTGGCTTTGGATTGAATTCAGGTCCTCATTCTTGTGGCGAGTATTTAATCCACTGAGCCATATCCCCAACTCTCCTCCTCCTCACCACCAGCACCACCACCACCACCAAGACTTTCTTGTTTCAAATTATGTGTGTTGTGCTGACTAGTGTTTTGTCAACTTGACACAAGCTAGACTCATTTGGGAAGCAGGAACCTCAACTGAGAAAAAGTGTCCTCACTACACTGGCCTGTGGGAAAACTTGTAGGACATTGTCTTAATTAATGGCTGATCTGAGTTGGCCCAGTTCACTACGGGTAGTGCCACCCAGTGGTTATACATGACAGGTTGAGCAAATCATGAAGAGGAAGCCAGTAAGCAGCGTGCCTCCATGCCTCTGCTTCAGTATTTGCCCTGCCCTGAGTTCCTTTGTTGATAGGCTGCCATACGTAACTATAACCTGAAATAAACCCCTTTGTTCCCAAGTTGCTCTTGGTCATGGTGTTTTATCACAGCAATAGAAACCTTAGTTAAGACATGTACAAACGTTCATGTGTGTGTGTGCGCACACCTATGTAGACCTTAGTTAAGACATGTACAAACATTCATGTGTGTGTGTGTGCACACCTATGTAGACCTTAGTTATGTACAAACGTTCATGTGTGTGTATGCACACCTATGTAGAGGTACTCATGGGAGCCAGAAGAAGGTGTCTGATCCCCACAGAACTGGTGTTACTGGTGACTGAGCTACCCAACCATGGATGCTGAGAGACAAACAGGTCCTCTGAAGAAGCAGTACTCGTTCATAACTGCTGGGCCATCTCTCTAGCCCCACCCACCCAGCCAGGATTATTTTTGAGTCAAGAGATTCTTTTATGATCACAACCAGGTGAGGTACCGTGGCTTCTATTTCGGATTTTGTACGTGGCTTTTGTTTAGGGGCTTAACTGCTAGAATAGAAGTGTAAACTTGGAAAGGGGTGGTGGCAGGACCCCCTCGATCCATCTGCCGTCTCGTTCTTCCAACCTCACGTTGCATCTCACCCTGTGTCTGACACAGCCAGCTCAGGACACCTGTCTGACTCCTTTTCTGTCCCTGTGGTCGGTCTCATCCCAAGGTCATGGCCACACCTTATGAGACCTGTCTTGTTGGCTGATGTGGCTCTGTACCCACCTTTATGTCCTGCAGGGCCGGGGGCAGGATGTCTGTCAGGTTGTTTCCTGACATATTGATGTTGGCAAGCTGCTGGAACTTGGCCTCCTGCTGTTGCAGCCGGGCTGCGGCTTCTGTGTGAGCATGGTGAGAAGCCTTCCAGAGCTGCAGCTGACTTCGGGCCTCCTGCAACTGGTCTGCGAGGTCCTGGTTCACCCGGGTCCACCTGCCAGAGTAAAGTTAACAATGCAACCCTCTTTCTATCTTCCCTGTTAGCAGAATTATATACACACACTCTACCAGAAAGTTAAAAGGAGAGTCCTATTTTTATTTTTATTTTTTATTTTTTGAGACAGTCTCTCTATATTGCCTTGGCTGTCCTGGAACTCACTATTGTAGACTAGGCTGGCCTCGAACTCAGAGATCCGCCTGCCTCTGCCTCCTGAGTGCTGGGATTAAAAGCGTGCGCCACCATGCCTGGCTTTTAAAAAGGTCTTTCTTACACTGTTCTTGTGTCAAACAAATTTATCGTGCAACTATAGAAATAATATTCCTTATTTTCAACTTAAAATAAAGGAAAAAAAATTATTTCATTTACACACTTTTTATCTTGCTTGTTTGTTTTCATTTACTTTTTTAAAAAAAATTTTCTATGTTATTAATAAAAAAAAGTAATAGAAAAGGCTAGCCAGGTGTAGGCTCATGATTGTAATCTCATCACTTAGCTTGATTCAGGAAGATCATTACAAGTTTTAAGCCAGCTGGGAATATACAGTGAGTTTTAGGTCAGCTAACAACTGAATGAGATTCTGTCGGGAGGGAGAAGATAGATGGGAAGGTGGATGGGGGAGGAGAAAAACCAGTTTCAAATGGTTGGACAAAACATTCTGCGGATCATCTGTTGCACTTGTGTGAAAGGGGCCAGCGATGTAGCTCAGTGATAGAGCATTGGTGCAGCACAGGCCAAGTCCTGGATTCAATTCCCAGCAACTCAAACAGCAGAAAACACCTCCAAAAAGAATGACCTCGTATGCTCAGCAATGACGCGAATCCTTTAACAGCAACAGTCTATGTGTGAGGGGGCCCTGAAACCAAATGCGAAGCTTGGTACGTTATTGTCCCCTCTTCTGCGGGGACGCGACGGAGACCTGAGGATGCCACGTCAGGGCATGGAATTTGCTGTCCTGTGTTCAATACTTTATTGAAAGCAGGTGTGCATGGAGGAAGGATTGGAAGCAGCCTAGCTTCTCCACATTGCCTCAGGGAAACTAAGTCACTTTCTAAGGGATGTTTTGACCATGCCCATCCCACCTTACCCTACAGACTCTCCACTCCCCATTGTTCCTGATGCTGATTTGGGGGTTCCTGAGACCAAACCTTGCTTTTAGAGGATGCACTCCAGAAGCGGCTGCATTAGGGCATGTCTAGCTCGGTTTTCCAAATGCTGTATGAGTCACACTACAGCTCTCATGACACTGAACCTTACACGATGAACTACACCCTCTAAAACAGAGCCACAAAGGACACCAGCCATCTTGGAGGAGTGAGAAGCCTTTAGAAGGCCTAAGGGTCAAGACAGCTGGTTGATCTTTCTGTGCATACCTTGAGTGAGCATCTTGGCATTTCTCTTTCATTATTCCAGCAATGGGGGGGCAGGAATCTTCGAGTCTGCCAATAACTTCCCGCAGCTTCTCCCAGTTCCCTTCCCTGCTCTCAGCTTCATCCTGAAGGGCCTGAGGACACAGAGAATGGCCAAGTTCAGATGCTGTGGCCGTCCCTCTGGAAGGTAGTGGCTTCCTGACACAAACATGTAGACCTTACAGGATGGTGACACACGATCAAGAATGGGAAGGACTGGCAAGGCCTTCCTTCCTCAAGGTTGAACTCAGAGTACTAAGTTATTAAACACACGACACTTGTCCATACATGCAATTTCACAAACCGTGAAAGTAAACAGACACAAAAAATCCAACATTTAATTCCTGTGGCCCACAGACCCAATTTTAAATAAAATTCCAAGATATGCCTTTGGTACCTCTCACCACCTTTTGCTTCTCTGCAAACAGCACTAAAGCACCTGCGTTCATTACTATGCTCGCTTCCACCTTCAACTTTTACCGCTGGCCGCACTGTTGGACTTACCTGAAGGCTCTGCACCTGGCAGTCCAAGGCCTCCCTGGACAAAACAGCAGGCTTGCTGTGCTCCATGGAGTATGCCAGCTGGGTTGTCGCCACGTTGGCCTCATCGTAGAGCTTGTCAAAGGCCTTCCACTCCTGTAGCGCTGACTGCGTGGAGGCCCTGAGCTGATGGACCTATGGGGAGAGCAGAAACTCCTATGACCATACATTCAAGCCCCTTAAGGAAGGTGCCGCCTGCAAATGCTTCCCCCATCCTTGAGGGCAGGAACCCACCATGTCCTATTTTCTCTTACTCCTGGTGGTAACCTAAACAAACAAGGTTAAGAAATCACTGAGTGGGCTCATTCCTAGGTCTCCCCACCCAGTAGCTTGTCTTTGCACCTCTCAGTGATGTTCTCCAAAAGGACCAAGTGATCATTTTCCATGAAGCCCAGCTTCTTTTCCCCTCTCTGGCTGTTTACGTTTCTAGCGTCCTATTTCGAAGGCCAGTCGTGAACATTTAGGTTGCTTTTTAAAGAGCTTTACAGTTGTGACTCTTATGTTTATAGCTGGTTCAAGTGAAATCCTGTATGAGGTACCGAGCCACCATTGTGCCACTCTTTTTTATGTTGATATCCGGGTGCCTAAAGGCACACTGTGAAAAAACTCCCCCTTCTCCCTGTGAATTAGCTTGGTAGTTTTGTTGAAAGGTCAGCTGGAAAGTTTATTTATTTACTTGGACTCTTGCATTTATCTGTGCCTCTCCTATGATCCTGATATCTGCATGCTTTATATACACTATCTTAATTCAATTTCCCCTCTGTATTTTCATGACATTATGTATTCATTACATTGCTGTTATCTGTTCGTGTGCATTTCCTGCACGGCCCGAGCTCCTTGAGGGTATGATTCCATTATTTTCTGCTTTCTCTTAACTCCTGCTGGCGAGCAGAGTAACTCAAACAAACAGGATTGACAAATGACTCAGGGAGCTCATCCCTATTTTCCCAGAGTCCCAGGGAAGGGATGATGCTTCAGGTTGCCTAGGGATTTCAGTCACACAGCTTGTCCCCCAATTCCCCCTAGGAGCAATGGTTGAAGGCAGATCTTAGTACATGGTGTATATACCCAGTGAGGATTCTGGAGGAAACACAAACGCATAATTGGCTGGCTTTCAGAGCATCCTCCCTGGGTGGGAGGGAAACGCCCTTGGCCAACCTCAGCTTTCTCTTCTGGTGCTCTTCTTTGCAGGGGCATCTCCCTTCTCTCTGCCCACCTCTGGTATTCTCCCTAAGCCCACCCTGCCCCCAGCTCCCGAGGCTAAGTGATATGGACCCCTCCCTTCCTGCTTGCTGCACCTCCTACATGCTGTGCTGCTTCTTCCTAACTGCTGCCGGGAGCTGACCTGGAAACACTGCCAGATGTTCAGCTGGCCTGAGTAACGGAGACATTTGTGCTTGCCTGAGTATGTTAGACAAAACAAAGATAGCCAAGAGGGTCTCCTGCCTGACAGTGCCCCATCATGATCTACAGCTTTGCCGCCAATTATTTAGGGCATGGACTTGAAACGCCTCTTTCCACTTCAGTGTGTCTCTCAGCAGCTCTCTGGTTTTTTTTAACAGGGGGCAAATCTCTGTGATAAGAGAACAGTAACAACAACAAGCGAAAAGACTGTCTGGGGAGACTGAGTGATGTCTCTTACCTGGCTGGTCACATTACTCTTCTTTTGAAACAGGTCATCAATCCCAGACGCCATGTCTTCTAGCAGCGGCATGTCTCCCCCCTCCAGAGTCAGCGAGCTTTGTCTCAGCTCATCCAGTGCTTTGGATTTCACGGCAAGTTGATTTTCTATGTCCTAGACAACACACACACACAAGCGTCACACTACAGAACAATAAGCAAACAGGAGTTTACTCTTTTCAAGTGAAAACTGCCGGTGGAGCACACAGGGAACACCCGCAACATACGTAACACCCGCAGCAGCGGCATTTTAAACATACTTCACTTTTTAAGACAGGGCCTTTGTCATGTAGCCCAGGCTGGCCTCAAGTTCACGAACCTCCTGCCTCAGCCCCCTGAGTGTTGGGATTATAGGCACGAGCCATCTCGGCCAGCCTCACAGATATTCTTTTTTTTTTGTTTTGTTTTTTGAGACAGGATTTCTCTGTGGCTTTGGGGCCTGTCCTGGAACTAGTTCTGTAGACCAGGCTGGTCTCGAACTCACAGAGATCCACCTGCCTCTGCCTCCCGAGTGCTGGGATTACCTCACAGATATTCTTAATTCAACTTTATATTCTCTATTTTAGGAGCGTCTAGGGAACAGGTTGTTGGCATAGGATGGAAGTCATGCGGGACAGATAGTCTTTGTCAGACAACTCCCCGCACTAGCAGTGTGGCCCAAGTCATCAGACCCCAAGTCCCCATTTCCTTAGCACCCAGGGCCATTCATAACTTGAATTTAATGAAACCACAAGCCGGAAGAAGGCGCTTGCACACCGCCAAGCAGCACTTAAACGACAGGAGCACGGTTCCTGCCTCTTCAGTTGCTTAACAACTTGCGGTCTTTTTGTATCTTCATCTATTAAGGCACTCAAAAAGCCACCCCACTGGCTCTGCGGCTCATCGCACGAAGGTGAGGCAGGAGGATGGCTATGAGTTTGGGGCTAGTCTGGTATATACAGTGAGATCCACAAAGGTGATTCTCACGTTTGGAAGTGGGCCTGGGCAGCCAGGGCATGAAGTGACAGAAACTCTGATCTCTGTATTCTTCCACACCTGCACATGGCTGGACCCTTCGCTTCAACAACACCCTGTGTGCGCGCGCGCGTGGGGGTCCTCGCTGGCAAGGGGCTGCGTTTCCCGGCGGTTGTTCTGCAGACAAAGGAGTACCTCGGAAGCTCGCTTTGCCAGCAGGACTCATAGAGCACCGCCCTGCTCACCCCTCCCCCACTCCTGCCCAGGAGCCACACTTTGTCCTTGTAATACGATGCCTCGAAATGTGTTTGAAAATGCTGAATCGCTGTGTCCTTCAAATTTCTAACCATCATCCATAAGATTTCTAAGAGTAGCTTCCAGCAACTCGCCATGTTTCCTCTACAGTGCAAGGACGGTTCTGTAAGAGGACTACTTAGCAGGGAGCTGAGAGGAAGTATCAACACACAAACACACTTTTTTTTTTGGATTTTCGAGACAAGGTTTCTCTGTAGCTTTTTTGGTTCCTGTCCTGGAACTAGCTCTTGTAGACCAGGCTGGCCTCGAACTCACAGAGATCCGCCTGCCTCTGCCTCCCCAGTGCTGGGATTAAAGGCGTGCGCCACCACCGCCTGGCTTACAAACACCACTTTTACAGCAGACCACAACCGATAGTATAAATAATAAGCTTGGCCGTACTAGCACACCAGCCCTCCCCTACAAGCATCTGCTCTTGCTTCTCCTCCTCGAAATAACACGGACTGGGCCCAGCCCTCCTGCAGCCCACCCTTGTATCACTGGAACCTTCTGGTACTTCTTTACGTATGCCAGCTCCCACCTCACCCAAACGCTAATCATCTTCCTTTAAATCCTGATTTGCAGCGCGAAACATTAGGTGAAATGAAGAGACTTGCTAATTACAGAGCTTCCCGAGAAGCTAACTCCAGCCTGTCTGTGAGAAACAGTGTTAAATACCTTTGAAATCTCCCAATTCCCAAGGCTGGAGAGACAGCTCAGATGTTGAGAGTGCCCACCACTCTGGCAACGGACCCTATAGTGCGATTCTCATCACCCAGCTCTAGTTGGTATCTGATGCTGCTGGCCTCCCAGGCACAGGCATATTCACACACACACACACACACACACACACACACACACACACACAAATAAAATCATAAAGCAAATCTACGGAAGACTCGCTTAGGTCATTACTTTGCGACTCCTGGCAGCTTCCTGCAGAGGAATGTTGAGCCCCAGGCAGATGCTAAGGTAGAGAGGAGAGTGGGAGTGGAAACAGGAAGTGGCCTTCAGAAAGGACCTCCTAGTTGCTGCTCTTTTTATTTCATGACGGGAGCTGCCAATAACCACAGAAGAACGGGACTTTGCCCCAACTTTCCAGCCCCAGAAGAGGCTAGTGGGGAGCTGATGTGGGAGTGTCATATATCAATCTGTTGATTTCATTGGTTAAGCAATAAAGAAACTGCTTGGCCCTGAAAGGTTAAAACATAGGTGGGAGGAGTAAACAGAACAGAATGCTGGGAGGAAGAGGAAGTGAGCTCAGAGACGCCATGCTCCGCTCTCCAGATGCGATAGCTCTGCTCTCTGAGACACACGCGATGAAGCTCCGACCCAGGATGGACGTAGGTTAGAATCTTCCCGGTAAGCGCACCTAGCTGTGCTACACAGATGATTAGAAATGGGCTAAATTAATATGTGAGAATTAGCCTAGAAGAGGCTAGATAGAAATGGGCCAAGCAGTGTTTAAAAGAATACAGTTTGTGTGTTGTTATTTCGGGCATAAGCTAGCAGGCGGCCAGGGTGCTGGGGACGCAGCCCAGCCACTCCTATTACACCAGGGAGCTAGGCTGGTGGGGAGCCTTCCCACAGCAAAGGCAGAAGCAGCACTGGCCCTCTGCAGCCATGGTGACAAGTGACCTGTGACTGGGGCATGACTAGCTCTGGTTGCGCTTCCAAGGATGGGGCCACACCTTGGCGAGAGTTTTGAGGGTGGCGTGACCTGGCCAATGGATAAACGCCCTTATACCCAAGTGTGACCGGGTCCAAGGGACAAGTGGTCCTTCTAGACCACTGTACACAACAGGTGGCAGAAAATGATCTTCTTCGGGCAAAGTGCAGAAGGCAAGACTAAGCATAATGGAAACATCCGAGTCATTTTGCCAACGCTGGGCAAAATAATAAAAAATACAGATGGGAAGGCACGGAAGCCAAAATTCCCCGGAAATGTTTCCTTTCCTTAAAAGTGACATTCAAACCTCATAAAAAGCAACAAAGACCACGCAAGGGCCTTCTGCCTATGATTGAAAAAGTATCACTTTACAATTATTTAAAACCCATGGACTCTTGTCTAACTTATACGAAAAAGTAAGTATGGTCATGCACCATACGCGTGTCGGCAATCCCATACTGCCCTGGCGTGTAGCAGGCAACCCCATCCTAGGTGTCTGTAAGTAGAGGCTGGGACAGCGTTCGCTAACCATGGACCTCTCCGATGTGTCCCTGTCACTAAGCAACGCATCACTGAGTGCGCAGGGGAGCTGGAGCAGCATCTCCAGGAACTACAGCATCTTTCCTCTTCCTCAGGACAGGTGTGGGCACTGTGTGGCCCAGACACCGGGTGGGCAGGATGCTGCCCCTCCTCACCTGGCAGTCCAGGAGGAGCTTCTCCATGGAGATGGCACTTTCGGGTTTTTGGAGTATCTTCAACTTCTCTTCCTGTGCCTCCAACCAACTGTTCAAATTCTGTATTTTGTTTTCATTCTCGGTGATACTTTCCAGAAGTTGTTCCAAATGTTGTATCTGTATGTGATGGAGAAAAAAATGTTACGAAGGAAAATTTACTTTCATCTCTCTTCTTAAAAATGTGTGACAGTTCGCATGGGAATGTCCCCCATAGGCTCTGGTGTTTGTAACACCTCGCTCCGAGATGGTGGAGAGGTTTTGGGAGATGTAAGCGGTGTGGTCGTGCTAGAGGAGCGGGCTTTGAAGCTATACAGCCTCACCCTACTTCCAGTCTGCTCTCTCTGCTCCTGGCTTCCTGTTAAAAACATGGTCTCAGCCGGGCGGTGGTGGCGCACGCCTTTAATCCCAGCACTCGGGAGGCAGAGGCAGGCGGATCTCTGTGAGTTCGAGACCAGCCTGGTCTACAAGAGCTAGTGCCAGGACAGGCTCCAAAGCTACAGAGAAACCCTGTCTCGAAAAACTAAAAAAAAAAAAAAAAAAAAAAAAAAAACATGGTCTCTCAAACTGGGTGGCAGTGGTGCACGCTTTTAATCCCAGCACTCAGGAGGCAGAGGCAGGTGGATTTCACACTAGAGAGAGAGTTCCAGAATAGGTTCCAAAGCTACACAGAGAAAACCTGTTTTGAAAAATCAAAAAAACAAACAAACCCAACCAACCAAACAAAGAAACAAAACCCAGTGATCTCTTGGTTTCTTGCTCAGGTCACCATGCCTTCCTGTCATGATAGGCTCTTCTCTCTCTGGAACTATAAGCCCAAATAAACTCTCCCTTATATAAGTTGACTTGGTCATAGTATTTTATCCCAGCAACAGAAGAATAACTAATACAAAATGTAAATAGCATTATGTGGTTAGCTAATTTTATTTTGCTACAGGATTTGCATCCTTTTGAAATGAAAAGATAACTTGGTTTCTTTTAAAAGTTGTTAAATATTTTACATAACAAAAATGAACTGGTCATTCTGGAATGAAGATTTGTAAGTCAAAATAACTCCTCTCTATGAAAAACAAAAACACATTTTTTTTTAAAAAAAATAAAACATAATCTGTTGAGAGAGCTAACTGCTCTGGAGTTTCATAGTATCTATGCCAAACAAAATTATGTTTCTAAACTTCAATATTTTTTATTATATCCTTCATTAACACTGGTATAGTTAAAGGAAGTTTTCTTCTTCTGACTCTCTAGAGTTGCCTAACAATTATTTTCTTTAAATTTTTTTTAGCCTTATTGACTTATTGTATGTGTAGGGATGTTCAGCCTGCATGTATAGATGCACCGTGTATGTCTGGTACCTGCAGAGGTCTGACGACGTCATCAGATTCCCCTGGGACTGGAGTTACAGACAGCTGTGGGCCACCGTGTAGGTGCTGGGAACAGAACTTGAGTCCTCTGCCAAGAGCAGCCAGTGCTTTTAATCACTGAGCCATCTTTGCAGCCCTGCTTAGCAGTTTCTTGATAGACATCGATAGGCCATCAACATCTCAAATAATTCAACAGTTTAACAAGACAGGTTATTTTCTAGTTCTGATTCTTATTTGTAATACAATTTCATTATGTAATCACGGTATATACAAAGTTTTATTCTTCTTCTGTTGGTCTGCAAGCTCACCGGGTTGAGACATACCCAGCCAGGTGAGCCTTTAGTCTCAGAACTCAGCTGGTAGATCTGGGAGTTCAAAGCTAACCTGGTCTATATAGCAAGACCCTGTCTCAAAAAACATAAAATAAAAAAATAAAAGATCTCTTCTTAGATGGACACAGTATCACTTGATCAATTGTTCTAAGGTTGGAAATTAAGGCCCTGTACATTTTTGCAAGTATAAATAATACTGAGAACATTTGGTATACTTCTTTTTGGGAGGACTATCAATCCACTTAAAATGACTGTCTAAGAACTACACTGGATGATTAAGGGATCCAATGAAATTTTAGATTTTTTTTTTAAAAACATTCCCAATATTTTTCAAAGAAATTTTAGGTCATTCCCACACCAACAGTGTAGCTTTGGGTTTTATTTTGCTAACTAATTAGCTCTATGTCCTATAGTGTTTGTTTTGGGTGTCTGAGGATTAAGATGGATACATTTCCATTTTTATTTGTTGTGGGATATTTGTACACCGTGTGAAGGTGTAGTGCTGTGATTAGTGTAAAGCCTAACGGCCAATAGCGAGGCAGGAGGTGTGGGCGGGATTTCCGGGAGACAGATAGTAAGGAGTAGGAGATGAATCTAGGTGTCAGACACAGACACCAGGAGACACAGAAGAAGCAGGAAGTGCGCGTATCGCACTTCCTGCAGTACGTGACAGAATGCAGATGAACAGAAATGGGTTAATTTAAGTTATAAGAGATAGAAAAAACCAAGTCTAAGTGAAGGCCAGATTTTCATTATTAATAGTAAGTCTCCGTGTCATTATTTGTGAGCTGGTGGCCCAAAGGAGTGTTCAACTATGTTTATCTATTAACTAGATTTCTTCTTTTTTATTTTCTTGACTTTTCGAGACAGGGCTTCTCCGTGGAACAATTCTGGCTGGACCAGAACTCACTCTGTAGACCAAGCTGGCCTCGAACTCACAGAGATCTGCCTGCCTCTGCCTCTTGCATGCTGCGATTAAAAGTGTGCCACCACCGCCTGGCTTAACCAGAATTTCTGATTTTGAGAACTATCAAGTTGTTCATCTATTCATGTACTTGAAAATTTAAATAGGAATCTTAATTAAATAAATACACTTGTGTGCTTTTATTTTAATACAGAAAAGAGATGGGGTATTTGTTACTATTCTCATGAACAAGTTTTCTCCACATTTCATGAGTCGCGCAGTGGAAACCCGCCGCGCGCATTTCTTTTTTCTTGTTCAGTCATCTCAAAGATGAAACTGCTTTGTCCCTTTGGACATGTTTCCACAGAAAATGCCAAACTCTCTGATCTTTTGGTGGCCTGACATATTCCTTTTCACTTGCCCAACTTTATTTCCCCAGGAAATCTCAACAGAACCGCAAGCGTCACTCTCTTCCTCTGTTGCGTGCACCCACGGGAAACGCGCAAGCGCGGGGTTTTACAGGGGCTGCAACTGGGGCGGTTAGGAGGCTTCAGAACGCATATCAGCTTTCTGAAGAGCGCGTAGGAGCTCTCAGCAAGGGGCATTTTGCAAGGATGAATTCAATCATCCAAGGGTGACTACAGGACACACCTTTCTATTCAGGGTTCCGTGCACTCGGTGCCACTGGCGGTTCATCTCCCCCAGGTGCTCGGCAAACTCCGTCCTTTCATAGCGCTTGCTTTCGACATCGCAGGTGCTTAGCTGAAGCAGTGACTGGTTAACGAAGTCAACTATCCATTGCTTGTAGTCCATCTCCATTCTGAACTCCTAAAACACACGGACAAGCAAAATGAAACACCATTGTCAGGGTGGAAGGCCATCACACAAACTGTATTGTTCATATGGCTGGACTCTAGGGGGCGCGATCCCACCGTCGGAAGCGCCTCCCGCTTTCCCCACCTTCCGCGGGGTCAGAGTGGTTGCTCTATCTGCAACACATTCTTAGGCACAGCGTGACTCACTTCCCTTTGAACACACTGGAAACTGCACCACATAATGGGAGCTGCTCTCTGTACTGGGCTAGCAGGTCCCTGGTCTGACAAAGAGAAGTTGCCTGAGAGTTATGTGAGATTCTGAGCCATTTGACAACTCAAGGTACAACAGGACAGAAAGCAAAAGGGTCTGTCACACCTATAGAGAACCTGGCCAACTTAGGCAGCTGTACTATCCCTTGGTGACAACGGCCTTCTATGGTTATTTTGTTCTATCATGGCTTTAAGTTCTACCCTGATCCTAAACCCACCAAGGGTAACTATGTATCTGTCAAGCCTGTCATCTGTTGGGTTTTACTCAAGAAAGTTCTAGCTCTGCTAATGGAGACAGCCAGGAGGAAGCAAGTAGAATGTTCTAGTAACTGTAGCTTATGCAGACCTTTTGAAGATGCTACCAGGCATTCAAGCTAAGATGTGATGGTAGGTAAAAACCCAAATCAGGCCAGACGTGATGACATACACCTTTAATCCTAGTTCTTGGGAGGTAGAAGCAGACAGATCTCTAGGATTTGAGGCCAGCCTGGTTTACATAAGCAAGTTATAGGTCACCCAGGGCTACAGTGAGACCTGATCTTGCAAAGAAGAAAAAAAAATTCTGCCACACTCATTCTTGGCCAATAAGTGATTCATCTTCTGCCTTCCAGACACTAGCTCCATCACTGCCAGCTCTTTGAAGGCCACGCCCAGGCTCCTCATTTACCTGCCTGGCACACTCCTTGGCACACATGACTGTGTCTTGTTATATGCTCATGAAATCTCAAAATTCAGATCTGGAAGGACATAAACTTTTCTTTTCCTCGGGGACATTAGTGACCACTGCAAGCCAAACATTGGGGTATTTCTTCCAGGTGGGAATCTCAGTCAAGGCAGGGAAGGAAACAGGGACGAAGCTAAGCAGTGGTAATAGCACTGGAGCTAGAGAAAAGGTCACAGAGACAAGTCTGGCAGATTCATCTAACCGGGCAAGGAGACCTGGGGTGGAAGAGCCTCCGAAGTCATACGTGGATCAGAGTATGTGTAAAGCGGGTAGTGACATTTCAGACAGCAGGGGCAGCGTGCACCCAGCATGTGTGTGTGGGGGAAGGTGCCAGAAGGGGTGAGGCACCCAAGCTGGAATTGGTGCTGATGTGGTGGGTGAAAAGATGAGCTCAGGGAGTCCATTAAGAACTTGGATTGTCTTCCCTAGAGTAATTTGCCACTCCCTTCCCTTCCAGCCTCCTTCAGATCTGTTTCTCTTGATCCTATCTCACAGGTCTCTCGAGTCTGCTTTTCCCCTCTAAGTGACGTGCTCCCATATTCAGTGAAAAGGCCTCAGCCCCTGCTGTATAATTACCTTGAGCTTCTGCAGACGACTTTTGACTTGAGCCACAGAACGCTGGGAGAGCTCAGCGTCCTCGCCTGCAGCCTGAGGCTCCACAGCGTCCATCCAGCTGATCATCTCGGAGATGGCGCTGCGAGAAGGCAATTTCTCCATCTGAAGCTGCAAGGGCAGAACGATTTCCATTTAATTACCTGCCGTTAACCGGATGGATCAGGGCATCGCTAAGGAAGACACCTGCTTTGATAGACAGTCTTGCGACATGATTATGCAGATTAGCCATGAAGACAAACCCAGTATTAAAGTTTCAAACAAGCGACCCCCAAACAATATAAAATCCATATAAGCCAACTCAGTGGCACAGAGACAACCAAGAAATAAAGTAATTAAGCTTGATCTCTCTCGTAAGAAAGACCTCATTGGAGGAGAGTCTAGTAATTAAGACCTATATTCAGTAGTGTGTGTGTGCGCGCGTGCGTGCGTGCGTGCGTGTGTGTGTGTGTGTGTGTGTGTGTATGTGTGTGTGTTGGGAGCTAGGCAGTGTCAAAGAAAATGAGTGAGTTAGAAAGATAATTTTAAGAGTCGTGAGCTAACCAGTGCATGCTAATTTAAACACTATGTCTTTAGACACTTACCTGGTGAAGTTTCTCTTGAATGTCTGGAAGCTGGGTTATCAGCATTGTCCATTTCTGCTCGAATTGTGCCAGAGACGTTCTCAGTGTGGCTGTGTCTGCCTCCTTCAGGTGGAGAAGCTGGTTCCCAGTGCTCAGGACCGCAGACTTCAGGGAGGACTTCTCATCAACTTCCTTGGAAAATTCCTAGAAGAAACAGTTCCTAAGATCGGGTACTTTCAAAACCTAAGTACAGTCAGAGTAACTGTCTGCACTACCAAACTAAAGATGGTAAACGTCTACACACTCACACACTCACACACACACATACACATACATACATACACACACACACACACTCACACACACACACACACACACACACACACTTTACCTTCAGAGGCATCACAGATGCACTGGAGAACAAAGCACATGGAATCTCTAGCTCCTCTTAACTCAGAGGATCCATATTTTTAAAAATAGGTAAGTTCAGCCTGGAGAGATGACTCAGTGATTAAAAGCACTCATTGCTTTTTACAGGTTCAGGTCCTAGTACGCACATGGTGGCTAACAACCATCTGTAATTCCAGTTCCAGGGGATTTGGTGTCTTCTTCTGACTTCCAAAGTATCAGGCGCGCGCGCACACACACACACACACACACACACACACACACACACACGGTGCACATCCATACATGCAGGCAAACCACTCATACTCATGAAGTTAGATTAGCCATGTTCAATGGCCAATTTGGCAAGAATCTGTGGAGTCCATATTAAATGAATTACTTGGAATAAATTTTCAAATAAGATATTTGAAGTCTTTCCTATGTATAGGTTCTTTCAAGAGCATTGAAAAAAACTTGTATTTTAATATTAAAGTAAGTAGCCATAGCTATAAAACAGAAGAGAGTAAAGACCAAGGGAAAATATTTCACATGTACTAACAAATTAATATAGATCCTATGCATAATTTTCTCTATTAGGAGGTTGAACCTCAGTGCCTGCACACTTATTAGGTGAGTGTTCCATCACTGAGCTACATCTTTGATCTGTAAGTTCATTTTGTTATGAAAGAAAACTTCCCTTGGTCAAAATAATAAAACTTGAAACATGAACAGAGAATTCTCACAGGAACTTAAAATCACACACCTGTTAACTCCATGAAATTATCCTAGAGGAAGGTAGTTTGAGGATTGGCTATTTTTTATTATTAATAAGACATGCCAGGTTTGAGCAAGCTTTACATTTACATAAATACTCTAGTCCATTAAATAGTAGCAGATAGCTCTAGGAACACATCTTGCTTGCATGCCTGACCTCTTACCCACAAACGGAGCAGAGATCATCACAGCAGCCTCTACATTTTTATTCTTGGTACTTATTTTTGACCAGTAGTGTAAGCAACTTACAAAAAACCTGTCGATGTTGCTTCTGATCGTATCCAGGTCCTGAGACACGTTGAGGGACTGTTCTTTCCAGTAATTCAATGTTTGCTGAGAAGATTCCAGCCATCTGGTCAGCTCATCCGAATCCCTGCTGTAACTATCGGGGGCAAAGCGAGAATGAAAATTAGAAACTCACTCCGGGGACGACAGGCACCGGTGTGTATAGTTCTTATCTTTATTGTTAATTTCCACGATTAGCACTATTACTAAAAAATCATGACATTTATGAGTATTCTATCATGTTTTATACCATGCCCCATGCCTATGGTCTTAGCATTTTCTAGAACTGTCTCCATTAGGGATAATCAAGAAGGAAGAAAGTCTATCCATCCACCATGACAGAGATCAGCTTGGCCATCAGTGTTCTCCAGTTCCTTGTTTACAGTGAAAATAAAACTAGCATTTGCCGATGGTGCTCAACAACACACTGCTGTTGGCTGCGCGCTGTAATAATTATTGTGTTATCTCATATGATGGAAACAGGCAACAGAGCACCATCTTCCTTGCAGCTTCTCAGCTTGTTTATTAGCTTAGAGCCTCTGCGAGGCAGGGATGAGTCTGAGGCTTAAATGTTTTCTATTCCCCCCATCATCCTCTGGTAGTTCAAGGTAACTCCAAGCGAGCACAACATGGCCTCCGAGGAAGTCAAAAGACTCAAAGCGCTCTATGAGCTAAAATTATTAAATGGTCTTAAACTTTTATTTTATTTATTTTTCTGTTTTGCAAGACAGGGTTTCTCACACGGTACGATGTGGTGGACCTCATACAACCTTGAGCTGACTACAGCGTCTTCCTAGAGTCTTTCTCTACAGCAGAACACGAGGCCAACCGATCTCTAAGGCAGCATACCTGAGGAGATGCTTAAGCAGGGTTTGTAGTCTGTGGAGCTCGTGGTCAATCTTCTTGTTGAGGGACAACCACTTCTCTTCTAGCTTGGTGATCTGGCCCTCCAGCTCAGGACAGCTCACAGATGCCGCCAGCTGTTTGCCTTCGTTCAAGGTCTGGCAGAGCCGCAAGTGCTTTCCGTCAATGTTTCTTTTTATTTGCTAAAAAAAAGTCACAGAATGAATTAATCTTAAGTAAAATCTGCTGATCTAACCTCTCTCTTTCTCTTTAGTAACACAGGGTCTTATTATATAGCCCAAGCAAACCTGAAAACTCACCATGTAGCCCAAGCTTATAAGCCTTCCAAACACTGAGATTACAGGCTGGCTCCAAACATCTGAACTAAGGGATCTTTCTGGCTCAGCCTCCTCAGTAGTGGGACCATTGGCACATCAACCACTCCAGGTTTCACACGGGCTTGGATTCATAATGTAGATTATTTTTCTAACTTTTTAAATTCTTTAATAATATTATTATCATTTTATGTGTATGGGTTCTTTGCCTGCATATATATCTGTGCCACATACATATGCCTGGTGCCAGAAGAAGGCATTGGGTGCCCTGGAACGTGAGTTACAAATGACTGTGAGCTGCTATAAGTGCTGGGAATCGAACCCAGGTCATCAGCAGCTAGTGCTCTTAACCACTGAGCCGAGCCTTCAGCTGACACAAAGATTATCTTGAAAATCAGGAAATTTTAGACAAAAATTACATAAAATCTAGAAATCAGGATTGCCAGTGTCTCTGTGAACATCATGAGATGTACAAACTCAGGGTCTAGATCCTGGTGTGCAGGGCCCTCTTAAGGGACCGCGATTCGCCATCCCTCCCATGTTAGTCCACACTCCCTGCTGTGGAGTCTCACAGATGGAAACTTAGCCAGGAGGGGGATAAACACGAAGATAATTATCTATTATTCACCAGACACGCAGACCAGGGGGAAGAACTCATTTGCAGATGCTTTTGATATGAGGACTAAGAGGGAGAAAAGAACTTTCCAATAAATTAACACAGCACATTATTAAGCCAACTTCACACGCACGTAAAATAAAATCTTTCAAAACTGCAAATACAATGACCCCCCGAAGAGAACTCTGTCTAACAGCAATTATCTCCATAGCTGGTTCAGCTAATGCCAAGTACCTGGTGGCTGGTTAATCTTTAGAAGAAAATTATTTCCAAAATAGAACTTTGGCTATTTTCCTATCAAAAAAGTGGTTACTTTTTCTTTTTTCTTTTTTTAATTTCTCTTTCTCTTCTATCCCTTTCCTAGCTATAGGCAAGGATAAAATGTTCAAAATCAATTACAAAATGCGCTGTCATTTTCTAAGCCTAGTTACTTGGCCATCATAGAATCTCTGAGATGCTCCTTATTGCTGTTTATTAACGTGTCTGTGTATACACAGCACATTTATAGCATCATAAGTTAACACATAGCACCTGTTCCTTCAGAGAAGGGAGATAAGGTTGGCCTCGAATGTAATGATCCTCCTGTCTCCACACCAAGTTCTAGGATTACTCAGCATGCACTACTATGCCTAGACATCAAACCCTGGGCAGGCTTCATGAATGGCAGGCAATGAACTCGACTAACTGAGCTATATCCCTAGAGCCCTCTGAGGGCTTTGATGCCTTTATTCTAGAGAGAAAAGGCATGCTGGCCAGATGGAGCTCCACACAGCTTCTGAAGACAGATTTGTCCCTGTTCAGGGGCTGCACAACTATGGTCTTCATTCTATGGCCCAGACTCCACCAAACAACCACATTGGGTGGACACCTGGACCTCTGTGACTCCAAGGGACTATGAATGGCCCAGAGAAGTCCACAGTGAGGTGCAATTTGAGGGATATATTTTAGGATGAAGAATTTGTTCAGGCTGGGTAGTGGTGGTGCACTCCTTTAATCCCAGCACTTGTGAGTCAGAGTCAGATGGTTATCAGTGGGTTCAAGGCCAGCCTGGTCTACAAAGCAAGTTCCAGGACAGCCAGGACTGTTAAACAGAGAAACCCTGTCTCAAGCAACAAACAAAAAATTTGTTCTGAAGGCTTAGAACAATTGTTTCTTTGAAAATAGCTTTCAGGGATTGGGTAGGAAACTCGTTTGTCATGCATACATGAGAACCCCCAGCACCCATATAAAAGTAGGTGTGGGCGAATGCACCCACCCCAGCACTGGAGTCGCGGGAAAAGGAAGACGGTCAGCTGAGGCTCACTGGTCATCCAGTCTAGCTGAAACGGCCAGTCCCAGGGTCAAAAGCAAGGGTCTGTCAGGCATGGTGGCACATACATTTTTAATTATAAATTTTACTTTACATTTATGAATGTTTTGTATGTATGGATGTGCACCATGTATATCCCTGGTCACTTCAGAGACCAGAAGAGGACATCAGATTCCCTTATGTTCCACGTCACCCCAAAAGATCCAGATGTATCTGACTGTGGATCTATATCAAGTACAAATACGGTGTCCCAACCCCAGGAAAATGTCATTCTCTCATACCGCCCCCATGTGAGATCTCACTGTGTATCCCAGGCAGTCTTCAAAGTCACAATCCTCTTATTTCAACCTCCAGAATGCTGGGATTACAGATGTGTGTGTCAACAAACCTAGGCCGAAGACTTTCTATAATACTGGAGGCAGGTAACAGAGCTCATGTGTCTCCTAGGCTATGTCCAGTCAGAATTATACTGTAAGTATAGTTAGAAGCTCAGCTTTATAAAATCCTTTCTATTCTCATCTTATTTCTACACTAATAAATAACAAACAGTGACTCTGAGTATTCAGCCATAGATGAGACACTGCTACTCCCACCCCAAGGCTCAGAGAACACGGGGGAGTAGGCGCAGGAAGAGCGTAAAAGAATGGAGGAGGAGGACGAGGTCTATGACATGCTGTCCTCTGGGACCGCTGCACACATGAACTCACAGCCACTGTGATGACCTGCATAAAACCTGCTCAAAATTCAGCCAGTTAAAAATTATGGCATGGGGCTGGAGAGATGGCTCAGTGCCTAAGAGCGGGTCCTGCTTTTACACTATATCAGAGCTCAGTCCCTGGTATCCATATGGAAGAGATTACAACTGCCTGTAAATTCAGATCTAGGAGATATGAGGTTCTCTTTTGGACCCCGCAAGCATTGCATGCACATGCAAACACACACACACACACACACACACACACAAAAAAAAAAAAAAACCCAAAAATAAAATCTGAAATATTTTTTTCAGCATGGAGCTGGGAGGGGCTTCCAAGGTCCTGCCCTGACCATGGAGCTATTGGCCAGTTAGTGGCTGCTGGGGGCGGGGTTTGCTTCTTAGGGTGTTGGTCACTGGCAAGAGGACCCCATATCCACATGGACTAATTAGTCTCAGTGGGTTATTTAAAAAGCAAATCAAAGAAATTGGAAGGGAGAAATAATAGGAATTGGGGAGAGTTGGAAGGAGGGAATAGGAGGTGGAAATTATTAAGACGAACTGTATACACCTATAAAATTTTCAAAGAATAATAATAATGAAAAGAAGCTAGGTCTTAGAGACAAGGTCACACATGGGCAATGGATAGAGCCAGTATCCAAGCCAAAGACTTCACCCCAATCTAGATTCATGCTTATGCTGAAGATTCCTCATCCTTCTGGATGCATCTATCAGTGGGTGGTCTGATAAAAATGTTTCAAGTCAACCATTGAGCATCGAAACCCAACGGCCTTGCTGGCACCCAAAGCACCGTAGACTGGTTCTGTCGTAAACTAGGAAACACGCTACCTGATACAATGAGATCCTTTCCAGCAATCTTTCTTCCGTCTCTTCCACCAGACTCACAGAGGGCAACGAAGACACAAGAACTTCCAGGTCCTTCTCAAGAGATGCGTAGTTGTCATCAAATTCTTCCCATTTCTGGACAACAGACACCAGGAGTCAGTTCCAGGGAAAGACAATCGTTAAGCCAAAAACAAACACTGAGACCAGAAGAAACGGAAATGTGGGCCCTGTGTAGACTCCGGGTGCACCTGAGAGGTGACATGGTATCAGGAAGAACTCTGTCAACAGCGGGACACAATCCCACTGTTTTTGAAAAGGAAAAGTTAATCCCACGGGTATTTGTATATACTAATGTACTTTATTAATATGTTTATTTGCTTGTAGTGCTGGATCAAACCCAGGGTCCCCGTAAGTGGGTAAGGGTTGTACCACCAAGGCATGCCTCCTGCCTTCACTAGAGCTTTATGCTAACCTTGGGAAGCCGGGCAATGGGATTAAAAGAAACACACAGCAAGTGGAGGTGTTATCTATCCTGAATGCCACTGTGAAGGCGCCACAATGTAAGGCAGCCTTGTTCTTCCTGGGAGAGGCAAAGACCTAATTGTGAAATGCCTTTTTTTTTTTTTTTTTTTAATTTAACAGAGGAAGCCTCCATCAGGTTATTCTTGCCTCTCTGATGCAGTCCCCAATTCTAGTGAACAATTGTTTTACTGAATTACCTGACACCTGCCTGAGCTCATGGGTGGTAGCAGTAGGGGGAGGGCCCTTGCCTTCTCCACCCCCATGACCATCTCTTTACCCTTAGTGCTGCCTTGTCCTAGCTCAGTGGTGCTCAGAACGCATCATCCTACCTCCCCGTATTTCCATGGTAGCCCACTGGCCGGGCTTCCTGAGCAGCTAAAGAACTGAGTTATTGACATTACGCATCGTCTCTTAGAAAAACAACCTTAGCAATTCTCCTTTCTACTCAAAGATCAGCCACTTGTCTTGTGGAGCACTCACTCGGTCCAGGAAAGCTTTTAAAACCACCATTACTTTAAAATCAATTGGACAACAAAACTAGAAAATAAATACTGTCACCAGGAAATAATACTGTGTTCATAACATGATAAAGTTGAGTATTTCCTTTTAAATTTTCCTTTATGGGTGGTTTTGTGAGTTAAGGGGAAAGCTTCAAGCTGAAAAGGACTCTCTATATATGTCGTTGACTTTTGTTTGAACTGAGGCTGAATTAGCACGGATGCATTTTCCCGACAGGACATGCATACCCAGTAGCTCTTAAAAGGAGCTTAGGCTGTGAACCATGGACTGTCTCATCCCATCCATGGCTGTCACATGCCTCCATGCTACCCATTCGCAGTATGACGAGTCCCAGCAGACCTCGCACAAAGTGGGGAGGAGACACAGCGAGGCCCAGCTCCGCCTTCCTTTCTGTTGCACCTCCAAGAGCTGCAGCTCGGATGCCCTCATGCCTGCAGTGGGTGGAACCCAGGAAGCCCAGCTCAGAGGTCATGTGACATACCTGCAGCACACTCTGAAGCTGGGAGCCTCGCAGGCAGGCCTCTTCCCCCAGAGCTCTCACTTCGGCCTCTTGTTCTGCCCCAAATCTCTCGCCCTTTTGCAACGATGGTGAAGACATTTTGGCCGAATAAGTTTGAATCAACAACATGTCAGCGACGAGCTTCTGGAAAAATCCCTGAAATATGGGAAAGGTTTCTAATATTTATTGTCAAACTGGGAAAATTATATAAAAGCCAAGCTACTTTAATTTGTTTACCCCAGTTCCTTTGACCAGCCTCCCTCCTGTACTGGGCGGTGACCCCAAGGCCTCACTCACACTAGCCAAGGGCTCTATGACTGAGATATGACTGGGTACCCACAGTTCTCTTTTACTGTTTTTTTTCAGGGAGGTCTCACTAAACTGTTTAGATAGGCCTTAGATTTGTGCTTCTCCTGCCTCAGTTTCCCAAAGCAGATGGTGTTATGGCCTGTGTCACTAAGCTTGGCTTAATTTTTTTTTTAAAAAAAATCCCCAGCCTCAGGAGGTCATAGAATGAATCACATGTATAGTGAACATATATACACAGTCATACATAGAATCAAACACATAGGCACATGAAAGGAACTAAAGTGGTCCAATCCCCGAGTCTCTAAAGAACAGATGGAATCTTAAAGAATTATAAAGATACACTCTCCTTAAGTAAAACTGCCACCAAATGGTCTATTTTAAGCAGCGACCATTAGTGTTAAATCAATTTCCTTTTCTGCTATGATCTTTCCGATTTAATTATTTTGAGTTTTAGAATGCTAGAAGGTGGTTAATAACTCAGGAGACAAACGGTCTTCAAATGATGTTCAGCGTGTGAGCCAGAGCATCCCACATCAACAGATGGGGCTCCTCAATCTGAGCGCCCACTGAGACTCAACACAATGGCCACGTGAGGGGAGTTTGCTAAGGGGCTGATTGGACTTCTTTCAGGAGGCTATTCTTCACCCAGTGACTCCATTTACCCGGCTGCTTCCTCTAGTTGTTTGAAGGGGCCCCTTAATTGTAAGAACCTCTTCTACCCCTAGAAGTGGACAAATACATAGAAAGCTTGTAAAAGTATCAGACAAGGGGCCAGCGCACACTGGCATGTCCCACCTGCAATCCATGGGCCACACGAGGCAGGACATAGCCACAAACACAGCGCAACATAAAATCCTAAACTCATTTAAAACATATGATTTAGCGGGGAGAGGGCTGATTATTTCCTGGTTCTTGAGTATGAGCTTTGCTGATGTCAATGTGATCACAACTCATTTAAAACATATGATTTAGCAGGGAGAGGGCTGATTCTATTTCCTGGTTCTTGAGTATGAGCTTTGCTGATGTCAATGTGATCACAATGTCAAAAGGTTGAACTCTACTGTGAGGGTGACTATGCTCTCTGTCTGTCTGTCTGTCTCTCTGTGTTTTAAGACAGGGCCTTACAAAGTAGTCCTCCTGGAATTTGCTATGTAAGCCAGGCTGGCTTTGAACTTACAGAGATCTTCCTGCCTCTACTTCCCGAGTGTTGGGATTAAAAGTCTGCACAGCCATGCTGGGTAGATCAAGAGAATTTTGTATAATGAAATGAATGGAAAATGAGAGGCCTAATTAAAGCATTAGATTATAAGCCTTCCTTTTGATTCCAGTTCTCAGGAAGGCCTTTCCTAACCTCCCTAAGTCAGTATCTCCTATTAGAAGCCCTCAGAGGATGAAGATACTTTTAATTGTAGATTTGCTTAAGGAGTTGTTGATAAACTGTCTGCCTTCTCAATCAATGAAAAGCTCCACGTAGGTGAGAAGCTTCTGAAGGAGCTTGTAAGCAGAATGCTATGTCTTCATCAAAGAGGATGATGGATAATTATTTCCTATGCACACTTGGGAACAACTGGAGGTTAAGGTCACCAAAAAGGTTCTTACCTTGTGATCTTGTAATTGAGCCTGCAAAGCAACTTTACTCTTGGCGTGTTGCAAGGGGCTACTTGCAAGCTTTTCTTTTCCAATACTGATGAGCTCCACCATGCCTTGCAGCAAGGCATCCTGCTGGCTCTGGGAGAGGAATGGGCTGCTGAGTTCTAGATATTTGGCTCTCAGGATTCCCCACATACTGTCAAGAACATCCTGAAAAGAGAAAGCAGATGTATACAAGCATTTCAACCAGTCAAGAACGTAAATCAGACAAAGAACACATTGAAAATCCTGGTGAAGACCCAAGCCTTGTCCCTTCCGCCCTCGGTGCTGAATGAATGCTTTCTGCCCATACACACCTCCAACTTGTAAACATCCTGGAGTAAAACATGAGGGAAACGGAGCCTTTCCCCTTCGTTCCTTAGTTTGGCGACTTGCCGCTCCGAGTTCTGCAGCTCTGCTGTATGCACATCTGCCTTCTAAGTGAGAAATCAGATAGGAGAGAAATACCATAGTTAAATCAGGAAGCACATGGAGCCATCAAAACAGAAGCACACACGGAAGTGCCTTGGGAGTACAGAAACAAACCAAGGGAAAACGAAAGGCCTGTCCTGACACCCCGTTCCACCAACATGCAGCTCTTCTTGTCAGTCTCCCTAGAAGTGCCAGGGTTGAATTTGTTCCCAACACATTCTACGCACATACCAAATGAGGCATATGTGCATAGTGCGGGATTCATGGTCTCTGCACCTCAGTGTTCTGAACGCTCATCAGCTCTTGAACACCTCTTAAACCACTACACAGTTACCTTCCAAAAAACTAGCTTGGGCCAGGGGTGGTAGTGCACACCTTTACATCCAGCATTTGGGAGGCTTAGACAGACGGAACTCTAGGAAGTCAAGGCTAGCCTGGTCTAAACAGTAAGTTCCAGACCAGCCAGGACCACATAGGGATACCCTGTCTCAAAATCATCATCATCATCATCATCATCATCATCATCATCATCGTCATCAATGGTTACGGTGATTAATACTCGGGAGACTAAGGAAGGAGAGTTTGCTAAATATAAGACCAGCCAGGTAGAAGAGTGAGACCATCCCCAAAAATTCAAAATGAAAACTAAAAAAAAAAACAACAGAACAACATCCAATCATCCCTTTCCATGTTGCTGGAGATTAAACCCAAGAGCCTGTACATGCTTGGCAAGTGTTCTACCACAAGCTATACCCCCAGCTCTCCAGGTCCTTCTCAGCAGGGACATGGTATGCCACCCCATCCTAAAGTGCTCGCTGCTTTAGTCATAGGCAACTGTTTAATCCAATGGGCTTCGGGAGATGCACAGGTGTTATAGCAAGCACTGTGGCCAGGTCCATCCTCAAACAGTTCTGCTAGATCTATCTTTACGCAACTACTCTTTTAGTCTGTCTGTCTGTCTAGTCTCAGGAAGCCCAGGCTGGCTTTAAACTCTCTATATAGCTGAGGATGACCTTGAACTTCTGGTCCTCTTGCTTCCACTTCCCCAGGGATGGAATTACAGGTAATCATCACGTTTGGTTTATTCAGTACTGGGGATCAACTCCTGGGCTTCATACACGATAGCCAAATGATTCTACCAATAGAGTCACATCCCCAGCCTCTTAATTGACCTCTTCAGGGAGAACACACATCCAGATCTTAGAGAAGCAATGGAACATGGTGGGTTTTCAATATTAGCTCAGTAAATGAAGGGACGCTGTTGCTGAATGGAAGAGCACTTATCCTTAAAACCTTTATATAAGTCAACTGGCCCCTCGAAGCCGGACTAATCAGGGTTCCAGTGGACGAGGTAAGGGCCTCTTTACCAACACCTTCGACAACTGTAGACAGTCTTAACTTTTTCCCATTGACAGGCGAAAATGAACTATTACTTTAAAATATTATGCTTCATGGAGTACTACATGAGCCTTGCACTCGAAGGTCAACATAAATTGTTCTCATCTGAATGACCACTTAACCTTCACAACACTTGCCAAGGGGTATGCTTTGGACAAGCAGCTGATGCCCAAGACTCTCTGGTCTGAGGTCAGCTTCATTTGAACTGTTTTGATTGATTACCTGAAGCTGTTCGCCAATACTCTGTCCACTGATCGCATTCAAAGACTGCTGTAAAGCCATTTTCTTCTTAATGAGTTGATTGTATAATCGCTTTATTTCATTCTGCATATGAAAAAGGTACACGTAGAAAATGGAGAAATCTCATTAGACCTTCCTCCCCTTTTTATTAAATTGAAATTTTCTGAAAAATTTCAACATAAATAGAAAGAGTCACCCACACATTCCATCTCTGAGCTCAGCCTGCCCGTGGATCTCACTCAGCTAGCCCTAACTTCCCTTCCCTTCGGATTATCTTGAAGCACATAGCAGACATCAAGTCATTTCATCAGTACTCCCAATGTTGATTAAAGGATAACATCCCTTCTTGCTAAAAACAGTACGATCTCCCCCGCCCCAGGATCAATACTAATTCCTTCAAATGATTAATGATCCAGATGGGGTGCAGACTTCTGTAATTGTTTATAATTTTCCTTTTGGTGTTCAATTGGAATACCATTAAGGTCTTTGTGTCACAAGAGAGTCTGTGGTGTTTACCATAGAAGCAGAATGCAAGCCAGGACAGCATCTCTTTCAGTTGGCTGGCTCCCCTATTCTTTTTTGTTTCTTGGATTCATATATGTAAGAAAACATAATCCATTTGTCCTGAGTTTGGCTGATTGCACTCAACACCGGGTGCTGGCATGTTCTCCCCGCCCCCCCTTTGTCTGTTTTACTTGATTCTAGAAGCTTCCTAGATTCAGAGTTGGTTGGTTGGTCTTGTTGGGTTTTGTATGTGTGTGTGTGGTATATGTGCACCAGTGTGCACACAGAGGCCAAGAAGGTATTTTCTTCTGTCATTCGTCACATCATCATTATTGCCATCAGTATCATCAACGACATCATCATCATTGTCATTATCATCGTCACCACCATCAACACAGGGTCTGCCCCTGAACCAGAAGCTCACTTCTGTCTAGGCTGGCCACCCAGTTCCCAGGATCCACCACTCTCTGCCTCCTGTACTGAGGTTACAGGCATGTATGGCCATGCCTGGCTTTTACATGGCTATTGGGGATTTGAACCTAGGTCCTCTTGTTTTTATAGCAAGCTCTCTAATCCATGAAGCCATCTCCCCAAGCCCTGAGGTTTGCTTTTTATGGGCCAGATTCCTTCATTAAGTGGTGTTGTTTTATTTGTGTTTCATTGTGCAGCTGTAGCAGTTTCCCAGCTCGCCTGCCTCCAGACCCTCCCTTAACAATCTATCGAAGCCCTGGACTTTCATGGAAACGTCAAAAATAGTAACCTATCCTTCTGGCCTAGAAAGTTAAATAAAACCACTCTCCACGACAATCTCTAAGAAGCAAATGTAATACAAGAAAAGAAACATCATGCTCGATCATCTTGACACCCACACCTTTGGAAGGGGGCCTCATTTTTCAATTAGTCTCCCATCAAGAGCAAAGGCGTCATCTCCCTCAGCACTTCCTATAAGAACTGATGGCCACTGAGGGTCTGGGCTCCCCAGAGTCAGCCATGGGCTCAGAGTCACACCTGATAGCTGCAGCTGTGGTCAAGGCCAGCCTTCAGGGATGAGCTCCTCCAGGCAGCTTTTTCCTGGGCACGCTCCAGACTGACTTTCAGAGCATCGAAACATTCAGGTAGCAGCGTGGTGTCCTGGCCGTGCCACGTCACAGCTTTCAGAAGAGCATCCTTCTTGTCACCCAGAGCTAAATAAAGCTTCTTCAGCTCCAGAGCCAGTTTCTGCAAGATGGAGGGGAAGGAAGACAGGCAGTGAGCTCGGGCCTGAAGTACCGCCGCCACGCAGAAAGACAGACACAGGTGCGTTAGGAGTACAATACCTCAAAGAGCGCCTGCTGGGCAGCTGCATCCTCCCTGAGCAGCTCAGGTCTCTGTTGCAGCTCCTCCACATTGCCCAGACAGCGACTGAGGCTCAGAAAGAGTTCAAACAATCTTTTATCCAAATTGATGTATGTTTCTTCTGTCATACTTTCCTAAATCACGAAAAAAAAAAACCTGTTAAGATTCCTTGTCTTCCTGAACATGTGTTTTCCACATTTCCATTAGCATATGCAATTTATACTATGCTTTTAAGGAGGACTTATTCTTGGATATTAAAATTCTATGCATGTGTGTGTCTGTGTGAGGGTGTATGCATGGGGGTGTAGGTGCCCATGAAAGCAGTTACAAGAGGTTGTAAGTCACCTGATAATGGTGGCTGAGAACCAAACGCCAGTCCTCTGAAAGAGCAGTACTCTCAACCACTGACTCATCTCTTCAGGCTTACGTTCAGAAAAGCTTATGATAAACTGTTTCAACTAATGCTTGCTAGATGACCAATTAATTAGTGTTTTATTAACCGATAAACTAATCTACCTACTCTGTGAATTATACTGTACAATAAATAAATAAAACGAAGATTTTTTTCTTCCCTTGACACTAAGAAAAACAAGCTTGAGAATACCTACCACCACCCAGCACACCTGTCAGAGTAAGCTCACACAAGGTTGGAAACCTTGCCTGCTCCTTCTCCATCCTCCCCATCCCAGGGCACTCTGGAGACCTCACTAAGCAATCACCACTCCCTTTACACACACCCCTTGTTGATCCTGGGGCTCACATTCAGAAGTCTTTGTATATTGCTTTGGGTAGCCACTGCAAAATTCACCAGAGCTGGCAGAGGGCTGGACACAGAGCTCAGTGAGACGGCATTTGCCTGGAGCATGGGTGATGTGGGAGTGATTTCTTATTAATAAAGAAACTGCCTAGACCCATTTGATAGGCCAACCCTTAGGTAGGCGGAGTAAACAGAACGGAATGCTGGGAGAAAGAAGCTGAGTCAGGGAGTCGCCATGATTCTCCCACTCCAGATAGACGCAGGTTAAGATCATTCCTGGTAAGCCAGCTCGTGGGCTATACAGATTAATAGAAATGGGTTAGATCAATATGTACAAGCTAGCCAATAAGAAACTGAAACTAATGGGTCAGGCAGTGTTTAAAAGAATACAGTTTCCGTGTAATTATTTCGGGTAAAGCTAGCCGGGTGGCAGGACACAGCCCGCCGCTCCGTATTTCAACAGAGTGGCTCCCAACGTGCTAATGAACTCCACGTAAAACCTGAGAGAGCTTAATTTTTATCACAGAAAAAAACAGAGTTTAACACAGCTTTTGGCTGTTTGTTGGTGGCTTGCTGTAGAGAGAGTTCCTGAATCAGCAACAGCAGGAGAAAAAAAGCTGCGTCATTTTAAAGTGTGACTTTCTGGGCTGTGCCACCAATGCGATCTCTGTCTGGATCCTGCGGGAGACAGAGCTTTTGAATGGAGCATTTGGAGTAATGTGCTACGGCTTGGTTGATGGCAATGTGGACTGTTGTGTGCCTGGAACCCTGTGTGGCTCAGGGGCACCAAATGGCTCTGAGGCAGGAGCTGCTCGGCTCGGCCATGATGAACTGTGCTGGTCTCAGGCAGGAACTACCGTAATTACCATAAAAACAGCTCAGTTAAGGTTTAGACTGGGCAGGAAACAGGCTGTACCTTATTACCGTATTACCTGTACATGGTGCAACTTAAGTTTTTAAGAACTGCTTAACATTTTAAGAAATGCTCCTGGATAGTAAAAAAAAAAATTACAGATTCACAATAAAACAGATTCAGACATAAAAGACCACACTGTTGGATGAATGTACGTAGACTTGGGAGAGAGAAGAAAGAGAATATAGAAAATAAAGTTAATGGTTTTTTTTTTTAAAAAAAGGTAAAGTCTTTAAAGAGACAGAGTACAGATAGTTAAGAGATTAAAAGAAATAAAGAAAAATAAGCCATGTAAAAATGGAAAATTCACAGAGAGTCTGGATTATGTATATTGTGTTTTCTTTAAAATTTTTGACTGTGAAGGAGCTAAGTACAGAGAGACATTTCATTACATGGGCTGCCAAGCTAAACCAGGATGGATATAAGGGTATTACGATTTCAAAATTTGGGTCTAAGGATATGATGCTTTGGAAAGGGTCTTCTTTTGTTTTCACAGAGGACCAGACCCTGTGGATTTCTTCTATCCCAATTTGGTATGATAGACCACGACCTCCGGAAAAGTTCCTGTGAACACCCTCAAAAAATTACTTCACTCAACTGGCAACTGAGATAAACCTGGCACACAGGTTACACCCTAAAGATCTGATTAACAGCGCCCCCATTCAGCAGGAAGCAGTATGGAGAGAAAAAACTGCGCCCATGTTCCCAAAATATTGTTTGTAAATGTTCTTTTACATTTAAAGGGGGAAATGATATAGGTATGAGTAATTTGCATTGGTGTGGATTTTACAGTCAATTTTGTTATATGTATATGTATTTCTGATCTTGATTAAGGTATTGTGATTGTGTAGTTCATTTAAAAATGTAATGTATAATTAAGAAATATAGGTTAATGGTTAATCATCAATAATAGTCAAGCTTGTAGTCATGTTGGTTAGATTTTCTAGATATATAGAGATACATTTCAGTTAGATAGACATTCTTCATATCTTTCAAAGACTGCAGAATATGGCATTTAATGTTTTAATAACTTAGGACTTTTCATGACAATGAGACATATCTGCTCCTGGTGGCACCAATCTACTTCGAGAGGAAGATGGGCATCGAAGAGGATCCTTATGGAGTTGGATAGCCATTTGGGCAAGAAACTGCTCTTGCCTGGACTGTTGCATAAAATAGACACAGAGAACCCTCAGAGAGAGGACTGCTGAACTTGCCTAAAGGTGAGACGGTCTTTTGGGGTTCATGACTCATGAAAGAGTCTGCGAGACATTCTGCAGGACACAGCAGATAGTGACTGAACTGTCTTTGAAATTTCCTGCTTCATGGAAATGTCTGCTGGATACTATGGGCCTGAAGGCTGAAGATGGATGCCCCAACCATACAAAAGAACTTTGGGTGACTGTCCAGGCAGCAAGATGTCTCTGTCATTTCTAGAGTTTTCTTATTTCTTGTTTACTTAGGTAGTATTATATCCTTCTGGAGTCTTTGATGGAGTTGAAGAATGAATAGATAGTTATAGTTTTCCTTAGTTATGATAAAAGATAAAATAGATATAAATATAGTAACTGTAATTCTTGCTTGATAACTGTTTTGCTATATGTAATTTTACTATGTTAAAGTTAAAGCCTTTCTTTTTTGTTTAAACAGAAAAAGGGGAAATGATGTGGGAGTGATTTCTTATTAATAAAGAAACTGCCTAGACCCATTTGATAGGCCAACCCTTAGGTAGGCGGAGTAAACAGAACGGAATGCTGGGAGAAAGAAGCTGAGTCAGGGAGTCGCCATGATTCTCCCACTCCAGATAGACGCAGGTTAAGATCATTCCTGGTAAGCCAGCTCGTGGGCTATACAGATTAATAGAAATGGGTTAGATCAATATGTAAAAGCTAGCCAATAAGAAACTGAAACTAATGGGTCAGGCAGTGTTTAAAAGAATACAGTTTCCGTGTAATTATTTCGGGTAAAGCTAGCCGGGTGGCAGGACACAGCCCGCCGCTCCATATTTCAACAGAGTGGCCCAAACAACACATGGGAAGTCCTCGATTCAACTCCCAGCACGACACAAACCACCCAAGTCGGCAAGCAAGAAAAATTCCATTTCTAATCCCAAGACTCATTCCGTTCTGACTCTATTAACTGCACAGTGAAGGAGATGTGTGATGATGACCTCCTGTCTTTCTTTCTGCAAAATGTTACTGCCATGAGAAAAATTCACAGTGTGTAATTTCTACCTGGGTCTGAAGGCGGTTTGCTTCTAGGCGGAGATCTTCGAGCTGGGTGGTGTAAGTGTGCAGTTCGTCGGCCGTAGGGCATCTGAAGTTATACACACTCACACTGGGCAGCGTGCTCGTATTTGTGGCCACCTGTCCGGAAGAGAGAAACCTAATTAGTTATAGCCTGAGCCGCTGCTGGAACTAATGTAAACGGCAATGAGAATGCCTCAGCGCGCAGGCCTCCCGGGTACCCCCCTCCTCAGCAAGCTTCTGTATCCTGTCACTATAGGAAAAAACAAGGATCTGTTTAGCTACTAATATGAGGGAGAAAGCACAATTAGAGGAATTAATAAAGCCAGAAATTTATAGATGTATGTGTTTATTTAATATTTTTGGCAGTTCTAGGGACAGAACCCAGGGTCTTCTATACGCTAGGCAAGTGCTCAACCACTGAGCTGCATTCTCAATTTAATCTTTCAACTTAATAGGCTATTCAAACCACAAACTTAGCCAGTCCCTCCTCCCCTCATTATTTCAAGACAGGGTTTCTAGGTGTAGCTTTGGCTGTCTTGGAACTCAATCTGTAGACCAGACTGGCCTTGAACTTGGAGATCCGCCTCTGGAAAACTGGGACTGAAGGTGTGAGCCACTGCTGCCTGGCTACTTAGCCAGTTTTTTAACTAGTCTATTTATTATGTACTAGTTTGTTTACTAGTTGGCCAACTCTTAGAATGAGATACAAATCACAATTAGGGAAAAAGCCGGGCGGAGGTGGTGAGCACCTTCAGTTCCAATATTCCAAAGGCAGAGGCGGGTGGATCTCTGACAACACAGAGAGACCCTGTCTCAAACCCCTGCTACCCCTCCCCCGCCGAAAACCCCTAAAAGTCAGTCACAACTAGGGCTAGATCCACATCTGACTTGTTATTGAAAGGGCAAGTCAGCGTTAGAACTGAACCATGTTCAGGAGGAGGAGTGAGTCTGAGCACATTTCTCAAATTGAATAAAATATTTTATAACATCAGTGGCGTGCCAGAGTGGATGGGGCGAAGTCCATGAGGGTTCGTGCTCTGTTGGATGGTCCGATACCGATAAGTACATGGGCATCACAAATTACAGTCCACGGGCTATAAAAGAACATGGCATAAAAGAAGGGAGTAGGGGTGTATATCAGAGAAGTTTGGGTAAATGTGGTCAGAATCCATTGCATGCATGCATGAAAGTCTCAACTTGCTGACAAACTTAAAAATGAAACGAAACACAACACAACAAACAAACAAACAGGTTGTGGTGGCAGAAGACTCTCCAGGGAAAAGATGGATAGGACTTTAAAAGACACTTATATACATATATATGTTTTAAGTGTGATTAGTAAGGAGAAATTCAGACAAAACCCTACCTAGGAGGCTAATTCAACTCCAAATGGTCAAATAAGATTCTGAGCATGAAATACATTCCCATTAGACTGGAAATTAGAACTCACTGAGGACCTTTGCCCAGGCCAAGTAAGTGCATAGCTGACTAGATAAAACCTGGTAGCTGGAGAGATGGCTCAGTGGTTAAGAGCACTGACTGCTCTTCCAGAGGATATGGGTTCAGTTCTCAGCCCAAAATGGCAGCTCACAACTGTCTGTAACTCTAATTCTAGGGGATCTGACACCTTCACACCAATGCACATGAAATAAAGTTAAATAAATTATAAAAACAAAACAAAACCTGGTGGCTGGGAGCAGCCAAGCCAGGCCACTCTCACTTGTTCCTGGTTTGGGGAGAACTCAACATCAACAAAATGTGCCATTGGCACAGGCTGGCATGTGATAGGTTCTACAGAATCTTCTGATGCATGAATGGCATGTACACACCATTCTATAGGTGTTTTGTAAAACTTAGTACACGCTATTCATTCAACAGATAGTAACTAAAACGCCAGATTGCCATAGGTGCTATGCTAGGCACTCAAATGTGAACCAAGCAGACACGGATTTTCTTCTCTGACCTTCTAATGGTGAACACAGAGCATTACAGCTTAAATCTGGAGTGTCCCTTGTGGGCTGCTGGCACTGCCGTGGAAGGTGACCTTTGAGATGTGAGGTCTTTCAGGTGGATGTGGGCCACTGGGGATGGGCTTTGAGGGTAACAGCATGGCCCTGCTTTGGTCCCTGTTCTCCTCCTGATCCACCAAGATGTGAACATGCCATGTGAGCCGGCCACTGTAGAGGGAGCTGCTTCAGCGGCTGTGCCGTCTCCCTCACGATGACCTTCTTACACCGTGAGTCAATCACCTGTCCTTCCTTAACTGTTCTGTTCCAGAAACATGCACACGAATGCGTAGGCAGAGAAGAAAATAAGAAGCATAGTGAGCTCCATGACCAGGGGGCAGGGGCTACAGGAACAGAAAGGGAGGGTCGGGCAGGGCCGGAAGAAGCCACAGGGTTCCTCTGCCTTCTGAAAACAAATGGGCACATCGTGCAGAGAACACAGGTTTCTAGATGAGCCCTCACTGGGTTCCCGAGAGAGAGAAGCACACAGACCTGAGGCTCCACCAGCAGAGGTCCTGGGGGATTTGGTCTTGAAGTTAGTTCATGGTGAAGGTACAGCCACTTGTCACCACTTTGGCCCTGGGGTGACAAGGCTGAACCTGGAGCCGCATTTCCAGGGTCAGGAATCTCGCCGCTTGTGAAGAGGAGAAAAAAAAAAGTGTGAAAAGAATTGACACACACACACACACACACACACACATAAATCTCAGATTACCTTTACACAATGTTTCATGTCAGATTTTAAAATAAACAATTCTTCCAATACTAAATATCCAAAAGTGGCTGGGTGATGGAGGTGGATCTTGTATCTTATCTGTTGCTTTCATTGGTTAACTAATAAAAGAAACTGGTTGGCCCTCTGATAGGGTAGAATTTGGATAGGCCGAGTAGACAGAACAGAATGCTGGGAGAAAGAAGCAGATTCAGGGAGTCGCCATGATTCTCCCACTCCAGACAGATGCAGGTTAAGATCTTTCCTGGTAAGCCAGCTCGTGGTGCCACACAGAATATTAGAAATGGGTTAGATCAATATGTAAGAGCTAGCCAATAAGAGGCTGGAACTAATGGGCCAGGTAGTGTTCAAAAGAATACAGTTTCCTTGTAATTATTTCGGGGCATTAGCTAGCAGTGCGGGCGGCCGGGTGCCAGGAACATAGCCCGCTACTCCTTATCACTACAGCTGGGAGGCTGGAGAGTTGGTTAAGACCAACTTAACCAACTTGCTGCTCTTGCAGAGGACCCAGGTTCTGTTCCCAGGGTAGCTCACAACCATCCTAAGTTCAGTTTCTGGGGAATCTGAGGCCCTCTGCTGACTCCTATGGACACCAGGCAAACAAGCGGCACACACACACATACACAAAGGCAAAACGCTCAAGCACATAGAGTGAATGAACCTAAATTTCCTTTTTTTTTTAAAAAAAATATTTATTTATTTATTTATTTATTATATATGCAATATTCTGTCTGTGTGTATGCCCACAGGACAGAGGAGGGCACCAGACCCCATTACAGATGGTTGTGAGCCACCATGTGGTTGCTGGGAATTGAACTCAGGACCTTTGGAAGAGCAGGCAATGCTCTTAACCTCTGAACCATCTCTCCAGACCCTAAATTTCCTTTTTCTGGGGCGGGGGCTCTCACTCAGCTGGTAGAGTGACTCTAGTAGGCATGGTGCCCTAGGTTTGAGCACCAGCATCACACAAGCCAGGCGTGGGAGTGCACACCTGTAATCTCAGTATTCAGGGTAGGGCAGGATTAGAAAGCCATAGTGCAAGTTTGAGACCACATTGGGTTACACCAAACCTTACCTCATAAATAAAAGAGAGAGAAATGCAAAAATACATCTAACGGATGCCCATCATACTTAGAAATGCTTTGTCTCACGCTGGAGAGATGGTTCAGTGGTTAGGAGCACTGGCTGTTCTTCCAGAGGACCCAGGTTCAATCCTCAGCACCTATGTTGGCTCACAATTGTCTGTAACTCCATTTCCAGGGCATCAAACACTCTCTTCTGGCCTTCTCAGGCACCAGACAGGCAATGGTGCACAGACATACAGGCAGGCCAAACACCCACACACATTAAAATAATTAGAGAATTTGAAAAATGCTTTACCTCGGAGCTGATTCCTGATTTTCATCTTTATCCTGTTGGCAATACTGCAGCCATGTTTTCTTGGCATTGAATTCTGTGAACTTAATTAAATCTTTCTGTTCCAATGGTTTTAACGCCAGAACCTGTAAGTGGACACAATTCAAATGGTTTAACTGATCTAGTTTTTCAATTAGCACCCTGAATGTCTTCTGTTGAAATCATCTAGTTTATATCACCTCAAGTCATTACCACTTTTCTTTTGTGTTTGCTTATTCTTGTTACCATCTATGCCCCCAAAACTCAGTTAGGAGCTGTGTCTGTGGCTCACCGAGGGAGCTTTGGCCTCACGTGTGGTAGGTCCTGGGTTTCAAACCCAGCATTGCAAACAAACAACAAACCCCAAAGAGAAAGTGAATAAACAAAACTATAAAATAATCACTTAACAGCCAAATGTTATTTAAACTATATTGGACGCATATGAAAAAATTACCAGTGAACATGCTTTGAGACAACAATCAAAGCAGAGCAGTCAATAAAGAGCTAAGCTTGCCCTGACGGTGGTCACTTGGTTTAAGATGCAAACTGCCAGGCGGTGCTGGTGCACGCCTTTAATCCCAACACTTGGGAGGCAGAGGCAGGCGGATCTCTGTGAGTTCGAGACCAGTCTGGTCTACAGAGCTAGTGCCAGGAAAGGCTCCAAAGCTACACAGAGAAACCCTGTCTTGGAGAGAGAGAGGGAGAGAGAGAGAGAGAGAGAGAGAGAGAGAGAGAGAGAGAGAGAGAGGAAGGAGGAGGAGGAGGAGGAGGAGGAGGAGGAGGAGAAGGGGAGGGGGGGAGGGGAAAGGGGGGGTAACCTAATGAAGGATCAAGGCTCTATCCCCAGTGGAATAGCTTACTGTGCAGACCCTGCAGGCCCCAGCACCCATACTTCAGTCATAATGCAGCCTTCCAATGCTAGCTCAGGCTTTAGTCCAAAGAGAAACACCAACCAGAAAGTTTAGTTCCCATCCCTCCAACTGAGAGAACAGGAGTTACCTGTGTCTGGGGAACGTCCTTCTGTTTGCTGAACTGTGGCCTTTCAGTTATGACGGATTCAAACTCAGGAAAGCTGACTGGCTGGAAGACGGTGTGGGACTCTGATGGTTGCTTTACAGTGGTGGGATGCTGGAAAACCAACACACAAACCAACATATATGTGTTCCATGATGGCAGACTGATTTTAAAAGACGCAGTGATCTGAGCTACCAACACAGAGTAAATAGCAGCACTGTTATTTACTATAATTCAATGCGCTTATTTCATATCAACTTCTGAGACTACTACATTTAGTGAGATAATTGTCTTACGTACTCAATCTAATTTGCCTAAGGAATTTACAAAAGTCAGGAAATTTATCTTTTTTAAGGAACAAAGCAAAATGAACAAAAAAACCCCCAAAAAACCTAAAGGGGCAGTATTATGTTTATAAATTAAAGTTCTCTTATATAAGTATCCCTAGCTGTCCTGGAACTTACTTTGTAGACCAGGTTTGCTAGCTCTTGTAGACCAGGCTGGCCTCGAACTCACAGTGATCCACCTGCCTCTGCCTCCCGAGTGCTGGGATTACAGGCATGAACCACCACCTCCCAGCTACATATTTTTAAAAGACGAAAACTTCGGCATGACAGAGAAACCACATAGCCCATGTACCCTATGAATCTCAGTCCCCAGTGAAATCACTCATAAGCTTTCATGCAAATCTTCTACTGTGAGATCCATTTCTAAGATGCTTTAGATGTCATGAGGACACTTGAACTATATGATAGTCTGGGCAGTATAAATATATATTTCTAAATGAGTAACAAAAGTGCCCTGGAAACAGATTTTTGTCTTTATGAAGTAAATCCTTATTTTATGATATTTTGTCTATTTGTTGGTTTATTTATTTGGAGTCAGGGTCTCACTATGTAGCTTTGGTTGGCTTGGAACTTGTTATGTGGACCAGTATGGCCTTGAACTCACAGAGACAGATCCACCTGTCTCCTGAGTGCTGGAATTAAAGGTGTGCACCATCAATTTATTTTGATTTTTTTTTTGACACGGTGTTCTCTAACTTGATATATTACCAAGGAGGGCCCTGAATTTCTGATCTTCCTGCTTCCACCTACCCTGTGCCAGGACTACCCGCTGCGGCAGGGATTGAACCCAGGTCTTCATGCATGCAAGCACTCTAACAACTGAGTTACATTCAAAGTCCAGATATAAAATGTTTATCTTATCTACATATATTTATATGTTTTCTACAATGGCTTCATCTTCATTTAGAGTCACAAAATTCCTTCATTTTATTTTATTGAAAAATTAAATCTATTTATTATTCTCTGTGTGTGTGTGTGTGCGCGCGCGCGCGTGCTGTGGTAAGCAGGTGACAACTTGTGGAAGTTGGCTTTTTCCTTCTATCATAGATTCAGGGTGTTGAACTCAGGTCATCAGGGATGCAGGACAACCTCTTTGACCCCCAAAGGCATATTGCTGGCCCCCAAAAATTCCTTTTAAATACGCTCTTCCTTATGAAAAATTTTTCTATATCAAAGCTCAAAATCAATAGAATCCTCAGCCTCGTGGAATCAGCTCAAGTCAACCTGCAGCCACCAACAGGCACACCTAGGCCTGGAAACCTGCACAGTGGAACGAAAGTGCGATCCCAGAAGCCCGTGCGTCCTCTCCTTTCGCTCCTTTTAAAACATCTGTGACTCTTTAACGTGGATGGTGTGTCTGCACTGCCACCCCCACCCAGAGTACTGCCAGCAGGCTCTAGGATGTCCACGCAGCTCCCTTACCTGGTCCTCGCTGTGCTTCTCCTGAAGCATCATCTGGACCTTTTCCAAGTTGCACTTCACAGTCTTGAGTTTCCAGGAAAGGGCTTCGGCCTCTTGCTGAGTGGCTCCGCAGTCTCCCAGGCCCTGGTCTTTGCAGGTATCTAACAGAGAAGCCACCTTGTGCTCAATCTCCGTCAGCATTGCCTAAGAGAGAACATCACCGAATTATCCACAGTGGGTTTCAGGGGGTGGGGTAGGGATTGAACCAGGGGCCCTGTGCATACGTAGCATGCTGCCTACTGCTGAGCACACGGCCAACCCATAACGTCGGCCTCTAACAAGTATTAGTCTCCAAAATGAGTGAGATTTGCTTTCTTTGCCTCAGAATATAAAAGAAGTCCCAGAAACTAGACGGAAGGAACCTTGGAGAAACACAAATTTTGACATGATTCTAAGCTGAGAAGAAGGGGTGTGACTAAATCAGCCCTGATGGAAGATGTCGCACTAAGCAACCCTGTAGTCACCCCTAAAAACACTACGGATTATGACGCCCAGCGCTTCCTGCTGGCTGACAACACGGATGCTCAATAGAGTGGCCACACAGAAGCCACGTTCATCCAGGGTCCCTACCTGTGTACCCTCAGGTAATCTTTAGAATGGAGAAAACGGCAGAATTTACTTTCTAAATTTATTGTGAGGAATCAGTCAATTAACTCCGTGTATTTTTGCCTTAATCCATGTGCTTTGGGCTTAAGATCATGTAGACTATACAAGCATGAGATTAAGAGGAAAACCCTGAATGTTTCCCCCATCTTTCTAATCTTTTCTGTTGTAGCCCAAGTGTCAAACAGAGAACTCAAAGAATTCCACACACTTATTTGAAGGTTCTTCCCCTTGCTTATTTCTTCCTCGTCCTCAAGCCAATCGAACCTCCAAAAGATCAAAAGAACACAGAAGTAATTTGGAACTTAAAATGCTTAGTGACTGATACAACCAACTGATCTACACGAGTCTAAAAGGAAATCGGCTGCAGAAAGTGCATTTCCAAATAGTCAGGCTCTTTGCGTTCCTCCTCAACAGACTCTACACTCTCTCAAAGCTCAGGCGTCTATGCAACCATGCCAACTGGCTGGGCACAGGGTCAGCAGCCCTGCGCACACCCCACATTCTAGCACCAAAGCCAATGGCATAAAACCCAACCTGGGACTAAGACCACGTTCTGTTCAAGAAACACTCTACCTCCAAACAGATTATCCAGTAATGTATCTTGTCAGCCCTCTACTCCAGAAAGCTACTGACTGCATCCCCGTGGCTTTTTCAGAGCCTCAATGGTGGCCTTTCACAAAGGCAACCACAACTGTCCGCTGGCTTGTTTACCCGTGCAGTGGAATTAGGCAAATATTTGATGTGTTTACGGCTGACGCTCCCCAGCGACCATTTCAACAGCTGTAAGCTGATATTCTGTGACTCGCTTAGCCCCCGGCTGCTCTGCTTTACTCAAGCTGTTTCCAGATCTCCCGTTTACTAATTAATGCTGTCGTAATTCTGTTACCACCTTGAAGATTTCTTTTAAATTGTATTATTATTATTTTTTATGTGTATGGGTGTTTTGCCTGCATGTGGATCTGTGTACTATGCAGCACCCTCCAAGGCCAGAAGGGGGAATCGGATCCCTTGGGACTGGAGTTACAGATGGTTTGTGAGCCACCATGTGGTGCTGGGAATCAAACCCAGGCTCCCTGGAAGAACAGCTAGTGCTCTTAACTGCTGAACCACCTCTCCAGCCCAAATTTTTTGAGGCACAATCTTTTCTTTCTTTCTTTCTTTCTTTCTTTCTTTCTTTCTTTCTTTCCTATTTTTGATATAGGGTTTCACTGAGTAGTCTTGGTTGACCTGGAATTCAGTTTGTAGACCAGATTGGCCTTGAGCTTAGAGATCCACCTGTCTTTGCCTCTGAGTAGTGAGATCAAAGGCATGAACTACTGAGGCCAGCAAATATATTCTTTCTTTTTATTTCCCCTAAGACAAGATCTCCTGGGAGCATGGGAGTTATGGGACAGGGTAGAAGGGGGAAGGGGAAGAAGGGAGCTGAGAAAAATGTATAGTACAATAAAAACAACAAAAATGATAAAATTATTTTTCTATTTTTATCTACTCCCCACTTTCCTTCCTTCTTTTTTATATTTATTTTTCTGAATCAGCACTTGGGAGACAGAGGCAGGCAGATCTCTGGGAGTCCCAGGTTAGCCTGCTCTGCAAAATAGCCCTAGGTCAGCTGGGACTACCTGGTGAGACCTTGGTTTTTCTTTTGATTTGTTTTATTTTAGAGGCATTATTAAATCAAAGGAAAAGAACATTTTATATTCTTCCAAGTGACCTTCCAAATTGTTGATTCAATCAGACAAAACTACCAGATAGTAGAGGATCAGATTTTCTAGTCTCCTTGGGAGGTCTGTAACTTTTACAAATGTGAACAAAAGAATAACAAAATTGCTGTTTGAATTCACCTATTTTATGCATTTGTTTTGAGACAGGGGATCGAGTAGCCGAGGCTGGCCACACACTATGTAGCCAAGGATGACCATGAACTCCTGACCTTCCTGTTTCTGTTCTGATAGGACTTCATGTGTGCTGAGCAAGCAACCCACCTACTGGCTGAAAAGGTTCAAAGGCCACCACTGCCAAACCCAAATTTTTATATAACCTTTAAATGTAGTTCAAACAAAGCACATTTTCAGCCATTGAGAGCCTGAAAGCTATATCTTCCATCTGTTAGATACACTGCGAGTAAGACAAGTTTATAAAATGCCTCTGCTGCCCTCTGGATCCATTGTCCTGGGACATCATGTAGACAGATGCCTAAGGAATCTGGAAATCCACTCTCCCCACTTCCACCTTTAGTGTCTATGAAGAACTTGATGGGTAGAGTCACATTCCCCCAGGTCTGCCCACAGCAACCTTATTGGGTGCTACTGCCACCTGGTGGGCATGTCTTGTCTTTGCAGTGTCCCCCACTCTTCAAAATGGGTGCAAAATAGCAAGAGGATGGGCATTCTGGTGGTGACCAAGCCATGGGCATGAGGTCTATCTGGTTGATAGCAATCCTTATGGAGCTTGGGGACACTTGAGGTACAACTTAGTGCAGCTCTGATCTGTTGCTGTGCTTAACTTCATCACCAGGGAGGTCGATCAGAAAGCCAGTGTCTGGGTAGACCAACTATTACAACTGACTAACAGAACTATCCCCAGCCCCGTCACCCCCCCCCCCCCCCCCCCCCCGCCTTGCAAGTAGTTCCAGGTTGATGAAAGGGAGGAGGCTGGGCTACCCCAACCCCGGGACAGGTTCTTGTAGGAGGAGCTTCTGGTGGCAGGGCCAGTGCCTGAGGGACACTGAGACAGGAGGGAGATGTCTCCATCCCTGGTAGGAGGCGGAGGCTGGTCTGTTGGACACAGCCTGGCGAGAGGCCACCGTAAGCAGCCAGCAAAGCTCTGTTGTTGTGACAGCAGCCACACTGCTGAGGTGTCGTCATCCCAGCCCCTCCCTGGAGAGACAGAGTGCCCAGCCTTTGGACTGAGCTGGCGAGCTATCCTCGGGGTGACTTCAGACAAAGAAGTTGATGTTCTCACTCCTCCCCAGCCAGGAGCACATGGGGCTGACACGCCCGTCCGCAAAGCTCTCTTAGGCGGGTCTTCGAAAATCTTGCACGTTATGACGTTCACTTTCGTTCTGATGAGCTAATTAGTCATACGCAACCCTTGCGACCGTAGATAAAAAAACGACAGCAAATGTCAAGCACAGTTTAATACCAGACACCGTGAGCTCATCTCATCCAATTCTCAGAAGAATTCTGTGTGCTAACCTACTCTGCTGGAGGGGAAAAATAAGGTGGAAAAGCAAACTGGTCCACGCTCACAGTTACTACGGCGGGGCTGGTTTTGGATTCTGGATTCTGGGCTGTTACTCACGTCTGTCCCCTCAAAGGGACTGACTACATTAAGAATTTCAAAGATTCAATGGTGAAAACTACGAGCTGAGGCCAAAATAAATGTGAGTTCAGAGGCATGGGAGACACATACTGTCACTTTAAGAGCAATCTGCCCCATCTTGGCAGGAGATGGGTGACTAGGCAAACCCTAACCTCCTGCCTGGCCGGCTTACCTGGCACCCAGCCAGCTCCTGCTCCACCACCTGCTGCATGTCTGGGTCTAATGTTTCCGGCTCAAACGCCACGTTGGCTTGTTGCAGCCACAGCTCCAGCTCGGCCACTTGGGTCTTGCAGACATGGAGGACTTCTGCCGGCTGAGGCCTACTTCTCTCCACGGTGACTTCAAACGCACCTTGCTCGTGAGGAAAGTCCAGAGGTGAAGCCTCAATGGGAGGTGTGGCACCCTAAAATGAAGCCAAAGGTAATCCAGCAGTGAGAAGCCAGGAATCCAAGGCTTTTACCTGGGGCTTGGAAAGACCTGGGAACTTGCAATCCTTTTCCCTCCCATTAAACGGAACAAAATAAGGACAAGAAGGAGGAAGAAAGAAAAGAAAAATGCACCTCCACACTCATAGCAACTGCCACGTGACCTGCCGGGCCAGGTTTCCAGGCAGCCAGTCTGCATGTACACAGGTACAGTATTCCCGGGCACAGAGGTGGAGAGTGGCAATCCCCGGGAGGCCGATGAGAGTGTGTGTGTGTGAGGGTGTGTGTCCCAAACACCTGGAACTGACCAGGGCTTAAAGTCGTATGACACCGATGATGAGGCAAGGCTCACACCGCTGTGCACCCCGTGCAAATAGAAATAAACAATCAAAAGACCCCCAAAGCAAAAACAATAACCCAACCACCACAACAAAAACAAACATGCCAGCAGGGCTAATAAAATACTGCAACCTGCCACACAACTGTAACATCCTCTCAAGCAGCAAGAGTCGATTTTTGTTTTTTCTTTAGCCATCTAAACTCTCTAGTCAAAACAGCTTGGGTCCGGTATTGGACTTGGTGGAGTAACGCACATTTTCTCCCTCCCTCCAGAGAGAAAACCCTAAAATGGTTTTTGCTTTCCTAGACTCGCAAAGAACGGACGGCGTTAATGTGAAGTTTGAATACAAGCGTGATATATCCTCTGTGTATTGAAACCACTGGATTTCTCACCAATACAAGAGCAAACTTTCTCCCAGATGTATTTGTTAGTTTCAGAGTGGAGGTAAGGATGATTTTAGCATGGCAGACTTGCCTGACACTGCAGGACCTACCCTCTTCCTACCCTCTCCCAGAATGCTCAAGGACATTGGCCCTTCTAGAAAAATCCCTTCAGGAATACAGATTTGCATTGTGATCTGTAAAAACACTCTGTCTCCATACATTCTGTGCTAACTAGAATTAAAACCAATTGCAACATTTCCCACTGAAGATTGTGTGCCAACTTGTTAGCATCTATCTAATAAAGCATAATTTGGGACAAATGACAGAATTTCAACAGGAGCTGCTCACAAACATAACTTCCTACCTCAAAAGTGTAACCTTGGAGGGGTCATAATTTTCCTGACTCACCGCTAACTTTACATGGGTTTGTTCTTTTCTAGTAAAATGCTATTTCTTAGGTTTGGGGGCATCCTCAGTGGTAGGGTTTGCCTGGCATGTGAGAGGCCCTAAGTTTGATCCCCAGCACCCCTAAATCCCCCAAACAACAACAACACAACAAATAAAACCAACAGATTTTCTCTGCCTCCGTCTACCTATATTTATAGCTTCCTTCAATGATTACCTTCTGAAGGATGCCTTCTTTTTCTCCCAGTATTTTCCCTGAGCCTCCCATACCAGGCCCACCCCTGCTCCGGGCTTCAGTGGTCTTTGTTAAGGTAAAAATCTGTGGGAATGACTGTCAGACATCAGTTTCTAGCCTGCTTATATAACTGATCAGTTACATAAATAACTGATTCGCTATTTCCAGGTTTTGGGGTATGACTACACCTTAGTGGCAAAGACAGTGAGATCTCCTTTTTTGCTGGCATCGTCTGTTAATACCAACGGGTGAACCTGTAAAAAACTATCCTCCTCTTAATTTACTCAAAATTTTATTTGACCACCTCTGGCAGGCCGAAACTTTAAGCTGCAGTATAAGCTGTTCTATTTCTGACTACCTTACTTACTGAGGAAGTGAGCAAGGTGGGTGACTAATGTAGCCTTTATTTAAACCTGAACAGAGTCCAAAGGGGGGTGGTGGGGGCAGAAGGAAAAAAACCAATTACATGCAACCTCAGAAGAGCTGGAAATGGCCTCGGGATTCTCATGTAGAAGCATCCCCTAAGGTCGCACTTTAAGATCTGAACCCTGAGCAGAAGGACGGCAATCAGTTCATAGCCTCCCATCCCACCAAAGTATATCTGAGAAGGGCAGGTGGGCCACTAGCACAAGGTCACAGGGCTCTGGCCCCTGCATTATCCAGAAAATCCCATTCCAGTCTCCTCTCAAAGCCCCAACCACCCAGAGTCTCCGAACAAAGAAAAGGTGCCAAAAAGCCCAGTTCCGCATTCTTGGAGGCTGTTGCAGCTTCCACTCCTGAAGTTGCCAGCCACCCAAGTCACAGTCGTACCCCCTGCTCCGCCCCAGCATTTAAGTTTTTGACCATACCCAGCTTGTGGAGGGCAGACACGTCATCATCTCCTGGCCTATAACCTATATAATCTCCCTGCTTTTGTTTGTGGGAGCAGCTTCTCCAGCCCTGAGAGTTGCTTTGCTCAAATCGACCCGTTGCTATACTTTTTCAATCTTGGCTTTACTGAGTTGGAGGAGAAACCTATTACGGGCAGCAGAAAATATATTAAGAAGTCCTCAGTAATTTTTTGAAACAGCAACCCTGCTTTATTTGCTAGTCCTAAACCCCGGAGACAGAAATTATTTCAGCGAATGTTTCATATATTGCATTTTGGTGCTAAAATATGTTGCCACAAGTGTTTGCTACCAGATAAGAATTCTGTAGGCTCTCTGATAATGAATGATTCCTGTCTTTTATTGGTATTACTTCTAATCAATGGACATGGTGCCAAAACCAGATCCTTATCTCACACCACAAATCCTCTGTTCCCAAGTACAGATGAGGAAACACAAGCTTTGCTTTGAGTCTATTTAAACTGCCGGAGCCAACACCTAAGTAGAACCATAATACAATCGCTGATTGCATTGCACTTTGCAATGTACAAATCTGTCTCTCCCCACGGTTTCACAAACTCTATGGCATCCAAGTTAGACATCTGCTCTGGTACGTCACTGATCTAAAGTGACCATAATGTACAGGTTGTGATCCTCAGTGAAGTCCCACAAACGAATGTATATGTTATGAAAAATCCGGCAACATAAAAGGTTTCTGAACACAGAACTACCAAAAAAAAAAAATCAAACATAAAACAACAACAATAAAAAAAAAATCAAACATGAAATGAGGCTAGGGAGATGGCTTCGTGGGTACAAATGATCGCCTTAAAAGCCTGATGACCTGATTTGACCCCTAAGCCCCACCTAAAAAGCTGGATGCAGCAGCATGAATCTGTATTCCCAGCGCTCACTCCTAGGGAGAGGTGGAGGCAAGTCAGTAAGGCTGTCAGGAAGCTAATGGCTAAGAGAGACTAGATTCAACAAGGCTGAAGCCACACCATTCCTGCCGCCTAGAACACTTCTCTACCGATCAATAAAGCATGGCTCCCTTGGCTTTAAACCAACAAAACAAAACCCAAACAAGGTGGAAGGCGGGACCCAACTCTCAAAGACTGTCCTCTGGTTTCCAAATATGCAACTTAGAATACATATGTCCAGCTCACATCAGGTGATCTCACTGAAGCCTTGATTCTGGAACACACAACATGCACATAACAATGTACATGTCGTCACCATACGCAACACCAACAAATGCCCCCCAAACACCTTGGCACAGACTCAATGCCACTGAATGGTATAAATTCCGTATTGTTACTGTACCAAGTTTTCTGCTCTTACGCCAACATAATGGTTTGTGAACCAGAACTCCTGGAGAGAAGCTGTGTTTGCAAAGACCATTTGATTAGAAATTGGAATGCCGAGGTCCAGGGCTAATCAACTTACCTCAGGCTACCTTTAACTACCCTCTCCCCAAAGAAATGTAAGACCAGTCTAGAAATGAATGAAATGGAAATAAGCAAAAGCAATATGAAGAATTGATGCTATAACTGTGTATATGTGTGCAAGTCTCTGTGTGGGCATGCACATTTGTATGGCAGTACCCAAAGTGATCACAAGTGTTAGATCTCACTGGAGCTGAAGTTACAGGTGGTTGTGAGCTGTCCAACACGGGTGCTGAGAACTGAACTTAGGTTCTCTGGAAGGACAGTGCTATACCATCTCTCCAGCATCAAAAGGTTGGCTCTGTGAAAAGTTTTAAACAAAACTGACAAAAATCTTAGCCAAATCAGAGTGAGAGAAACAGAGATTACAAAAGATACCAATGAAATTCAGAAAACCATTAGGAAATACCTTTAAAAAATTTATAGTCCACTGGATTGGAAAATCTAAAATAAATAAACAAATTTCTTGATGGATATAATCTATCAAATTTAACCAACATGAGATAGAAATTTGAACAGATATATAACAGGACATGAGACAAAAGCAGTAAAAACAAAAGTCTCTCAATTGAAGACTCCTGGGCAGATGACTTTGGTGCTTTCTATCAGACCTTTATAGAAGAACTAATATCAATGCTTAGCAAATGAATCCAAAACCAGAAACACAAGGAATGCCACAAAGATCTTCTTATGAAGCTAGCATGACCCGGATACTAAAACAGACAGAAATAACAGCAACAACAAAAAGAAAATTCTAGACAAATTTCCGTAATGAACAAGGGTACAGAAAACTTGCAAATTAAATTCAAGAACACATCAGAACTATCAGTTACTGTGAGCAAGTTTGCTTCATTTCAGAGACGCAGAGATGGCTCAAATACATAAATCAAGAAACATAACAAACCACAAGAACAGATTTAAAAAAAATAGAAACCTCATAATCATCTTCATAGATTTGGAAAAGGTTTTTGATAAAAATCCAAATCACTTATGATAAATGCCCCCATGGAAACCAGGAATCAAAATTCCAATGCCATTCTTATCTTCTAATGTGTGTTTGTGTGCGTGTGTTGTACCTGCATATGTGTGCAGGTGTGTTAGCCCACGCATATGCACACAGGAGAGTACAAGATGCTAGGTATCTTCTCTACTACTCTCTGGTTTATTGCCTTGAGACAGGGTCTCCCAATCGAAACTTGCCATTTTGGCTATGCTGGCTGATTCTGCCTATTCCTAACTCCCAATGTTGGGGTTTAGGTATGTAAGCCATGCCTTAAAAAGAAAAATTATGGTTGATGAGGATTTGAACTCAGGTCCTCATGCTTGCACAAGTAAGCACTTTTACCAACTAAGCCATCTCTTTAGACTCTATTTTTTTTTTTCAAAACAGTCTCCTGTAACTCAGGTTGGCCTTAAACTTACTTTGTAGCTGAGAATGACCTCGAACACCTGATCCTCCTGCCTTTGCCTCCCAAGTGCTGAAATTACAGTGTATGCCAATATGAAGGTTTTATGAAGTGATGGAATCAAAGTCAGGGCTTTATACACTAAACAAGTATCCCACCAAACGAGCTACACACCAGCCCTCCGCATCGACTATGATGAAATAAAATATAAACTCTAGAAAGTGTGAAGATGCGCTGCATCCTGCACAGTCCAGCTCAAGATGCATTCTTTATGTAACAATAATCAAGTATGTAAATCTCACTAGCATGAAAATTTGCTTTCATATTTTATTAATGGTAAAACCATATGTATACCAAAAAAATTGTGGGGATTTTTTTAAAAAAAATTTTAGTGTGGGGCTGGAGAGATGGCTCAGAGGTTAAGAGCATTGCCTGCTCTTCCAAAGGTCCTGAGTTCAATTCCCAGCAACCACATGGTGGCTCACTACCATCTGTAATGGAGTCTGGTGCCCTCTTCTGGCCTGCAGGCATACACACAGACAGTATACATAATAAATAAATAAATAAATAAATAAATAAATATTAAAAAAATTTTAGTGTGCATGCGCACATACATGTATATGTAGAGGCCAGAGGAGGAGCGTTGTGTGTCCCGTTTTATCACTCTCCACCTCATTCCCTTGAGGCAGGGTCTCTCACTGGAGTAGGAGCTAAGCTGAAGATAGCAGTCCCAGCTATCCTCTTGTTTCTACCCCCAGAGCCAGTGTTATAAGCGTGTATAGCCACATCTGGCTTTTTGTGTTGGTGTTGGGGACTCAAACTCAGAAACCTGTGCTTCCTCAGCAGGAGCTCTTACCCACTGAGCCATCTCCTTCACCTTCAAAGAACTGTTTTAAAATACATTTGCGAGTTAATATCGGTAAATACCCGATGTTTGACCTATTCTATACACCTGTGCGCCCAGGTTGAGTAAAACCTCAGGCATAAAAGAGTCTTGAGTGGAAGCTCAAAAGTTCTGACCTACAGGAAAGGACTTCACTTCAATCTCAAGTTTAATTTTCTGACTATGGCTGCATTTCATGGCAAAATCTTCTTTAAACATATCCTTAATATTTCAAATATTAATATGTGCAAGTCCAAAAATGCCTGCACATCTTCCACACATCTCGTAACTGCAGTAACGGCCTTTACTACAACGCCTAACAGCATACACAAAGATCTAACACAAGACTTAGAGTCACATATTTCTGTATCAAATAGTTATTTTCATGAAACATGGATAAGAAATGACTCAAAATTTTCTCAAGAATACTGTAATTTTTACCTGGTCAAAGCTCTTAACTTCTAAAATAAGAGATTGAGGCTGATACATGACCAATGACATGGGCTGCCATCTCTATGGGGACCCTCTCCTGAGGAGGGGATGCAAATAAGATGGAAATGGCTCCAGGCAGGAAAAAGAAGAGCTTAGGAATCACCAAAGAGCTGTTTCGGCAGTGGCCAGAGGTGACATTTAACAGATTTTTCTCTTTTCCAAGAAACTATCATGATCTGGGTGTGGGGGTATAAGCCTGCAACTCTAGCACTGGGGACCTTAAGTCAGAAATACAGCATATCCAAGGTCAGTCTGAAATACAGTGAGCTTATCTAAAAAACAACAATAAAAAACCAAAAAACCAAAAACTATGCAACCAACCAAGAAACCAACCAATCAACCAACCAAGAATCCAACCAACTCACCAACCAACCGACTGACCTCCAACCAACCAACCAACCAACCAACCAAGAAATCATCAACCAAGAAACCAAATACCAGGAAACTGACCAACCAAGAAACCAACCAACCATCCAACCGACAAACCAAGAATCTAACCAACCAATCAACTAGCCAATCAACCAACCAACCAAGAAGCAACCAACCAAACAACCAAGAAACCAACCAACCAAGAAACCAACCAACCAACCAACCAACCAAACCAACCAACGACCCCACAAAAGCTGTGTTAAGAAGAAAACAGAAGCATTTAATTCACAGTTGACAACCATCCAGTTAAACGCTCAAGATTCTAAATCAGGAGACATAAAGAACTGGAGCTATGTAGTAAGATCCTTGGAGCTTCAGGTCCACTCAACTCAACCAGCAGGTCCAGCCTAGAAACAGCGGCCTGCGGGGACCTTTCTTGAGAACTGCGGTGGGATTCAAATTAGGAAGTTGGAAGGGAATGTTCTGGGGCAACTCCTTACTCGCTTCTGTAGTTCCTGTAGTTTACCCTCTGAATCTGATCCCCCTTTGTAAACACAAGGTAGGTTTTAACTTGCCTCTTAGAATCTCATGGTTAAGCAACAAAGAGCATAAATGCCTTTTCTCAACAATCCCTTGATCAATACGCATTATTCTCCATTTTCACCGCCTCTATGTGTTGTGTGCACAGATTAAACACTTAGTCATTAACTCAACAACTACCTCAGGCTGACAATCGATGAGCAAGTGGGAAATGTAAATAAAAGACGGTAAAATCGCAGCGGGATAGGACAGCATATGTGAGGACGCTGGCCTTCGCTGGGGGCTCAACACACAAAGCATTGCAGAAGTCAGACAACAGTGGGTGCCGGCCTGGGAACCTGAGCAGCCAGCTTGCAGGTGACAGGCAGGGTCTTACCTTTGCAGTTTGGCTGAGCCTCGGGGAAGGTTCTGGGCCTGGCTCAGTGCTTCCCGAGTCTGGTGCAATAATATGCGCCATGGAAGCGTCACAGGTGCTAATTCTCCCATCTGCCTCCTGTGGAGAAAACAAAATCAGCTCCTGCTGCCAGGAATCCCCTCTTCCTCGGCTGCTCACTTACAGTTTGCCTGCTTGCTAGGGAAGCCGGGTACATCGGTTAGTTCACTGTGAATGCATCTTTGAAAGTCTTTTGGCTGTAGTATTTTTAAAAGGGCTTATTTATCTTATTATATTATTATATTTATGTGTATATACCTGTGTGAGATTATGTCAACCATGTGTGTATAGGACCCTGTCTCAAAAAAAAAAAAAAAACCAAACAAACAACAAAAAACTAGGCAAGAAAGGCAACAGTATTCACTCTTTAAAATCATTGTATTTCAATAAACTCATGATAAATATGTAAGGTAATGCATATATAAATGAATTTGATTTAGCCATTTCACAATCCAGCCATATTTCAAAGCATCATCCTCTGTATCCTAAGCATGTATAATTTTGTCAAAAAAACATAACAGAAGCTTTTCCTGATCTAACCATTTCTTCAAACAAATCTTCTGATTTGCTATCTCTTATTTTTAGTCTTCATACGGGCCTCTGTGAATGAAGACTTGGAGATGCTGAGGGCCAGGTGAATAAAGAGGATCTTGGGGAGAGAGCTCAGGCATTAAAGAGCTATGACAACCCCCAGGGTGACTCCCCCAGTTACCTGCACAATGGTGGCGGAGGTTGAGGATGCCCCATCCTCCTCCAGGTCCTTGCTATGCTTCCACGGAAGAGCCCAGGATGCAGACGGTGGCTCTGCCCTCCCATGTCCATCCTAAGACAGTGGCCAATCGGTCAGCAAAGGGAAATATTTCCTTTTCATCACCAGAGCGCTACTCAGCTCCTTCAAACAAGACTCCACCTACTGGGCAACTTTGCCATGGGCCCTGTTCTCCTCCTACCCTGTGCTCCATATAATTCCTGAACTAAATCATGTCTCCAAATGTGGATGCTTCTATTGAGCCTAACACAATCCACAGTTTTCTTTATTAAAGAGTAATAAGCTCATGTCCCACAAAGGGGATTAATCAAAATTTGATCAGTTTTTGTAACTGTAAGCTTAAATGGGGTCATTTTATTTTTCTTGTCAGGAGCTCTCCTGCAATTGGATGAACATGTAATCTTCGATGTTGTCAAAGACAAATTCTCTGCGTATATCAGCTCCGAAGCTTTTAAAACCTGAAATGAAAACACGTATGTGTCTTCTTCGCTTGGGCCCTGGGTCTTCTTCCAGGCTTGCAGTTTCTCCACCACAAAAGGATATAATTAGACCGTGAAGTTGAAGCTATCTAGTGGTTAGAGTACAAAGTAAACTGTTGTCCTTCCCACCAACTCATTATACCAGATACTAGTGACACTCAGCAGGACAAAAGGTCTGCCCTGTGTGACAATGGAGCCATGAAATCATCTACGAAATGAGCAAAGACTGTCTTGTGGTCATACCTAAGTCCTATAAACTACTGCTAGCTTCTTCTTTGAGCGTAGGAGGAGCAACACTGGGTTTTGAGTTTTGAAATGCAAACTGGTGCCAAGGTTAAGTCTTTTTCAATCACTCACAACGAAGCAGTAAGGATCAACTATATTAGCTGCAAATACAGCTCATATTCTTGACAATACCACTCTAAAACAAAAACAAATCTCAGACAATGCAAAACAACTATCTGCTAAAAACCACACCAGATCTCATTCTCGCCAAGTTCCAGAGGAACATTCGGCAGTGTGAACATAAAAGAGGACTCTTTTACACAAACAAGCACCTCTGAGTTAGACTTATTCCATTCTCCCATGGCAAAGCGGGTTTAGATGAACCAAGCAATATTAATAATCGACTAAGTACTTCGGTCTCAATTTAAAAAAATCAACATTAACTTTAAAAGTCTTAGGTTTTCAGTTGTCTTCTTTGACATTCACTTAGAGATGTGGTCCTTGCCAGTTTTAACAAGAAGACTGTTTCCCCGGACGCTAGAGAGATGGCTCGGCAATTAATAGTATGTAGTGTTCTTGCAGGGACTGATTTGATTCCCAGCACCTATTCTTGGGTCTGTAACTCTAGTTCCAGGGGATCCCCTGGCCTCTGAAGGCACCTTTATTCATGTCATGGGTATGTATACACACACACACACACACACACACTCACACACACACATACACACACACACACACAATTCCAGGGGATCAGGCACCCCTGGTCTCTGAAGACACACACACACACCCCACAAACCCTGGCAAATAATTTAAAAAATAATAAAATAAATACTTTTTTTAAAAAAAAACAGAAAAAAAAAGGGTTTTCCTTACTTCACTCTTCACGGAGCTTTCTTCCACCTCCTCCTTGACCACTGGCAGGAAGGACATGGAGCTTGTTCTGGTCAGCTAAAAGCAGAGCACAGGATCGCCTGTAGGCAGGCTGCGGACTAGCATCGCATCCTGGCCTGCTTGCATTTTTGAGTAACTAAATCTTTATGCATTGTCCCAAATGTCCACCCACGCCCGAAGTCTCTGGGCCTTGTGCCTTTCGGTTCTCCCGGCCAAACATCTTGCCTGTGGAATCCCTTTCATTTGCATGATCCCCACGGCCCCACCCCCAAACAACTGGAGTGTAGTTCCTGGATGCAGACTCAGAGTGGTCTCCCATGCTGAACCACGTTTGAGTCTGCCATGGGGTGACTAGTCTGAGGCAGATGCTTCAGAAGTGATGCCCTCCCACAGGTGTGTGGAATTTCATAAGCGTTGTCTTCAGGTGAGCTCAGATGTAAGAATGCTGGGTAGGGTCCAGGGCAGACACGCCCTGAGGATCCGAGCTCACTAGTAAACGACCTCGAGTGGAGTATTTCCACTTAAAAAATTCCTTTACTGTGGGCGGCGACATCGCAGGTGGCTCCGGTGGAAAGTTACCCATTCACTCTCCCCTGGAATGTGAGACCAGCCCTAAGCAAAAGTCACACCTACCTTCCTGCCTGAGACGCCCTGCTCGGCAACCCCGCCCTCTTCTGAGGGCAGCTCATCTCCCTCTCCTCCTTCTTGATGCTCTCGCTTCAGGTGCTCATGAAGGTTCAGTACAGCCGCCTTCAAGCCCACCAGCAGGTCTGTCTTCTTCTGGTTGAGATTCAGAATCTGCTCCTCCAACCCTTCCATCTCTCCCTGTACAGAAAGAGTTGTGGGCATCACTTGAGGGAAACTGGAGACTTCTGGATGCTCTCAGGAGCCAGTGTCCTTTAGGACAAAGGATACTTACTGCCCTGGTCTGAGGCTACTTGGGCTTTGTAAACCCAGCAGCTACTTCCTGGTACAGTATGGTTCTTCTCCCTGGCTGGCACGGTGGAAGCACCTGTGTAGGATGTTTAACCCGTAGGGTTCCTTAACTCCTCACAGGCCTGGCAAGGCAGGAGAGGGTCTGGGGGCTGCAGACAGCATGGGAACTTGTAACAAGGCCCACAGGTGACTGATGTGTAGCCAGGGCAGGGAGCCTGTGCCATAGTAGCTAACCACAGGACTCACAGAACCAGAATCCCCAGGCCAAAACCCACAAGCCAGCACTTTGATGAACACATACATCCCACTTTGCACACAGAGTATTGCAGATACAGGAGAGTCTTAAGACTAGCATTTGAAAAGCCCCAAGATAAAATTAGACACCTAATTTTTCATTATCTTTGAAGAGTCTTTGATACTACTCATTTGTTTACTTTGTCTACATTCTAAGCATCCAAAAAAATTAATCAATTAAAAGATGGTAACTTATTTGCAGTGACATTTACTCTGGGAATGATGGATGGACAGATGATTCCAAGCTATATAACATTACTTCACGAACCATTATTAATATGTACAAGTAAGTTTTCCTAGATACAGAAAAGCCCACTGTCTGCCTATCAGGATTATGGAATTATAGAATCCTGGATTTAGTAGGAATTGTGGGTGATGGCTATTCTGACCCTCCAGCACCCTTCGCCTGAGCTCCTTTTCAGAAACCTTGCAGTCATTCATAATTTCTCCCTGCCTGGGGTGTAGCTCCAGTGGCAGAGTGCTTGCTTGCTTAGCATGTGTGTTATCATTAATTCCATCACATACAAACACACACACACACACACACACACACACACACACACACACACTTCTAAGACATCTCCCCTAAACTCTGCTTTCAATATTCATTAAATCATTAAATTGTGTATGGATGTATGTCCATGGATACATGTGCACACATGTGCCAAGTCAACCTCAGAGTCATCCATCCTTAAAAACAAACAAACAACAAACAAGAACAAAACCAGACAACCCCCAGGATCTTACTATGTAACTGGCTAACTCACTATGTAGACCAGGCAAGTCTCAAACTCAGAGATCTGTCTGCCTCTCCCTTTGGCATGCTGGGATTAAAGCTGTGTGCCACCATACCCAGTCTATCAATCTTATTTTTTGAAACAGAGTCTTATTGGCTAGAACCCAACAAGTAAGTTAGATTGACTGGCCAACAGGGTCCAGGAATCTCCCTGCCTCTGCCTCCTCAGGCTTCTATTACAAGCACATGCTGCAACATGTTGTCTTTGTTGTTTTGTTTTGTTTTCATGTGGGATCTGGGAATTGAAACCAGGCTCAGAAGCACAGTCACCAACCAAGTTACCTCACTATCCCCCAAATCATCAAATTTTACACACGCGTGCGCGCGCGCACACACATACACACACACACACACACACACAATAACATATCACTACACATAAGAGAGAGTTCTGAAGTCTAGAGTAAGAAGGCAATTTCTGTCATGTTGCAGCTAGTGAGTGACAGAGCCAAACCCATGCTTTCCTATGACTCATGGGCTCTGGCATGCATGGCTGAACTAATGCTCTTCTTTTACCTGCAGGGAAAGTTCCCTCCTGGCAGAGTTAACTCTGAGCTAACTATGGTTCACGTTCCACTTTTAATGAATGTCACATATCAGCTGAAGATGCCCCCCGCAAAAGCAATACCACAGCCCTTAGAATAAACTCAGGGAAACAGCGACCTGGTTTATGTAGGCACAGACAGGCACCAAGCCACCATCTGCACAGCAGTATCCATAGCCCCCTGGGAGCTACTAGTGGTGTCCAAAGCTGAGAACCACAGCTCCCGACGTTAAAATCATAATGTTGCTTAAATGTTACTGACCATTTTCACCGTGTTGGCACTTATACCGAGGGCACAGAAGGAATGGTGGCATCTTTTATGAATTGAGGTAGGTGACACCAATTATAGGGTAGGAAAAGCTTGCCAATCTCATTTTAAAATGTCCTTGATGAAGACATACATGTTGGGGGTCCATAGTAGTAGTGCTTGCCTAGCATAGGCGATGCCCCGTGGTCAGTCCCCACATCGCACACCTGAAAGCACACCTTTAACATTAGGGGGACAAAATGGGAGGTGTGTGTAAACCATTGTGCTGTGTCCCAGGTACAATGACTGAAAAGTACTAGGAATTGTGTATGCTGTGAGCTTTTCCTCACAGAACATTACTTTTACATGAAATAAGAGCTCATAACCGTATGCGCTTCAATGGGAGTCGAGTTCTCTCAAGAAGCAGATGGTACACACTGACTGTGGAAACACAGGGACTTTGGAAGTGACACGTGACTAAGGCAGTGTTCTTTAAACGACCCAGTGCGGAATGATAACATCACCTGTGGTTAGGAGACACAGTCACAGAGCACAGAGCACAGAGGGGAGGGACCAAAGTAAGAAAATGAAGACCACCCTGACAAGGCCTCAGATCCCACTCACGGTTAGCCCTACTTCCTGTTTGTTGAGTTGCAGTGTAGTGTTAAAAAAAACAACAACAATAGCTGGGCAGTGGTGGCGCACGCCTTTAATCCTAGCACTCAAGGTAGAGGCAGGTGTATCTCTGTGAGTTCGAGGCCAACCTTGTATATAAGAGCTAGTTCCACCAGGACAGGCTCCAAAGCTACAGAGAAAACCTGTCTCGACCCCCCCCCCAAAAAAAAACAACAACAACAAAACACCCATGAAAACATGAAGTTCATGTGTTTCATCCCAGCACTCAAGAAGGCAGACACAGAGGCAGGCAGATCTTTGTGAATTGGAGGCCATCCTGGTCTACAACAGTAAGACCTTGTCTGCCACCATCAACCCCAAAAAATAGATCAGCTTTACGCTCTTGAGCAAATCACTGTAGTTGGTCCATCTCATGAGTATCACAGTTACAGCAAACCATCTGGAAGTGCTAAGAAAGACCTCATCTGGAAGTGCTAAGAAAGACCTCTACTTTTTCTTGGGTCAGTTCTATTTGCCCCTTCTGTCCTAATGTTGCCAGCCAGGTGCTCTCCCTGTCTCCTCCGTCTACCAGGGCTCATGTAGGCCATGCGCCTGTGTTGTGTGATGTGCCCCAAAGACTTGTCCTATGTGTGCTTTCCTTTATTTTTATTTACACAACAAAAGCTCTTTAAAGTCCTGAGTTCTGAGGTGTTTGAAGAAACATGGTACCTGTTGGGGACTGTGGATACCCAGAACCTGAATTTCCTGTAAACAACTTGTTTTCCTATGCTTGTAGCTGCTCTGAATGAAACAACTTGTTTTCCTGTGTTTGCAGCTGCTCTGAGCACAAGACCCTGATGGCAGGGGAGTGGTTTCTGATGGGTCTGCAGCTAAAAGACCTGAGAGCTGGGGCGTGGCCAAAGTCCTATATAAGTTGCCCAGAGCACAACAAAGGGGGCATTCTTGTTTCAAGGCTGACTCGTGTCTCTGTGTGTGTCTCTTTATGTGTTTAAATCTCTAGCCCCTTACCCGACTGGCAAATGGTCCTGTAGTGCAGGCGGTACGCTACAGGCGTAGTACCATACTACACAAAGTACAGGTGGATGGTACAGGTACCCGCATCCTACTGAGTCACTCACTCTCAGCCTGTACTACTGATTCAGCAGTAATGGGCTGTGTCACTTGGAGCCTCTTAACTTTTAAACAAGTTGCCCTCGGTCTCCCAGTTGGCGGATGACAAGCCTTGTCTTGAGAACCACATTAACTGCCTGCACATGCCCACTGGATGGCAGGAAAAACATCTCCTGCCCTTGGACTCTATCGCACTGTTTCAATACTGATATGCCAATATAAAACCAAAGACCGGAAAGGCCCTACCCAGAGAGTTTTATAGCACTAAAACTACAGCCTGCTATCTAAGATCCCTCATTATAACCATGGTCAGAGTTTCATTACCCCTGTAGTCCAGCCAGCACGACTCCTACTCCAATACACTAGGCCAGGGTACCCAAACCTCCTCAGCTCCTTGGAAACAGAGAAAATGCAAACCAAGACGCACCCAGCTGAGAGTGTGGGCACCTTAGAAGCTCCACCCCAGGGTTTAGAAGTGGTTTCTAGGACTAGATCTAAAGTTTAGGGGTCATAAAGGCATATGGATGACACCACAGAACCACCATTTTCTGAAATAAGAATGGAAAGAAAAGAGCTCCCGTTGTAAGACAGATGTCAGGCATACCACTGTCGTACTACCAAAGATTCTAGACCCCACGGCTAAAGCCAGAGTCTCTGGATGAACGGACAGATGAGTGAACCGGACCTACCTGTAATGAAGGCAGGCCAGCAACTTGCTCTCGTGACACATGTTCCGGGGAGAACTCAGCTGAATAATTATTTAACATCCGTTTCAGATTTTCTATTTCGCCATCACATTCAGCTGTCTGTTTTATGACAACCTATAAAATAACACCCATTGCCCCAAAGAAGAGTCATTGTTACCATCTAAGGAACAAGCAAGCTGTATCTGTTACCATCTAACCCGTCACAAGTTCCAATATAATGCAGAGACTCTACCCACAGATTCCAATAGGAAACAGAATCTTTGTTTAATAATAAAATTCATATTACTTTGTATGTATTGTGTGTATGCAGAGGAGTGGGGATTGTCCTGGTGGAGGCCCGAGGACAGCGTGCTGGAGGCAGTTCCCTCCTTCCACTATGTGTATTCATGGATCAGAAGTAGGTTGCCAGGCCTGGCATGCAAGGGCCTTCACCTACTGAGCCATCTTACAGGTCCCTGAATATCCCTGTACTTTACATTTGTATTCTAAATAAACACAACTTCCAAATATTGTTATATTCCAAATATCACCCGTATTTATATTTAAAAGCTAGACAGCAAAGTTTGCCATGCTGGAGCCCAATTTACCTGCTCTACTAGACTCAGGGCGCCTCAGCAGGGCTTGGGGTACACGTCTAATTAAACACTCTTAGCTTCTTATGCTCCTATTTCTAGTCTAGGGGGCTTATTCCGGGAAGCATTTTATAGCCTGCTAACAAAGTTTCTAAGTCTTATGAAATTACTGGTATGTCACGTACACCATTTAATAAAGTTTCAGAATTGTGCACATGCATGCACCTTATACCTTTCTGTGGGACCTAGGGATCAAACTCAGGTCACCAGGCTCGCAAGGCAAGCTCCTTTACCTACCGAGCCGTCTTGCTGACCCCATATATTTACCACGCTACTATGAAAGGCACGTGGCGCTCCCCACAAACAATGGTGACAGGCCTGATCCTGAAGGCACAGAGCACATTGTTTGACACTATGGTGTATTTGCCCAGTGTGACATCCTCCCTGCTGCCCTTTAGAGTCAGTGCTCTGCACTTCATGAGTATAGTCTGAAGCTTTCAGAGCAGTAGGAGTTCGCAGAATGTGGCAAAGCTAACCAGAACCTGCCAGGGACTCTAATGTTTAGGGAACAGTATGGTGAGATTAAAAAACAAAATCAGACTTCAAAAGTGAGTCTAGCTATCGCTCTGGTGGGCTTCATAGGAAGCAAAATGTCTTTTGAAATGACACAGTTTCTGGCTAACGCATAATCCTTCTTGGTATTTAAAAAACAATATTTAACCACAGTTTTAGCTGCAGGCTGGAAAAGAGTAACTATATTCGCTGCACACACCTGTTCCCATGCTCACAGCAACGGGGGACAACCCGTTAGTCTCCACCGAAGTCATCTGTCTTATTTTCCACAATAAGGGGACTTATCCTATCAGAAGTGGGAACTAAAAGAAATGTACCATATTCTAAATATTTTCATTACCAATGGCTTATTTGCTTTGAATACATGAGGGGCACATGGAATTCCCATGTACACAGTAAGATGGAAAATTTTCAAAGCAGTTTGATGCCTAACTTGACAGAAAAGGAAATACAACCCCCCCGAACCATCCCCTTTTCTTCTTCTTGAAAGCACAGTTAGGGTTATTCTCTGGTCCTGACCAGAAACCCAGTTAGACAGAAGAGATTAAAAATGATGCATCAGATTTGGTCCTTTGTTCTTCACTTACAAACTATTTCTAAAAAGATACCTTCTCTGGGTCTTAGGAGGAAAACAACATCAGTGGATCAGTAGTCACATCAGAGGACTCTTAGTCTTCAAATCAGGGAGCACAGGATCCCCCAGTTTTAGAGGGTCAGGATATAGAGGGAATTGTAGAAGAAGTAAGATACAACACTTTCCAAAGCAAGAGGAAGGGCGTCTCTGCCAAGAAGGGGAGATTGCCCGTGGAATTCAAGATTCTTTTAACAATTCCTGTTCTGTGGGAGTGGCTGTTGCCCTAGGAACATAAACTACAGCCATTCTGACTTGAGAGTAGTGGGGTAGCAAACTTACAAGGGTGGCCCTCCTGAGAGTGATAGGAAGATGTCATGAGAAGGAAGAGACCCTCAAGATGGAGAAACAACAGAAGGTTCAAAAACTAAAATTCTTGTCTTATTGCATAGGAACTAACCTTGATGCTAGTTAACTCTTCCATTTAAGACTTCCAACGCACGTCTCCCTGAGATGGCAAATGGCCCAGGCTACACTATGTCCAGTGTTGGGGAATACTGATCTAATTCACAGGAAGTGACTGAGGTGGACAGGGAAAACTGCTATGTGATGCTTGCTTTAGGTTCTCAGTCTCCAGAGGCTGCAAGGGCCTTGATGGGGTTTGAGTTCTTGTCCCCTCTGTTCCACTCACAAAGGTCTTTAACAGCTGCAGTGATAAACAGACCATAGAATGCCAATGTGCTCAACCAGGGTAAGGGTAAGAACCATGGGGGCGGAAGAAACTATTTAGATCAAATAAATTCTTGGGGGAACAACTGCTTTCAATTAAACTTGAAAACTACACTGGTTAGTTGTGTTTTTCTGTCCGCTTAACACAGGCTGGGGTCATTAGGGAAGAAGAATCACAACTGAGAAAATGCCTCCATCAGATCGGCCTGCAGGCAAGTCTGTAGAGTATTTTCTTGATGGATTGTTCATGTGGGAGGAGGGTCCAGCCCCTTGTGGGCAGTGCCACCCCTGGGGAGATGGCCCTATGCAGTATAAGGAAGGAAATTGACTAGACAAGCCAGTAAGTAGCATCTCATCCATGGCTTCTGTTTCAGTTCCTGCCTCCAGCTTCCTGCCTTGGCTTCCCTCAGTGGACTCTGACCCAGGATAAGCCAAGTAAACTTTCTTCTCCTCAAGCCATTTTATCACCGCAATAGAAGCCAAATCATGAGAAGAATGAAACCAACTTTGACAGGACATTTTCGCGCAGTACGCTGGCTCTCGTCAGACACCGCTCACCTTCAACAACTCATTCTGCTCCTGCGCCACATTTTCCAGCAGCTTCACATCTTGTAAAAGCTCATGTGTCCTCTGAAACACAGGCAGGGGTTTGCTTGCTGTCTGGGGTAACCTCAGCTCCATTTGGTAGGTCATTATCTCAGCAATAGTTTTTTTCATGGCATGGATGTTTTCAAGTATGACCTTGACAGCCGAAAGGAAGTCCCATACATGAATGAAAACAGAAACAAAAACAAACAAACAAAAACCCACAAAAGCACATGCAAGTTTACTTAGTGCAAGTGAAAATATTTATAATTTCATGTTGGTCTTTAATGTGCTATTTCAATTAAAAATATTTTCCTCACTTCCTCCCTTCCCCTCTCTGTATGGAATTGTGACTTCGTTCTGTATGCTGTTACTAGGCAGGTGCTGAATCTTACTTTTAAAGCAACTGTACCTAACCCAGGACTTCCTGCAGGAGTCCTGGAAAAATGCTCCCTGAATTGAACAGAAGTATCTAGCCAAATTTCATTATATACCTCATATATAGGACCTCGTTTAACCCTGAAAGGGAAGTACACCAATCTCACTTTCCCAGAAGGAAAAAGACCCAATTAAACTTAGACAGCAAGAGGCAGGGGTAAGATCAGAACTCAGATCTGCCTGATCCCAAAGGGTCTGCTGTGGCTCACAAGGCTGAGTGGGAAGGTCAGTGCATTTGCTGAGATACTGTGCTTAGCGCTCAGCAAGCCATAACTGGCTGATGGTCTCAGCACCAACACACAGAGATAAAAGAGAATCCAGGGAACATTCAAAGCCAGTAAACACTACAGCTGGGGCCAGAAACCCTCTACAGACTCTTGTAGGTGCTCAGGGTCTTGGGAGGGCAAAGCTTAAATAACGAAGTAACCTGCAGGAAAGCTGCTCCTACATAGGGAACATGATAAATACGATTTAAACGATTTTCATGGAACTGGCTGCTCTTCCACCAGGGCTCAATTTCCAGCACCCACAGGGTGGCTCACAGCTGTAACTCCAGTCCTAGGGGATCCAATTCTCTCTTCTGGCCTCAGAGGGCATTTTGGGCTTGTGGTACACACACATGTATTTAGGAAAACAATAAAAAATAACTAAAATTTCAAAAAATATTTTAAAAATATTTTCATATTTATATACAGCTGTTCCCAGCTTTATTTGCTATGATTCTAATGAGTTCAGCACTAGGTCATACCCTATGACTACATATTTTTAGGCAGACAGTAGGTATTGTGAGAAATACCTCCCCATGCTTGAGATGTTCTTCAGGAGAAAAATCAAATATTTCTTTGGATAACAGGATAGCTTTGATTTTCGCAACCTTTTTTTCCATTGATTTTACTTCAGACTCGATGGCAACCACATCCTAGAAGGATAGCAACAAGACACATACTTAAATGCTACATTGCTGCCCAGCAATAATCCGTAATGCATAATATATTGTTATTAATTCTATTCTCATATTTAACCACTTACACGGCTTAAGAACTAACAGATGATTCCATGACTTTTTAATAAAAATATTAGTTAGCCAGGCATTTGGGAGACAGAGGCAGACGAATCTCTGTGAGTTCGAGGCCACAGTGATCTACAAAGAGAGCTCCAGAACTGTCAGGACTATTACCCTATCTCAAAAAACAAAACAGAAGTTAGTCTACACTGCACTAGAAAGTTAAGATATTCACAGGGCCAAGTTTCATTTACTCCTGAGACCAAAGATTGGCCTGCTTCCAAATCGACTTCTAAAACACATTCTCATTTATCTACAAACTCTTTAACTTTATCTTTGGAATGTGTTTAAATACACAAGTATGAGTGGGTCTGGTATTTTAGTAATTCACGTCACTTTAGTTAAAAAAGAGACGATAAAGTCATCCTTAAGTAACTGACCAGGGGCTGGAAAACCCCAGGATTTTCACCCCCTAACGAGCTCTTGCCGAGCAGAACGCTGCGGAGTGATGTCATGACCTGCTCAGATTACTTCAAACACTAGATCTCTTGTCTAATGGTTAATTCTCCCAGTGTCAAGGTCCATAAGTGGGCCAAGAATCTTAAAGTGAAATGCTAGAAAAAGAAGTTAAAATACGCGAGGAAAACCCACACATTGACGTGCACCGACTGACTGAGAGCTGGAAGTAGAGCTTAAAGTTCGAGACAGATGCAACATAAAAATAAGATGATTCAATTGACAAGGGAGATTTTAAAAATGAATGGGTTAGGAAGGCTGAAGCTTTCAAATTATAGCAGTTTGGAGTTACTCAATACTGAAAAAAGTCTTTATGAATCAATACCAGCAGTAACTATAGGCACATATCTAAATTATGATAAGCCAGATTACATTAAGATCTATTTTTTTCACCTACTGTTTAATAAGAAGCTACGCCAAACTATAGAATGCACCTTAAAGTCATTTCTGTCAAAAATCACAGAAGCATGCTACCACTTTGTCAAAAGCTTCAGCAACCAAGAATTGACCCCAGGTCAGAGTGTGAACAGCAGGATTATTTATCCGGTTTCTTCCTGTTGGAGCTAGGCCACTTCTGGGGGAAGGATGGGGTCATGTATCTTGCTGTGGTTGTACAAAGTAAATTATAACCTCAGAAATAGCATCCATTAAAAACGTATCTGCCTAGTGTGCTTCTACAGGATTTGGGGGCGATTCCTGGTAAAGTACACAGGACACGGGAACCCACAACTGTGCGGTCACTTACGTCTGCCACCTGCTGGATGTGTGGAAGGTCCTCCACTATCTGCTGCTGTAATGCTGCCACCTGGCCACTTAATTCTTGGATGGACTGGATTAAGTCGTCAGTTTCAAAAATGAGCGACAGGTCTTCTAGATCTGTGAACACTGAATGTAGAAGGTTGTACTTCTGCTCAGAATCTTCCAGAGCCATCTAGATAAACAAGGAGAAGAGGGGGAAACACCAAGATGACGAAATGGATCTATCAAGGCCAGATCCATGGAAGTGTAAACTTGGTCTCAAAGTTGCCAAGTCCCGGTCATTTCTGTGTTCAGAATGAAGCCAATGAACACTCTACTACTGTCAGTGGGGGTTGACTTGAGCGTATGCTGACAGACTCCGTCAGATAATAAATGTTGGTTGTCTGGTGTTTCCAAGTTTTCCTGTAACTTGTTACACAACATCAGTGAATGCACAGAAGCAACCCTAGCATCTGTTAGCTGGCAGATGAAGAAGCAGGTGGTCTCCGTAGCTGGAACGGTACTCGACAACAGAAAGGATGAACTACTGGCGGCTGTAATAACGGAATGAATTACAGGCGCATCATGCTAAGTGAATGTGCAATTAAAATAAACAAAAATTGGCTGCTGGTGGTGATCCCAGCACTGGGGAGGCAGAGGCACGCGGATCTCTGAGTTTGAAGCCAGCCTGGTCTACAGAACAAGTTCCAGGACAGCCAGGGCTACACAGAGAAGCCCTGTCTCAAAAAACAAACAAAAAAAAAAATAAGAAAAACAAAAAATGAGTTAAGAGACTTACTAGTTTAGGCTGGGCTTTGAATTTTTGATTTGCCTACCTAGCCTTCTAGCCACAGGCTTTATAGTGGATTGCTACTATGCCCGGCAAAATGAACCTTCTCATGTTCAGTGGAGAACACTGACAGCCACTGAAATAAATAGAGATGGGGTAGGAGGGCACAGTAAGATGACAGAAAAGAGAATGAAAAAAATACAGATATGCTAGTATATGCCTTAACCTAGCATTTGGGAGGTGGAGGCAGGGGGATTGGGAGTTCAAGGTCAACCTGCTCTAAGTGAGACCTTGTCTTCTGGCCTCTGCTGGCACTGTGTGTGCATGTATGAACACACACACACACACACACACACACACACACACACGCAGCACACTCAGATACATGCACGCAAAATACTGATACACACAAAAATAAATAAATCTTTCAAAAAAGGTGAATCATAAAATTGATTAAAAATAGAAAAATGATGTGCTCTAGGGATGTGGAGAAACAACCTAAAGTGTAGGGGGGCAGACAGACTGGGGAATGATGGACAAAGGAAATCCATGCAAGGAGAAGAAAAGAAATAAGTGGATTAAAAATGCAATCTCTTGACAGCTGATGCCATACGACAAAAATGTGCCACCAAATCTCAACTGTCAGGGAGGTGAAGTCGGCCACTCAAGGAAACACTGTGCCATCTTAAATCTATAAAGGACTCAGAGCATCTTTGAGGTCTGGTTGCTATAGAAACTGTTATGAACCAATTCCTTAGCGACTCTTTCTCGGGATCTAATCATGAGAGAATGAAAATCCACATTTACAATCAATCCAGTCAGTTCCTGGCACTGGACAATCCCCGGCAGCCATGGCCCCAAGAAGGGAAACACGTGGTCCATTGGCGCGGCCTCTCTGATGGGCACAGTGAACCTGAGGGATTCCCGGAAGGACAAGGTCTTCCAAAGCATGGCATACCAGGCCTGACTCCATTTCTACTGCCTGGTAATTATGATAAACCTGGTTTCTCAAAACCAAAGACATATTGTTATGTTCTGGGGCTCGGGCCTGCTATCGAAGCCACAACGCTGCAACTGGCGGTCATGGGGGGCAGAGGGGCTCACAAGGCCTCACTCCTTCCTGAGGAGAGGTTGTCAGGGGTTGCTGGAGCAGGGATGTCATTTTCGTCTCTAATGTCATCTCTGATGAGTTGACCATGCTCTCGTTAACGCCCCACATCTCCATGCTGATTTTTTGTTTGTTTTTTAAAAACATGTAGGAGAGGGATTATGGGAAAGAAGGGGTTCAGTGGGAGGGGAAATGTATGGAAAAGGGTAATGGAAGGACAAATGACCAAAATCATTATATACATGCGTGAATTAAACTGTCAAAGTTTCCTGAGAGTCGGCACACAGAAGCTGTTCAGAGGCAGCCAATGCTGTACCTCACGCTGATAGCTGGACTTAGCAATGTGTAAGCGTCACCCAGGCGGTACTGGTTTTGCAGGCATGAAGGGGTCATGGACAGCAGCTGAGGCTCAGCCCTGTGAGAAGTCAGCAGAGGCTATTGCAGTTGAAGGCCCAGGTTTGAAAGGGTCATGCCGAGAAATGGAGGCTTGGCACTATGAAGAGAGTCTAGAAGAGCCTATTGGTGATAGTGCAGCCCAGTTACAGCAGAAGACCCCTGCATTTGGGAGATGCCATCACCATGGGATGACCATGCTATTCTTGGCGACAGCAGTGGAGAGAGGAGCCTGTCCACATAGAGGGCGGAACTGGAGAAGTGACCCAAGCTCTCTGGAGGAACCCAGAAGATCGTGAGTGGATCCCAGATCCTGGACATTGCTTACATCTGTGTGACTGTGCCTTTCCCTCTTGAAGTAAGAAAGTATTTAACTTACTTTTTTTTTTTAAAAAATTTTACAGGAGCCCACAGTTGAAAGACTAAATTTTTATAGAGATTTTAGGGTTTAAAAGAGATCTTTGGATTTTTTTTTTTTTTAGTGAATTTTAAAGTGTTTGAACTTGTAATGACTGTGGGAATTTTTAAGCTTATAAGATATTTTACATCGTGGTGTTATTAAAGTGTGATTTGGGGGATGTACAAGAAAGGAAAGGTTGTGGCTTATCAATGATGTGTTTGGGTGTCAAGTGGAAAAGGGGTCGATTGTGCTGACTTGGTGAAAACCCCAAAGGCCCTACCTGGAGGGTACTGGCTCGGTGGCTCAGGGTCTTTGATGAGTCATAGCAGGCAGGAGTGGCTAGCAGATGGCCGGTCTTCTCTAGCCACGCCTCTATGTTTTTCACAAGATCACTATATTCTTCCATCTTGATTGTGGCCTGTGGAACAAAACGGGAAGCAAGCTTGCTGGAGGCTAGTTACCGGGCCAGACTGATCTCTAATCAAGAGGAGAGCTAACTAATGTTGGCCAGTCGCATGCCAGGCTCCAGGTGAAGAACTGTCCAACTTGTCCAGGATTTAAAGAATTCCTGTTAGGCCTTGACAAAGGTTCCCAGTCAGAGCTGCGACTAGCCTTGCCCCATTTCTGCCTCATTCTGAACATAGGGCTTACACTTTCTCCTCGAGTTCAGGACCTGGTCCTGTCATATCCCATTTCAGGATCCTGTCCTACAGGATCACACTTGGGATTCACCAAACACAGCCACTCTTTAGAACAGAAGTAGAAAGGGACCTTGTTCCCAAATGGCACCTCTCTCATTGCAGGCTCCCTCCCCAGGCTCTGGAACAGCACGCCCTACATGCTCACTCTTGGGTCTCCATTTACCTAGGGAAGCTCAGCTGCCTGGACTCTTGCTGTGGGCTCACTATGGCACCTAGGAAGGGGACTAGGATGGCCACAGCATGACACTACTGGCCACCCCTGAATGTCACCCTCTGTGGAGCCACCACGCTATGCAGCTATCAGGTTTCATGACTGCACCTTGTTGAGCTGTGAGGTTCTGGATTCTGCTCTCTGGGACACTTGCTGATGCCGCTGGAAAGGAGCCATGAGGTTATCCATCCATTCTTGAGCCTGCCCTGGGTCCTGCTCGACAAAGTCCTGAACTTCCGAGTCCAGCTCATTCAGCTTGGAATGCCAGAGGTCAAGTTCGTCCCATATTTTCTGGAGAAGGAAATGTGAAGTCAGTTTCAATGAACCTGCCATGGGGGTAATGGCCAGCTTGCACATGGCACTCACTTGCATGTGGCAATACTAACAGGCACTATCACTGGCATGCTTGTACACTTGTTCATTCACACCCAGCAACCATTTGTGGTCTAAACCGGGAACCACTTTCTAATTCTAACCATTCACTTTGGTACACGTGAGCCGCTGCGGGACAGGAAAACCTGGAGGGTAAACAAGGATGACTAATAGCAGACAAGGCTCACATGGCCCCAAATGGGCAAAAGCCAGGAGGTCCACAGGAGGTGATTAAAAGGCTAGTTAAGCAGGGTGTGATGATGAATTCCTTTAGCCTTGCCTCTCAGGAGACCAAGAGGATTGTTTAAGCTCAGGAATTTGAGACCAGCCTGGAGGACCTGAGGAGTCCATCTCCCAAAGCAAAACAAAATAAAAAAGAGAAAGGCCTATGTAGACCTTTCTGCGTGTGCATACCCGTACAGGCACACATACACACACAAGTCCGGAAGACAACCTCGAGCGCAAAAATAGAATGAACAATAATGCCTATGACCTAGGAAGTGGTGTGGCGTTTGAAAATTCCCAACATGCATTAGCAGTCGACAAGCGCTTTTGACTCAAGAAAAAATAGCCTGGATTCTAATCTGAATTTATGTGGGCAGAGGGAGATTTCAAAGGTGAAATTTTCCAATCGTACCTAATACTTGTATATTATAACCAGCTTGGGGAAACAATACCTGACTTGCTAGGTCTGGTTCTTCTGCTTAAGAACCAAGGCTATGTCTACCAATGAATGACCTATTACATTAGGACTTCCTAAAGCTGTGGATGGCAGTACAAACTCACAGGCAGGTGTTTACCTGGGACTTGGAGGTAGAACAACACTCATCTACACTTTTACCTGAAACTTTGTTTCCTAAGCAGTTTTGCAAGGGAAATGGGTTTGGAGATTTTCACGTCTTGTGTAACCTTGGCAACCTATAGGAAACCTGGTACTGTTTCTCAGACCTAACTGACTCACTTGGTAAGTCAGTCATCCCATGGCAAGAAAGATCCTTCCCGTCCCTTTGTTTGTGGGAATGTCATTTCCTAGTCAGAGGGGCCAGGGGCGGGGCAAGTGCCTGTCTGTCAAAGACTGAGAATAATGCCTCCACGCACCTGACCAACCGTGCCTCTGAGCTGGCCTCTCATCACGGAGGCCCCAGGGATTTGGTTTAGGTATTCATTCATTCATTCTTAAAATTTTATTATTTTTATTTTTATCTTTGTTTCTTTTTTCTTTTCTTTTTTTCTTTTTTTTTTTTTTTTTGATTTTTTTTGAGACAGGGTTTCTCAGTAGCTTTTGGTTCCTGTCCTGGAACTAGCTCTTGTAGACCAGGCTGGCCTCGAACTCACAGAGATCCGCCTGCCTCTGCCTCCCGAGTGCTGGGATTAAAGGCGTGCGCCACCACCGCCCGGCTATTTTTATTTTTGTTTGCTGAGACCGGACCTCAGTCCTTGCTGGCCTCAAACTCCCCTATGCAGGTAGGAATGACCTTGATCCCCGCTTCCACCTTCTAAGTCCTCTGATGACCAGCATGTGCCACCAAGTCCTGTTTTATGCTGTGCTGGGGCTCAGACCTGGGACTTTAGGTGTGCGAGGCAAGCACTTTACCAACCAAGCTAATGCTTAGGCCTGGCTCAGGTTCTCAGAGCTCCAGGTCTATCCAAAGAGCTCATCTTTGGCTGACTTGAGTGATTCACGTCTGGGATGCGGGTCCAGGGATGAGAAAGAATGCCAAATGCCGAAGCCACTTCAAGGAGCACGTTACCTTCTGAATTTCTTGCGCTTCCTCGATGTTTTTGCTTTTCCGTTGCAGCATCTTCTCAATGCAATGAAGCCCATGGCTAATGTCTTCCATCTTCCTCCTCATGACACACGACGGGGAACTCTTCGAGATTTCATGGCTCATCTGTGACAAGGGAGAAAGTACGGTTGGTGTGCAGACAGCTTTGGCTCTCCATTCTCAGGTTTAAACATCGCAAATATCACTCCCTCTTCTGACTTGTAAAATATTTTAACATGGTGGGGGCACATCCCAACCACACTGTGAATGTATTGGTGACATGGTAGATAGTCAGACTATACTAAATATTAGCTGTGTTTCCTGACCTTTCCAATATAATCCAGAAATATGTTTAATCAAATAAGTAAAATTCATGTTACATTGGGAAGAATTACCTGGGGGGGGGGATCCTCTGGAGTATCAAATGATAAAAAAGAATTTCTATAGGAGAAGAAAGCTACTTCAGACACTCAGAACTTTATGAGAAAATCTTCTACCTAGCTCTGGGTTCAGGAAGATCAACTTTATTCTTAGGTTAATTTAAACAAATGTAATCTCCACTTCCCCATACAGTTAGGCAAAACCTCCCCCAAGTAACTATGTCTAAAGGGTGGGAGCCTTGTTTTTTTCTACGCTATTTCTAGTGTATGTTCCCAGCAACCAGAACTCTAGCTGCTGAGGACAACTTTTTTAAATCTAAATGATTTTCTTAAGAAAATAACTTGTGCTAGGAAAGATGAGGAGTATTAAATATACTGTTTTCCCAAAGAGCTGATCAGTGTGTTTTCTTGTTTTTAAGATACCGTTGATAAGTTACCACAAAATACCCATATAATACTATACACACTAGCTAAGGTGAAAATAAGATAGATAAGGATGCATTTGTGGAAGTCAAAACCTGGGCTAATGGCTAACTCAGCACCAAGACCCACACATCAAAGTGTTGGCGGAACTTGACCCTAGACGCCCTCAGTTCCCAGACTCTGTAGCAAGCTTGAGTCTCAGCAGGCTGGGGATACTGTCTTATCGTATCTTTATTCATAGACCATACTATAATAAAGATCATGGCTTTAAAAATATCAATTTAGGATTTTTAGCTTAATTTTATGTGTATGAATATTTTGCCTCATGTAGGATGTTCCCCAAGCGTGTGCCTGGTGCCTGAGGAGGCAGAAGAGGGCATCAGATCCCTTGGAATTGGAATTAAAGATGGTTGTGAGCCACCATGTAGGCCCTAGGAAATGAATGAGTAACAGGTGCTCTTAACCACTGAGCCATCTCTCTGGCCCCTCAACTCCCGCTTTCCTCTTGTATTAATGTTTTTCCTGTTGCATGTATAACACAGTACAAACAAACCGAGTTAGCCAGTATGGGCAGTGACATACTACCATTTGGGCACACTGGGCAAGATTATGATCAGGGGTAAGCAGCCATCTGAATTACATACAAGATACTGTCTGCGGCTGTGGCCTGGACCCTTTAATTTCCCTGAGACCCATGACACAATAAAAATCAGTTCCATTTGTCACAAACATACAAGTTCACAATGGAAAACTTCACTCTTACACCTGAAAGACTGCTTTTTTATTAACTTACTTTGTAGGGGTTTCCACATAAAGTCACAAAAATAACTCTGAGTTTCTCTCAAACTATTTGGGAGTCTTTTAAAACAGATAATAATGATCCATGAGAAAAGTTCTAATAGGTTGCTGTATGTTTAATCAAAATCTATTCTCACACAGAAAGAGGAAGCGTAATTACATGCAGAGCACATGTTCTAGGAAATCTGTCCGAGAAGCTAATGACACGTGCTGGCATCTGAGGGGTTTGTTGATTCATTTGTTTTATTTGAGACAGGGACTGGCCCTGCAACCTCAACTGGCCCCTGCCTTAGCCGGTGATGTACTGGGATTACAGGAGTAAACCACCATAACCAACATTAACATCTGAGTTTGAAATCTGATTTTTGCATGTATCCCCATTTTATAAGAAAATCTAGATATTTCTGTATATCTATATGGTTGGTTGAATACAATACAATCAACTCTATTCTCAGGCCAATTTAAACACAAAGGTATTCTCCATCTCCCTACCGTCTAGAGGAAACAACCTTCTCCTAGTACCTACTTCCTCAGAATAGAGAGCCCCATTTTTCCCTGTGCTGTTTCTGGTGGTGATCTGTTATAATTATCAAGTTATAGGCATTCTAAGCTTAAAAACAAAACACAAAACTCTCCTTATGGAAACTGAACCAAACACAATTTTGTTTTGCTGGTCTGAGTTGCCCTAATAAAACTGTCTTGCTGAGTGCCTGTGTTTCCAGCACAACGGAACAATTCACAACCTCTCTTCAGACCTGAACTCTGAAGTAAAAAAACTTTCCCCAGGATGCTTTGTGAGAATTCCATCAACATCACTATTAAAGACACCACATGCTGAGTGTTACTTTGAGTAAAAAATATAATCTGTATTCCTACAGTCCTTGGTTAGTCTTTCAAATGTTTTGGGGAATACATTTTAAAGAAAAACATTACAGATGTCCCCATTTAAAAAAATTTTTTAGAATAAATAATATTTTTAAACCATGATAATAATAATAATCCAAGTAAAAGATAACACGAATTATTAAAATGTAAGCATCTAAGACAACTGGTGAAGATAAAAGATAATCTGAAATCCTGTTATCTATGCAGTTACTTCAAGCACCTTTATCTCAAACACTCACTCCATGAAACCAGTCGGAGCTGCAACTAGCAAAGTGACAGTGACATCAGAGGGTATTCCTGTTTCCGTCCGTGCCACCCCACCATCAACGGCACCACGCAGACCCCATCATCACCTTCTCATCCGCATCTTCCAGCGCCTTCCTGCAGTCTTCCACCTGGGAGTCAATCTCCGCGGGGACTATGCTGTACATTTCGGAATACTTGATGCGCAGTTTTTCCATGATGTTCTCGAAAGTCAGCTTGCCTTTCTCGAGTACGCTTCGCAGCTCCTGAAACCATCAACAGAGACTCAATACTTACAGAAACCTGGGAAAAAGTCTAGCCCTAAGGGGGAAAAAAAAAAGCAAACAGGCTTTCCATGGTCCTCTCAACTTAAATAAGCCAACTTTACATGACAAAACCTCCCTATTGATACAAGCAGATTAAGCCCCAGGGTTTAGTCAGATGATGCTTTCTAATTTGTGAGAATTGAACTTGATCGCTCTTCGTGGTGTCAGACTATTGTGACAGAAAAGCATTAGGGCAGCCCCAGCCTCTCCAGCACCTCTAGGATCGACTGCCCGTCAGCTGTGGCCAGTCGGCTAAAAAGCAACAAGGGGCCAGACGTTTCAAAGAAGGTTTTTCCGTGTTGTTATTAACTTGTTGCTATTTCTGCTTCTTCCTTCAGTAGCATCATAATGAGTCAAGGCCACCGAGAGCCCCGCACTTAAAGCCAAAGTGTCTGTTTCATGTAATTAGACAGCCAGACAGAGCCCCGGGCCTTTCAAAAGGAGGGTTCTAGTTCCTGGTAAAGAATTTAGGTTTCAGGAGATAAAAGCGTGGTGAACAAATGGTCCATTGCTTGCGGCCTAGAAACAGAATCTGACCGGTGTTCTCCCACCGTAATTACAAAGGAGAAACTCATCTGTTTGGGAAAGTTTCCCAAAGATCGAATGGAAAACTACTTCTTGACTTCCCTGGGCTTTTGTGTCCTTTAGTGACTGGTGAACAGCACTCTTGAGTCCCGGCCCCGCGGAACAGTTCCCACTCTAAACCTGTGATGTTATACCCTGCTCAGGGGTCGCCATCCTCGGCTGATTGACAGGCCTAGAGAGGGAAGAATGACGTCACTGGTGGGGTGGGGCTGCATCCTGTTCTTTCCGCCCAGGCCTTAGGGATGGCAGGTCTCAGTTCACAGCTACTCACAGAGACAAGGTGGTGACCTCGCCGCAAAGCAAACTTTTGAAAGCGACAGTAGGTTTCCCTTTCCAGCGCTGATAACCAAGGGCTCTGTGGTTACCAAGAGCATGAGACTTTTGCCTAAAGGCACCAAAGTCAGGGCTGAAGAGACTGGTAGGTGGTTAAGAGCACTGGCTGTTCTCAGGGAGGAGGACCCAGATTCAGTTTCCGGCACCTATGTGGCGAGTCACAGCCAAATGGAACTCTGGTTCCAGGAGACCCGACAGTCTCTTCGGGCCTCCTCAGGCGAGCACACACATATACACATAGAAAATAAAGTGAGGGGCTCAGAGATGGTTCAACGGTTAAGAGCACTTGCTCCTCTTGCAGAGGACCCAGGTTTGGTTCCTAACGTGCACGTGGTAGGTTACAACCACCTAATACTCCAATTCCAGGGATATCCAACGCCTCCTTCTAGCAGTCACAGGGCACCAGGCACACATTATATACATATATATATATATATAATACATGTATATATATAATATATGTGTATATATATTACACACACACACGTAGGCCAACCACTCATACATATAAAATATTAAAATAACCAAATCTTTAAAAATTAAATTAAAATTTTTTTAAAAAGTTCCCCAAATCGTTTTTGGACTAAGAATAGGAGGAGAGGTCAGTCTGAAGAACTGAGTTCTCGAAGTGACCCTCAGGGCAGACCCAGAGCCTCTCGGAGCTGAGGTAGCAAGTCCAAACAAAGACGTCATCTAGCATATTCCCGATATGTGGGCGAGGTCTCTGATTAGCACATACTTAAAACATGGTTCCAAACAGGGCTACATACTTCTGAGTGACCCGTCTCCCAGCCTGGCTCCTTTTTCCAACCATGCTCGCCTTCCTGCCCTGACTCTACAGTGTCCCATAGGCCCTGTGCACCTCCCTCCCTGATTCCCTGGATTACTGTCCAACTCTAGCGGATAGGTTACAGCTCTGCCCCAGGACTTGAACAGAAGACTGTGGACCAGTCCCAGCCACTTCCACTAATTCTTCCCTCACTCACCTCCAACTCTCCTGCCCTTTCTGGATGGTCTTCCAGCGCCAGGTTTTGGAGAGAAGTTACGATCTGTTCAAATGAACGCTTCACATCACTTATTTCCTTCATGAAAGAATGCCGCACCTGGATTTCGGTCTGGATCGAGTCCTTATTCTTTTGAGTTGCCTGAAGAAGCCTGGAATGAAGCATCAGAACAGAGCTCTCTAAGGAATCCCTCAAAGGTCAGTCTCCTTCCGAGGAGAGAAGTACCAGTTTCTGACTGGTTAATATACCAATTGTCAGGCAAACATCAAATACAGGCAATCAACAGCCTTCCCAAAACCTTCATCCCCATGTGTCCTCTCTACACATTCCAGCTGCCATCCCTAGCTTCTCTGTCCCATGTGGTTCCAGATCCCAAAGGAAGTGACGTGTATCATCAGCCGTGGGTGGGCTCTTTAGAACAGACAACCACCACCAGCCCATTTCTCAAAGACACTGTGTTTGTGTGTGTGTGTGTGGGGGGGGGTAATGGTGAGGGGGTCTTTCCAGAGAACTATCTGGTATCTATCACTTGGTAACACGATAGAAATCTATACTTGGCCTCTGCCCTCCAGGTCTGAGATGGGGGCTCTTGTTTTCCTTACAGAGAGGAACACAATGAAATCACTTCACTATGTAGCCCTGGCTAGCCTTGAACTTGCAGTGATCCTGCTGTCTCTATCCCATAAATGCTCGGGTTACAAGTGTGTGCCACCACACATTGACTGAAAATCTGTTCTGACATTTCTCCCTAGGCCTCATTTCTAAGACAGAGAGCCCTAGCACTAAACTCATCTCTTGGTAGACTCCTGGATAGCCTCATGGCAGGAGAGCTAAGTGATTGGAGAGCTGGGACCATCTGCACTGCCCTGTCCAACCACCACCCTCCCAACCCATAGACAAAGGAGAGGGTCTGAAGGCTGAGGTGACTTGGTCAGAGGGATAACCACCATGAGGAAAGCAACCTCAGAAGCATGGATATGATAGGGTCAGAGCGCCTGGATCGCTGAACAAGAAAAGTGACCACAGGTCAGGGGGTATAGAGGACAGGGAAGCTGTCCCATTCTCGTACCCCTTAACCATTCTTCTTCATCTGTATCCTTTGTTATATCTAAGTGGCTCCCTGAGTTCTGCTGGATACTAGAAAGGGTTTTGGAGGAAGTTCCAACAACTACGCAGTCAGAAGCACGGGCGACATCCCACAACGGTGGCCTCTGAAGCAGGGACAACATTGTAAAACTGAGTGCTCAAAGTGTGGAATCTGGACAGGTGGGTCATGTCAGACCTGAACTACCACAACTTGAGGGGACATCAGCTGAGAAATGGTTAGTGGGCGTGGGGAAGGAAACCTCCGAGCATCAGGTGGAGGATGCTGAGTGACTAAGACGGAGAGGGAAACTTCTGCTCTCCTCCTGAATGAGCACAGCCGCTGCCGGGGCTCTTACAACAAACACAACCGGACTACACAGAAGTTAAAAGATCTGGAAAGGGGTTTGCTTAAACATAGTACGGCAGATCACCATCACAGACTATTCTACAGGTATATATTTAAATTGACAGTCTGTGGCAGAGGAGACAAAAACAATCGGCTGATAAACAATTTGGCAGAACACACAACAGTGTAAGTACTATAATTTCAGTAATCACAGTGAGAAACAAGAAAGGGTGATTGGCCGTGTTTCACTGCGTGGTGAGAGTAAAATAGACACGCTGGGTTTTTTAATTTCCCAGTCTTGAAACGTCCCACCGTCAATAGGTAATACTAAAAGTTTGCCAGCTATTCATACCTAGTAATACCAGAATGGAAAATGAGTGGGTTTCCATAGAACCATGCATCTCTTCTGGACCATCAGTGCTGACTCTGCTGTAGCCTTTGTTATCATCTACCTTTATCTCTTTTTTTTTGGTTTTTGAGACAGGGTTTCTCTATGTAACAGCCCTGGCTGTCCTGCAACTCACTCTATAGACCAGGCTGGCCTCAAACTCACAGAGATCCGCCTGCTTTTGCCTCCCGAGTGCTGGGACTAAAGGCACATGCCACCACTGCCCAGTTCATTTTTTATAGTCTCTAACTCTGAACGGAAGCCCTCAAGGACATTTCCTTCAGAACCTCTTTGGAAGTCTTACCTGTTGCACCGTTCCTGCATAGACCTAATCTCCTGAAGTGCCGGGATGGTTTCCACAGTCTCTGTACCTTCTGGAATGTTCTGGATACTTGTTATGCGCTGAAGAAGCAGGGTCAGCAGCTGCTGCTGCTTTTCCACGCTCCCCTCATGCTGGCACAGAGAGTCCAAGAGCTGACGGAGTTCCTCTGTGGGAGCTATGTCCTTTGTTCTGGAAACCTCTGGAAGGTCCTCCTGAAGACTCTCTAAAATTATTGCTTCTCGTTCAATCTAATTAAACAAATGGCAATGGGGGAGAAAAGCACGAAGATGCTGAGATGTGAACTCTACCTTGGCAAGCACGTTTTTTATAATCCTCTCTTTAAAGCATTCGTAATGCCACATCCTGGGTCAAAGTCATTATTTGTTACTAATGACTGGGGAGATGCTATCGGATAAAGTGAGTTATTTCCCCACTGAGGCCTCTGGTGGTGTGGGCAGTGTTAACATCCGAGGTCTACTTAAGAAGCAGCTTCCAGTGTAAGAGGCCGGGCTGCTGCTGTCAGATGTGGAAACTTTTCTAGGAGTCTCTTTCACTTTGAACGCCTGCATCATGCTGTAAAACTAAGCCTGGCGGTTTGTTACGAACCTGACGCTTTCCAAAGGGAGACAGAGCCACTTGGATCACTGAGCTGGCTGGGCTTATCAAGCACTGGTATGTACAAAACTCAGAAATACGTAACTTATTACAACACCTACCTAGAAACTAGGAATTCTACTGGCCCTGGACATGGGAAACAGCCTCAACGGCTCCTGGGTCAGAAAGTTCGCTGCACTTCCATCCCCACCCCCAAGCCCTGTGTCCATCCCCTTTAGCTACAAGACTCATTTATAGCATTCTGCCCTCTTACTCAATGTTCCAACAGTGGCCTGCCTTGCCACTACAAAATACCACATCAGACAGCTGCACCTGCGGTGTCATGCTAATCACATCAGTGAGCAAGGCCCTGGATGTACCAGGGGGTGAGAAAATAAACCCAAGAAAATGCAAGAGTCCCAGCATCAATTACTAAAAGCTTCCAGGGTCTTCAAAGTCTAAGGCATGCTTCTTCACCAATATGAAGGTCAAGTTGGTCAATTTTTCAATTGCTAGCAAAGAGAGATACCATGGGATGGGGCTTCTTGGATCACAGAAATAATACATGTTATATTTATGATTATTGTTCAAACCCATTACTAGCAATGCTTCTAATGCTTGCTGGGAAGAAAAGCCAAAGCGTCAGGAACATGCTGTGGCATCTGCTCTCCTGTCACTTGGGTCCTATGATCTACTGGGATGCCCAGTTGCTATAATATACCAGGTACAGAGGGAGACTGTTCCCTCCCTAAGAAACTCGGCTATGGAGTATGTGCCTCCCCATTTTAACCTGGTTCCAGGTAGCAGCTACCCTGAACTAGATATTAGGACAGACCATTTCACACCTTCCTGCTTAAAACCAGCATGCCGACAAAGGAATTGCAATATGGACAGGACACTAATGAGAGATCTAAGGTTTCTAAAATGATTTGGGTTCAAAGAACCTTGCCTGTAGCCCAGTTCTGTAACCCAGAACTTATCAGGGCTTCCTTTGGTGCAGCCATGCCCAAGAACAGTGGCTACGAACAAACGCAATGACCACGACCCCCAGAGAGTATAAAATAAACAAAAAGGCCAGTAGCTCAGGCCTCTTCTGTTTCAGCTCTCCTTCCTGTGGATTGGTGCCCCTTTCCCAAATAAACCACCTGTTGGCAAGTGCAGTCTCAGCTGCAAGACTGCTGTGGGGCTAGTGGTTGACAAGGAGAGCTGAGAGAGAACAGTTCAGGCCAGGAGTCAGGCAAATGCTCAGTGTATGAAGGGGCAGCTGTCCTCCATCCACCCAGACAATCCTGCTCGGGGATAAAGGAACACAAAGGGCATGAGGGAATTTTCAGCAATGACGGGAATGTCCTTCATTTTTGTAGTCACGTGACTACATACATTACTTGAAACTCAAAATTATTAAAGAAAGCCCCCTAAGCCAAGAAAACAGCATAAAGGTTATGTGCTGGTCCTTTCCCTTGGAAAAGTCTCTGTATCCCTTAGTGACTTTTCTTGGACATAAAATCCTAATAAAGCCCTTTATAAATTGATGATTCATCATAAAGGTGAACAGGATGAAAAACTATAGTTTTAACATACACACACACACACACACACACACACACGAGTAAAGGACGATGAAAATCTCGGGACCTGAAGAAGTGGGTACAAAGGAGGAAATAGCTTTGGGATTCAACAGTACGAGAGGCAGCAGCCAGCATTTTCTTTCCAGTCGTCTCTGAAGAAACGGCTTTGCCCCAGCACTTCATGACCACCAAAACATCGAGCCATTATTCAAGGTCAGTTGTTCTAGCTTCCTTTCCGTGGCTGTGCTGAGAACACTCTGACCAAAAGCAGCCTGGGGAAGGTTACACTTTCGGACCACAGTCCATCACTGAGGGAAGTCAGGGCAGGATCGCAACCTGCATCTCGCTTCACTCTCTGGCTCACGCCCAGGTTCCTGCTCAGCTGGCTTTCTGATACAGCCAGGCCCACAGCAGGCGGGGCTAGGCCCTCCCATGTCAATTATCAGTCAAGACAACCCCTTACAGACATCATCACAGGCCACTCTGATCAGGAAATGCATCCATTGAGGTTGTAGAGTTGACAGCTGAAGCTAACTAGGGTATCAGTAATGATATTAAGTCTAAAAAATAAGGTGTTATGTTGAAAGGGGAAAAGTTAAATCAAAAGGCAAACGGACTTTTAATTTGGAAATTTATAAAATGAATGTTTCAGGTTTTTTTTTTAAATTTGACTACTCAAAATGGTTAGTTCATAAAGATAGTTCTATAACAATCGTTTAAAATCAGAAATTGTTACATATTGGATATTAATATGGCTGTCAACTTGACAAGATCTAGGATCATCAGAGAGACAAGGTTCTGGGCATGCGTGGGAGGGATTAGCTAGATTACATTAGTTAATTGAGATGGGAGGTCCCACCTCATGGAGTAGCACCATTCACTGGGTAAGGCCTGGCCTGAAGAAAGAGGAGAAATCCAGTTAAGCACCAGGCATTCATCACTGCCCTCTTCCTGACAACAGATATGACGTCACTTCCTCCAGCTCCTGCCACCAGGAGCTATGGTAGACTGTCCTCTTGCACCCTGAGCCCAGATCAACCTTTCCTCCCTTAAATAGCTTTTGTCAGAGCATTTTTATCACAGCGACACACAGATAAAGACACCAACGGTTCTAGCGGAATCTTGCGTGTATAGGTCTTATGTGGATGTGGGAACTGCATCGTTGCCAGTGAATGAATAAGAACTGCCTTAGGATCACGCAACAGGCAGGGGGTGTGGTTCTATGGATCACACAACAGGCGCGGGGGGGGGGGGGGGGGTGTGCTTCCATGGTAGAGTGCTTGGTTTTATCTCCAGCAACAGACACATCCACGTCCACACCAACACAATCACATCACCTAGTCGCTCAGTGACCAGACGTGTACGCTGGAATCTTCTCTTAGCACTTGTGAACTTGGGCAAGTTACTCCACATTGCTGAGTCTTGCTGACCTCAAGTACTGTTGGTAAAACTCCTCCTCTGGAGAGGGGGGATGTGAACATCTACCCCTCCACCTAAGGTTCTAAGACAAACCTCCTCCTAAAGTCCTAACAACAAACCCAAGTACAATTTCACAGAAGTCTGCCCTGGGGACCCAATAAATTTATTGGGCTTACTTACAGAGCATGCGTGAAGGGTGACTGACAGGAGCCTGGCTGACCCCAAAACAGCCCATCCTCGAAAGTCTTCACCCTGCCTGGAGGGTGGCTTCAGGACCGTCCTATGATGGAGTCCCTTCCTCTAGTCTCCTTCAGCCTATACACTCTAGCTCCTCCCGTAGGTCCCGAGGACACAGCCATTGGGGCAGAAAAACACAGAAATGGCTAAGAGGAGTGGCTAGATGCTCCCGTGTGGGTTCAGTGGCCCTCCCACCTACTCCTTCCAGGCAGGAATGTCAACAGTCCGCACCTTTTTCTTCTAAGGAGGGAATTTCAACACTGCAGCAGGCACAATGGCGGTGGGTGCCAGCAAAGAGGCACAGCTGCCCGCAGGAGGATGGGCCGGCCATCTGGCTGAGGATCGCTCATCACGTGACTGAAAACACCCTACTTAGAAATAAGCCAGGCACTGTATAAGCGCTCACTTCTGTTACTGCATGTGTGCTGGCCTTTGAAGAGTACAGTTTGCTGGGCTGGGAATGGAGCACGGTTAGTAACATGCCTGCTCAAGCACAGAGCCCTGGCCCTGGCACAGCAGAAATCAGGGGTGGTGACACACATCTGTAACCCCAGCACTTGAGAGGAAGGGACAGAAAGGCTACAAGATCAAAGTCCTCCTCGGCTACACAGCAAGCTGGTGATGAGCCCGGGCTACAGGAGACTTTATCTGAAAAGAAGTGAAATTTTATAAGCTTCTGGTCTATCTAATTGTTTGCTTGAGTAATTAGAATTAAACGGGTAAGATTTAAATTAGCAAGCTGTGACTTCAAATGGATATAAAACAGTGCCGCGATAAAACAGGGAAAGCTTACACTCAGCCTAGGTTTGGATCTGAATAAACACTCTCCCTCAACAGGGATTTACTGAGTGCCCACCGGGTACAAAGTATAGTGTCCCCTGGGCTGCCAGGTTATAATGGTAGCGAAGACCCCAACTCCAGCCCCAGTCCACAGGACCTTGCCACAGCCTGCAGTTGGGGATCTTAGGCCACTAGTTTCCCTATCTATCAAATGGTAATGATAGTTAATTCCTAAGGCCAATGCAAGGATCTCAGAAGCACGCGTCTGGACTGGTTTCTCAGTGGAGCATAGAGGCTCAGTGACTGGCATCATTGTGGACAGGCTAGCAGCCCAAACAGAAGCGTAACTGATGGAGTTTCTTGGAGTCTGAGTGTCCAAGAGACTGCTCGCCGATTAAGCCCCACCAGCACCGCTGAAATGACACCAGTTTCAAGTCTATGAAGTTCTTAGTACGTTAATAGGATAGTGTTGAGCGCAGGCGACCTCCCACCAATTAAGTATGGACTCGGTACATTTCCACCTCTGGAAAACTCACCAGGAATTTTGAAAGGAAGAAAAGAGAGATCTCAACTCATATTCTGATTTGCACTTCATTTATCGTTATTGCTCGATGGGAAGATTAGCAAATACTATGATCTCGTGCGAGCTTTCTCATTTTCTTATTATGTGCAACACCTAAGTCCTAAACCATGACTAAGCTATCCTCTGTGTCTGACAAATGCCAGAGAGGTCTCCTTTGAGGCGGTTTTCAGAAATTACCATATTTCACAGTTTCAGGCCCACACGCAACAATCATAACTAATTTCCACAGTTAACAATTGGAGTTGGTTTCTAATTTAATCGGTTATCATGCACGTTACCCAGTTCTAACCTCTCGTGTAATGAATGCAAAGACAGTTATTTTTAAGGATTAACTCAGCCTCGCAGCACAGATGTTTCAGCTTCACTCAGGAAGTAGTCACCTTTTTAATAATCATCTGAGGAGCTAGCTCGGAGGGTGATGGCGCTTGCTGCGCGAGCCTGGAGGAGACCTGAGTGTGATTCCTAGAGCCACGTAAAAGTGGAAGAGGAATGTGGACCCCAGGGAGAGTTAGAGGCTACCTAAAGCAGCACCGCTATTATGAAAGAAGCTGAAGAATTTCTCAGAGGCATTTGCCAAGCCTAACTTGTACAGACAATCACACACACAAAAAAAATGTTTATCCAACGTACAAATAAGAGAACACAGACGCGATGAAGAGGCGCTAGCTGGCCCCGTGGGGAGCTGCAGGGTTTGAGTGTGGACGATAAAGGCCTCACCTCCTCACTGATGAACTTCCACTCTCTCTTCAGGTCTCCACTCCACTGCTGCCACACCCTGGCGGCTTCCAGCAAGCTCAGCCACTTCTCCCACAGAGCAGAGGCCACTCGGAGCACACACGCGCCATCGCTTTCTGTGCACCTGCATCTCAGGTGTCTGAGGACCTGGCGGAGGCTCACTAAGTCTCCTTGGATTGACAGGAGACTTGCTGTGAAGGCCTTAAAGAGAAAGTGACAGGACAGACACTGAAATATTACTCTAAACTTGGCACAGTTAAGATTATTTTTTTTAAGTGGCATATTTCATGTGGTGGTCTTGGTTGGTCTCGAACTCAGAGATCCTCTATCCCCTTGCCTCCCGAGCACTGGGATTAAAGATGCACGCCGCCACCACCTGGCCCATTTAGAAGTTCTTGATTTATTTGTCCGATATCTTTTTGGTAGATGAACGGCTCATCTAAATCGTAATGAGTTGTCAGCAGTGATGGCTCATGCCTTTAATCCCAGCACTCAGCAGGCAAAGGCCGGGTGACCACAAGTTCAAGACTGGTCTAGGCTATGCAGCAACTTTGTCTCAAATATAAACAAATATGTAAATAAACCCAAAGTATAACAGTAAAGCACCACAGATTCTAATAGATGAGAACAAACAAAACTCAAAATTGTAGGCTGGGCGGTGGTGGCACGCGCCTTTAATCCCAGCACTCGGGAGGCAGAGGCAGGCAGATCTCTGTGAGTTCGAGGCCAGCTTGGTCTACAAGAGCTAGTTCCAGGACAGGAACCAAAGCTTCGGAGAAACCCTGTCTTGAAAATTCAAAAAACAAAACAAAACAAAACCCTCAAAATTGTTTCACAAGCTGGGGATGTTTCCAAGTCAGAGAGTGCTTGCTTGCTATGATTACAAAAGTAAACAGAACCAAAGGAAAACCAGGCATGGAGGTGCATACCAGTGACCCCGACACTTAGGGTAGGTGAGGAGTAGAAGTGGGACTTGGGACACAGGCGACTCTGTCTCAAATAAAAATATAGAAAATGTCGAGATTTGACAGATGCAGGGACTGTTCTCTCATGGCAACATATCTCAAAAAGTCACGAAAGGGAGGAGTCAGAAAGGCGGGCTACGGGCCCGATGCTATGGGGGAGGGGAGGACTACACTGTAGATCTAATCAACTGGAGGGGTCAGCATCATCCCCTCATCTCCCACTGGGACTCTTCTTGTGGGGGTTTGAAGATTTCTGTGGCTCAGAGCAGAGCCGTGCTCTCTTCTGCCCCCACCTGGTTATTCCCCAGGTCTTTACGCAGCAGACTACAGACTCACCTTGCTCTGATCCAGGCCCGCTAAAGCTTCTTTGTAGGACCTGGGCAACGGGGACATGGACTGTCTGAGATCTGTCTCCATTTTCCTGAGCCGAGAGCAAATTTCCTCTTTCATTTGTCTATAGCATTTGTAATTCTCTAGGCACCTGAAGAGGCAGTTAGAAAAAAATATTCAATTTTATTTCTCATTGATCCACCCCCAACACATAAAGAAGGGGTGCTTTTTTGCTATTCAAGCCACCTACAGACGGCTTTAAATAGGCGGATACAGTTGCCCTCAAAACACCAAATTAGAGAGAGGGAGAAAGACAGATGATAGCTAGAGAAAGAGAAAGAGAGAGAGAGAGAGAGAGAGAGATATTGAGAGATATTGAGAGATTGAGTTTTTTATGTACTACTAATGAGCCATAAGTAGGTTGAATTCTGGGAGAAAGGTACATAATGCTAAAAACGTCAAAAACCAAATAATAAAATAAAAAAAATTGTCTACATTTGGATTCATTTTGTTCATTCTGCTTGTTTTAGGGAGTTAATCTCAACTATAAAGAATTTCCCAGAATCAGGATAAAATCATTTACATAGTAAAAGCCTTTTACAGATAAGAGCATTGATTAAAACAGGAAAAAAAAACCCATTTATCTAACAAAAAGCAAGGTTAGGTAACAAGTCATCACAAAATTTATATATGGATTGTGATTACTATTATAAAATATTTGTTACGAGGAAGAAAATAAACTAATGTTATAGTAAAAAGAAAAAATGGGACAATTTATATTTAATTGTGATTTATTTTTAAAAACACCATTCAGTCACATACACTAAGTAGGTACTGCCTAAATTATCCACTGAGAATAATTTAAAATTCTGTTTTCGGGAGCTGGAGTGTAGTTCAGCAGTAGGGCACATGCCGGGCACAGACATGACCTTGAGTTTAATCTCTAGTGAAAAAAATAAAAAATAAAATTCTGCAAAGAAAATAACTCTCACAACTGAAATCCTAGCACTCATACTCAGGAAATGGACTGCCTTAAGTTTGAAGCAAAAGGCTAGTTTCAAAACAATGGCAAAAACAAACCTGTGTGTGTGTGTGTGTGTGTGTGTGTGTGTGTGTGTGTGCGCGTGCATGCATGCATGCAGGTATGAGTATCATAGCATGGGCATGAGAAGGTCAGACATTAGTGTGAGGTGGCTTCTTTGCTCTCTTATCTTTTGAAATGGTCTCTCTCTGAACCTGATGCTTGTGGATTTGGCCATATTGTCAATGAGCTCCCAGGATCCTGGATTAGTTAACCCGGTCTTTACATCAGTATTGTTGATGCAAACTCTGACCTCATGCTTTCATGATAGGCACTTTACTGACTGAAGCACCTCACCGCCGGCCTCCCACTCTGCTTGTATACATACACACACATGTGGACAGAGGAAAGTGCTCTGAGCATGTGTGAAAGCCAAGGAGGCCATCTAGTGGCCCGTTCTATCATCTTATCTCTTGAAACAGGGTCACTCACTGAACCTGGAGCTTGGCTGGTTGCCAGGAAAGCCCATCAATCCTTTAGCTTTGTCCTCCTCTCCCCCTGCAGAACTAGGGTAACATGAGAGGCCATGCTCAATGTTTTGCATGGGTTCTGGAGATTTGAATTCAGGTCCTCATGTCTGCAAAGCAAACAATCTTACACTTTAAGCCATCTTCCACCCCTCTCTGACCATCTAATGTCAAGTGTTAGCAAGGAGGTGGGACAACTGGAATATCTGTATGTACCTGTTTTATTGGAAATTAGGGGACCATTTAGTGCTAGGAATTGTGTCCCTTTGACCTGGGCTGTCACACCCTTACATACCCAAGGGAGGCTCCTGCACCTTCAATATGTTCCTAGAAGCACTGTTGTTTAATGCAGGAAACTGCAAACCACTGCAATGTCAATTAACAGCTATGGACAAGAAGGTGACTAAACCTTATGGTCAAAGTGATGCGCTTGAAAAAATGCGGAGTTACAGAATAAAAGAATGAAAATAAAAAGAACAGGTCACAAACACAGCAAAAAATACAATAAAAAGAAACAAATATAAAATTTAGGGCATTTATTGTCTCCTAATAAAGAAAGGAGAATTCAGGAGAATTCAAGTTAATGAGATTTATCTGGGACACTTGGGGTATAAAGATGCTCATTTTGCCTCTGCCCTTTACACTGGTTACACAGTTTATACATACCATTATATGTATCAGATACTAAACAAGAATTAAAACAGAATGAAACTTTTAACATGGTTCTCTTTGGTGGCTTTTTACACTTTCCTATACCCAAATTTCCTCTGATGTGCACATTAACTATAAAGATACAGAAAATGAAGTTCTGATGCCTGAAAGTATCCCTTAAGACAGGCGACCCACCTTCTATCATCAGCTTCCTGGGCCTCCAGCCCCGCCTTCAGGGCGGAGTTCTTAGACACTAAGTCTTGTAAAGTACCCAGAAGTTGCTCTTTGGCCTCAGGGCTAGAGATCGTCCCCAAGGTCTCGGTGAGGTTCTGGATTTCTGCTACTGTGGACTGCAATTCCTCTTGCTTACAGCGGGCAGGCTCCAGAGATTCTTTGGGATGGTGAAGGTCCGGTCTGTAGCACAGAAGCGTGGTTTCCAGGGACGCGATGATCCCCGCTGCCCTGGTGACCAGCTCCTCGTACTGGGTTGCATTTTCATAGGCATCATTGAGGATATTCTGGTGAATTGGAGATTAAACACAGTCAGGCCGTTTTCTAACTTGGGAGACTTTGGCTACTCTCAAAGGTGGTGCATTCTTACACCTGTTCTTACGGGGGCAGTCTAACATTAATATTTAAAAATGAGTAACTCAAAAAAAAAGCCACATTTTCTAAAAAAAATCTAATTTAAACTTAAAATAACATCTCATTAATCTTGTCAGTTGATAAATAATTCTGACTCTGAGTTTCTTGCAGCAGGCTATGAATTAAATACAGCATTGTATATAATATAGTATCTATGAACAAATGGAAACAGCCCCAAAGCCAGACTTCTTGCATTTCAAATGAGCAGCATTATCTGCCACCAACTTCAGTTCAGGTACATCACTGAATGTCCCTACACCCCAGTCTTGTGAAAACAGCAAGTGAATTTAAAGATGTCTTCCTGTCCAGCTCTAATCAAATTACTCATGGGTGGGGTAAGTTATGCAGAGTGTTTCTCAAAACTATTAAAAGCAAAAGGAATATTAGAATTACTCAGCATTTCTTACAAAACAGTTTAAATAGCACACGAGGATTTGCCACGTCACTTTACACCTCTGCGGAATTTACACCCCCTAGCTAATGCTAAAAACGCGACTTTCCCCATTCTACAGACTGAAGATGATGAGCTAGACAAAAGCGTGCAGGGCACCAGCTCCCCACTACTGCTACACTGGAGTCCTTCCTAACGTATTTCCCAACTACCAGAGGGAGACAGGGAGGCCATTAGAGTTGTTCTGCAGCAGCAAAACTCGGCGAGTGCCCCGACAGCTACTCAACCTTGCTGCTGTAGCAAGAAGGCAGCCACAGTCGTTACATAAATAACAGGCATGCATGGCCGTGCCCTAATAAAAGTTTAGTTTCAAATCAAGCACTATGGACAGGATTTGGCCAGTGGGCCTTAAATTTAAGGGTGCCTACTGTAGACGTAGACAAATCTCACTCTCAATTCTGATGCTGTCACTGCTCTAAGACCCCCAGAAAGAGGTCCGTGCTTCTGAGATCCAATTTTTTATTCTTTCTTATTTTATTTCTTTCAGTGCTGGGAACTGAACCCAGGAGCCTTGTGCAGACTGGACAAGCATTCTGCCAATGAACTAAACCATTAAACAAGGCTAACAACAGCAGCCTCCACCCTCAACCCCCAGCACAATGTAAGTTCTAAATAAGCTTTAGTTATCATCTGGTGCCCTTCCTTCTATACTTCTACTCCCTATTGGGTTACTATCGCTACACAAAAAAAAACTTGTTGTGAATTCGATGGGGCTTAGGAGGGAAACATAGAGAGCAGCTTCATCTTCTCTCTGATTTATGAGGCACTGAGGTTTGATGCTGAAGAACGAGTCAACATCGCAGAGCGGCTCACGGCCTTTAGAAAGCAGCTGGTCTTTCGCAGAGAATTCTCCTGTAGGATAGCTGTACTATCTTCAAAAGTACTGACTGACATAACCAGGAGCAAACAACTACCAGCCTCAAACGCCTAAGTTCAAAGACAACTTACCGTGCGCAAATCAATGTTTTTGCTCAGCTCCACGTACAGACCTTCAAGGTCCTGTAATTTTGCCTCCACGTCACTGGTTCCGGAAGTGTTTTCTTCTCTTTGTTCCTCAGCAACCCTCATGGCTCTGATACCACACACTTCAGCCTGAACTTGCTCACCAAATGCTTCCCAGGTCTCTTTCTCATTTTGAATATGTTGAGACCCCAAATTTACACATAGAGGCTGCTGTAGCCGAGACTTTATTTGCTTGAAAACATGCAGGGAGTTTTCTAGTTTGTCCTGGACAGCCTTTTCGTCCATTGCTTTTGGTTGCAATTCTAGCAGCATGTTCTGGAGATCCTCTTGAAGCCTAGCATTGTCTTCTGCAATTAGCTTTAGTTGCAGCATCTCGCTCTCTTTGAACGAGTCGTCAAAAGCCTCACTTTTGCTTAGCTTCTTCATCAACTCATCACGCAAGCATTTGGCTTTCTCAATTTTCTGAATCAAAATTTGTGCGTTGAGCAGCGTGTTTTCTGCTGACATATTAGGGGCTTTGGGCAGTGATTTGGCCCTTTTCTTAATCTGCAAATCCAAAGCCCTTATCTTACTTAGTAAGGCCTGGTACCTGTCGCGTGCTATTAAAAATATGTCTAGCTGCTTAATTTTTTCTTCCAGTTCCTTTTCCTTCTCAAGCACTTGGGTCTGTAACTGCTCGAGCAGCGAGCCATCCCAGGCTAGACCTTCTGAGTCAAACACTTCTTCGGATGTCAACACTTGTGAGATGCTGCCTCGAAGAGCAGCCAGCTTGTCTTTAAGATGGCAGAGCTGGGCTTTAGCATCCTGGTGTGGCTCTTGATGAAGCGGGAGAAGCTCGCCGAGCTGGAGGCTCTCAACCTCTCTCTGAAGCACAGCCGCT